TAAAATTTTTATATATTTTATTCTTACTTTCTTATCTTTAAGTCTTACTATCTTTATAGAAATAATTATTCTTTAAATTAAACTCTATAATAATATACTTATAATAGCGTATAATATATATTCTCTTTATTTCTAATATCGATACTTATTAGAATTAACGCACTTTTTAATAAAACAAGCTTTAATTAAAATTAAGAATAGCTTAATATTTATAGATATTTATATAAGCCCTTTAATTCTTTTATATATATTCTACTAATTTATCTTTTTATAATAATTAAAGTAGAAGAGATTAAGTCTAATAATTTATTATAATAAATATTAAATATTAATAATAATAGCGATATTAAAGAGTCTTAATATAAGATTAATTAGATAATAATTAAACTCTTAATTAAAATAAAAAATAAAGAATAAGTTTAATTAAAATAAAAATATTAAGAGATCGCGATAGCGAATAAATATATTTATATTTAAGAAGAAGCTAATTAAAAAAGTAAAGAAAGTTAATATCTTAACTATTAATTACGCTATAATTATTAAAAAGTATAAAATTAAATATATTAATATATTATTATTATAATAGAAGTAAGCTTTTAAGTAAATTAGATAAGATATAATAAATAAGTAATAAATAATTTCTAGTTCTAATTATTATTCTAGTAGACTTATATTTTAATAATATTATATAAAAAAAATACGCGAGCGTAATTACGAAGAAGTCTAAAGTTTCGCTTATTACGCGTAAATTATTATATATATAAATAAAGATAAAAGCTCAAATTAAAAGAAAATAAATAATATCGAAGTTAAATAAGATATAAGTATTAAGAATAATTTTATTATACGCGCTAATAATTAAGTAAATCTTATTTTTTAAGCTATTTAAGAGTATAATATAGAATTTAATAATAAGCGCTATTATAGTTTAGATATAATAATATTAACACGCTAATTAATAAGTATTAAGCTATTATAAAAATCTTAAAATATTAAATATAATTATATCTAAAAGATAAAATTATAAATCTTTATTTATATATAATTAATCTAACATATAATAATAAAAAGTTTATTATAAAAGCTACGCTATCTAAGTTAATATTTTAATCTTAATTATTATTATCGCTATTATATAAGTAATATAAAGCTATCTCTTATTTAAGTATATCTAATTCTTAATTCTAATTATTATTATAGATATTATTAATTTATTCTAGAATTATTAAATATACTTTTATATACTTTCTATATCTAATCTTTTTTTTATATATCGCGAGAAGATAGCTTAAAGAAATATAGCTTATTATATTAAGCTATAATACTTTTAAGAGAATATTAAGAAATATATTAATTTTTCTAAATTAACGATTTAATAAAAAGGCTATAATTATAATATATATAATTTTATATTAAATAGCGATATCGAAAATATATAATAGATATATAAAATTATCGTCGACGACTTTAATTATAAAGTATCGGCGGATTTCGCGTAACTAATATTAGAGAAAGATAAGCTTTTCTTATTATTAGTAGATATAGCTCGCTTTCTTTTATATATATAAAGTAATAAAATATAATTATATTTAATTTTATATCTTATTAATTTAGCGTAATTATTAATTAGAATAATAATTAGAATAGCTACTTCTAAATATAGAAATCTTAATCGAGATATTTTATATATATATTATATTATAATATAATTTTATAGATATATTATATCGTAATATATATCGCTAAGATTTTATATTATATTAGATATAGAGATTCTATAAATCTTAATAACTCTATATTATATTAGAGTATAATATAATAGATTAATATTTTATATTATATTATATCTTTCTTCGACTATTTAATAAAGATAAATAAGAATATAACGAATTAAGCTCGAAGGTAGATCTTTTTATAAGAATATTTTTTTTATTATTAATATAGACGAAGTTAGATAATATTAGCGTTAATATAATATATTTATAAGTCTATTTAATAAGTATAATTATTATAAATAAAATAAGAAAGGTTATAATATAAGTATTATTAAAGAGAGTCTCGAGAGAAAACGCGATCCTTAATCTAATTCTTAAGAAGATTCTAAAATTATTACTCTCTTATCTATATAGAATATTTAATATATATATAACGAATAATTACTATTTAGAGTACTTTAGAATATTAATAATAATTATTCTTTCGAAGTTAAGTAAGAATTATTTAATTTCTAAAGAATATCGACTAATAGCTCTACTTAATACTATAAAAAAGATAATAAAGTTTATTCTTACTAGAAGAATAGTATATTTTATAAAGATATATAAACTTTTATTAGTTATATATATAAGAGATTATAGATTATAATTATATAAATATAGTATTTATTATCTTTTAGAAAGAATATATTAGATTTAAAACTCTAATAAAGTAGCTATAATATTATTACTAGACGTTTTAGATATATATAATAAAGTCTCTTATTCTCGATTACTCTATAATCTTTAAAAGTAAAAAATTAATATAAAAGTAGTTAATTAAGTAGAATCGTTTTTATTTAATAGAATAATAGTATTAAAAATAAGTAAATATTTTATATTAAAGATTTCTATAGTAATTAAAATTTCTTAAGAATCATCGCTATCGCTTATACTTTATTTCTTTTATAATTTAGATCTTATTAATAAATATAATAATTATATTAATTTAGAAATAATAGTTATTAACTTTATAGACGATATAAGCCTTCTAATAGTAGAAGACTCTATTAAGAAAAACTATAATACTCTTTATAAAATCTACGACGAAGTTTATATAAAGTAAGTATTATAATATAAATTAAAGTTTAATTTTAATAAATATTAACTACTATATTTTAGTAGAAAATAGAGATTTAGCTTAGACTATTCTTTATAATTTAATAAGAGATAATATATTAAGGCGAGACGCTTTATTCGCTATTTAGAAGTCGAAATTAACTTTAAACTTCTATAAAATTACTATAATAAGAAGATTCGATCTAAGACTATTAAAAATATCGATATATTAATAAGAATTATTAAATTAATATAAGATAATAATTATAAGAGTATAAGATAGCTCTATTAAGCGATAATTATTTTATAAATAATATATTACTACTTAGTATAATACTAGCTCGAAAATACTATTAATTATAATAAAACTTATCTCTTATTATTATAAAGAATTTAATCTTAGATAGAGAGAAAGATAATTAAAGTATTTAAAGCTATATTTATTCTAATACTTAATATAAAAGCGTATTTTTTATTAGTTAAATAATAGCTAGATAAGATTATCTTAGAAGCTATTTTATAAATCGCTATTAGTCTAATATATAGCGAGATTATTAAGTTATAATTCGAGCGATAGAAATTTAAAAGAAAATCTAAGAAGAATAGAAAATTGAGTTTATTAAAATAATATATTAATAGATTCGAAGAACGATATAATAATATTAATAAGATTAAGAAACTACGCTCTTTTAGCGCCGCTCTTAATTGAAAATCTTTTAAAATAATAATTTATAAGATTAAGAAAGTCGCTAAAGAATTAATTAAAAGATTAATTAATAAGAGTTATATAATAATATATATAAATAATAATAGAATTAATAAAAAGATAAGAGCTTTAGCTATATTATTAAATATTAATTCTACTTTTAATATCTATTTAAACTTAAGCGATTAATATATAATATATTTAATAAAGTTATATAGTATTCTTTAAGCTTTAACTATAATAGTTATATATTAAATAAAATTATAACTTAATAGAGTTATAGTAAATATAAATAATTAAATATTAATTTAAACTATCGAAGACTTAGATAAATATTTAAGATAGATTTATATAATATAAATAATATAGATTATTAATTCGCTAAGATATCTCGAAGTAGTAATAAAATTATACTAGATCTCGATATATATTAATATCGATAATAATAAATAGACGAATAGAAAGATGAAGAAGATTATTAATTAGCGAGAGTAAGTGATTTATAATAAAAGAGTAAAGGTAAATATTAATAAAATAGTTTAATTATTAATTATATAGATAAGAATAATATCGATAATTAAGATAGTTATTAGAGATTACGCGATAAAATAATAAATTATTAAATAGATTAATAAGAAGTAAGACGATATTCTTAAAAGAATTTAATTAATATTATCGAAATAAATATAACTTCTATATTCGAGAGTTAAGCGCATTAAGACGTTATTAATAATATAAATAAAAATCGAGAAAATAGATCTTAAGATCTTTCTTTATAATCGATGAGTATTAAATATAGAGAATAAAGAATATAAGTGTAGAGCGAAGTAGACGGCTCGATATATTCTTTATAAATATAGATTATTTAGTAAGAAGCGAGGAATATAGTAAGTCGAAAAGAGAAGAAAGGTGAAAAGAGAGAGTTATTACTTATAAGAATATACTAATAAAACTACGCTATATCTCTATAGTAACGAACTTTATAAGAAATATAAGATTTATTAGATAATATTAAGCTCTTAATAAGAATTAATAATAAAGATTTACTAGAGTAAGCGATTAAAAAGAAGAATACGATTAAGACGAGAGAGCCTTAGCGATATAGAATATATTTCTTCTTAAGAATTAAGTATAATAAAATATAGAATTATAATAGTAACTTATATAGTCTTATTTATTTAAGATCATATAATTGACTGAAAGAATTAGATAGATTATATAACTCGTATAGTCAGTTACTAGGGTAAGACTTCAGGGTAGTATGATGTAATCAATCAATCAATCAATCAATCCCAGCACTGTCGTTCATCATATCAAGGCTCCGGAGAGCGCTGGAAACATAACGGGAGGCCTGTTTACAGCACCGAATTATTTGATTTCATCTAGAACACCCTCGCTTGATGGCTATGTACACCGCTGGCTCCTAATGCCTCGGCCACGGTTGGAAAGTAACCGTGCCAAAATTGAGCCTGTACATACTCTCATTTCGTCCCAGCGACCTTCTCGTAATCCGGTCCAAACTCGTGATACCACCTGTCCACTACTTTTTGGCTCGGCCCTGCCCCAATGGTTTCCTTATCCGCCTTCCAGTCCTTGGTGATGAAGTCCATGAACTCATCAACGCTCAGCGCCGAGGGGTTCTTCTCCTTCTTATTGTCATCTGGATCCGACCTCTCTCTGTGTAAGTCCGTCGCTACAGTTGGTGGTACGATCTCCACCACCCTAACTTTGGTGTCCTTAAGCTGTGTCCGCAGGTTCATGCTCCAAAAGTGGACCCATGCCTTTGTGCCATTGTAGACAGGATTGACGATGCTAGTCGGAATGTAACCAAGGACACTGGAGACGTTGACAATCAAGGCACCGTTAGGCTTCGATTTGAAGTGATCAAGGAGACCAATGGCCAAGTGCATGGGCCCTCTGATGTTGATGTCAATTTCTTGGTCGGCTTTTTGCAGATCGAAGTTGTTGACCTCTAGAGGTCTTTGAACTCCGGCGTTGTTGATTAGGCAGTCGACTTCGGGGTGGTCTTGCACGACTTGCTTTATGAAAGTAGGGATCGCGGAGATATTCCCGGTGTCAAGGGTGTAGTATGGCGTGGAATGGCCCATCTCCTTGGCTGCGGTTTGAAGCTTCGACTCTGTTCGACCCACAATTATGACCTTCTTGCCTTGGGATATCAACCATTCTGAAATTGCTCGTCCGAGACCGTTGCCTCCGCCTGTCACGATTGCGCACTTGAATTCGAGGTTTTGAGGTGCCATTGTGGAGATCCGTTCTGGAATTACTAAGGGAACGATAAAAGTATTGAATGCGAAAGATTCTTGTACTCGTAGAGTCTGTAAGGTAGCTTGAGAAGTAAAGTGACGTCGGTTTTGGTGACGTATCCCCCATCCGAGACAACCGAATGAGAAAGCTAGAATTTGAAGGCTCATGCTTCTTCATGTCATGATGCCGGATGAGGACCTCAGAGCTCTTGCTTGGCATCCATCACTCGCAAAGACATGTCAATTGCAAGGGAAGGAAGAAATATATCTACGAGCGCAAGGAGACACGCCGAAGGGTAGATCCGCCCAAGGCAAACACTGCTCTGTCTAAGTGAAATTGAATAACAGAAAAACACCAACCGTGCTCACAAATAACAAATCTCGATCATTATCACTTACCGTATCATCGAGTGGCAAGCAACAACAACACTGGAGACTGGCAAGGTGACCACCTCGTCACCTCTCTTTCGCCGTTCTCTCTACGGGCCGAGCCGCTGTAGGCGCACTGGCTTCTAAAGTAGAGTGGCTAGGCTCTACACCGGCTATGTCATAAAAGCGCTTCATCAAAAGGTCGGATTCCGATGCCCCTCTTTGTACTGGGGCCAGCCCATGGATACTTGTTCTAGATCATTTCGAGCGAATAGTCTTTTGAACATGATAGGAGCATGTCTCCGGATCGGGAGCTGGTAGCTTTTCAGCTTCTCGAGCTCCTGTTGCACCACGGGCAGATCCGAACGCGGTTCAGCAAACGAAGAGAAACCTTCTGGTGATGAGCTGCTGCGAAAGCCGTCGAGGAGGATCCAAGAGGCTGTCGCAGGTCCAACCGATATCCGACGCGTCAACATTAGCGTCCTTGATGAAGCCGCATCTCAGCTGACGAACAGTATAGAGACGAGAGGAGGGAGGGACTGATTTCGAAGGCCGAGGTAGCTCTGCGGGTCGGTGTCGGCAGAATCTCAGGCACAAAGTCAAGTCTCCGCATCTTCGTCAATGATACTTTCGTGCCTCTTTTCGACTCGATCCTGGTCTAGTTTCGAGATCTCGACTCTCAAGGGTCCTGGCTTTTTTGCTGCCTCGCCAGATCTCAGGTGTAGACCATCTCACCTCTTTCAGAATGATCATCATGTCCTCTCAAGTCTCAACACTGCCGATCTGTAGAAAGGATACGCAAACAGCGTCATAACGAGTCCTACAGAACCTAGCACGCCACGACGTGCGTAGTGGTGGGTCAAGGCCTCCAGGTTGGAGACCTTGTAAATTTTCGGTCTAGAGGCGGGCACTTCGGGTTGCACGGGTGATACACTCGAGCCTTCATATTCTTGATGGATTGATGCGCCGTACAGAATGGGTAGGCATCCAAATAGGGTCTTTCGACCGAAAAGTCAACGGTGTGCTCGTTTCTTAGAGAACGGCTTACAGGTATTTGAAGGAAACCAATTGCTGAGGCAGGATCCAGAAGTCTCTAGACCTCTTGTGATTGTGCACACGGGTTGAAGTGGGGAACCTACGCTGATAAGGTAAGGTACAAGTAGTACTATAACCTTTTCTACTCAAGACTCTTTTAGAGGGATATGCAGTATACCGTAACGAGGTTGCGATATGATAGGGATCTCTGTACGAAATGATTGCTGAGACTAGTTCAATTGGACTAGGACGACCATCTTGATAAGATCATGAATGCGTACTCACAAAGGTCTGCGAGATGTTTCAACGTACCACAGGTATCCCATGGTGCACTCATATCCTCTACCTACCTCTCGTTTCTTCCAATTCAGTCCCGTGTGGCCCAGCTCGGCACATCGAGTGGCGTCATGACACGTGCGCGAGATCGGCCAACTATTCGAATCTTTTGTGGCTGTGTATCTGATCTGCATCTGATCGTGGTTGCATCTCCTGTCGGTGACTGTGAGAGCTCTGCCGGAATGATGAACAAGATGATTGAATTTTTGGTGAAATTGTACACCGACAAACCGCTATGCAACCGCGAGCATTGGACACAAGCATACTATCGTACATAATCCCTGCATATGCACCGTGCGCTATTACCTTTGCTTAGCCTTCTTTTCTGCTCGTCTTTGCAACCTTTCTTTCTTCTCTTGCTCCCTAGTCTCTTGCTCCTGTTGTCTCTCGAACTTTGCCTGCGCGTTCTGTCGCTTCATCTCAGCCTCCTGCGCGATTTCCCGTTGCCTCCTGTCCTCATAGGTATTTGCATGCTTCTTCTCTCCAGCTGTTAGCCTACTCGTCGGAGCTTGCTGTCGAGATGTGGGCGAAAATTTCTCTCCCGTTTTCATGATATCTGACACTGTACCCTTGATATTTTCAAAGATTCCTTTCGATGGAGTACTCGATGGTGCTTGATATCGAGGATACGCCTGGATCTGCGGTTTTGGTGCATTTGGCTTTGGTAATGGTTGCATGCCAACGAGATCCCGAAACCAAGCATTCTTGAACACCGCTGCTTGTACGGAGGATATTAAGGCACCGATGAAAAAGGTTAATTGCAAATTACCAGGCCAGAACATCATAAAGAGTCCGCTCATTGGAGGGACCACGTAGAGAAACGCCTTCTGCGTCTGTTTACTGATGAGCTCGCTGTTACCAGTCTCTCCTCCACTCTAAAACCGCATTAGCTAATGCGTCTGTCATCAATCAAACACATGGCTGAGTACCTTGAACGTAAAGTAGTATGCCGCAGCCGTGCCAATGGGTAGAATGAAGTAAGGATCCGATTGGGTCAGATCAGATATCCACAGCAATCCTCCAGTGTCAAGACCAGGTACCGGTAGAGATACCATGCCTCTCATGAGCCGAAAGGTACCAAATCCAAGGGGTATTTGCAAGAAAGGCACGAACGACTTCCACACATTTATGCCAGCGCTTTTGTACAAAGCACTACGTTCGGACCAAGCCTCCCGCAAAGCCTTCTGGTCTCTGTTGGCCTTCGCGGCCTTAACGCGCGCATTGATGGGGTCTTCTAAATGCTTGATGTGTTGACGTCGGGCGCTGGTGTCAGAAGCATCCATGAAAAACTTGAAGAGCGCAGCTCGGATGATCAATATTGATATACCGATGGACGCCCACCAAGGTGTACCAAGGTAGACATGCACATGTTCCAACAGGTATTCCACGAAAGCTGTTGGACCCCAACCATAATCAAGACCCATCTCCTTCAGGAAACCGAGGTGTTCGTAGACAGGTGAAGGTATAGAAGAGGTTATCTCATCAAACGAGGTTGGTACGAACTCCTCTCCCGCTGGAACGGAGGTTTGAGGAGGAGGAACATAGTCGGACTGAACCTCGGCGATAGGCGGAGTTGGGGTCGTCGAGGCGAACCGTGGCGCGAAATCACGGTTGAGGCGCTGAGAAGGCCATTGTCGCAATTGCCATGGCTTCGGCGGCCATGTCGAAGTATTTGTAGCAAGTTCATGTCTCAAGCTGGCTCCAGCAAAAGCGGAATAAGACTACGGGAGACGGTCAGTAGATGTCCAATAGAAGCGCGGAAAGCTTTAGGATGCGGTACTTTTTGACCATGTCGAGGGGACCTTGCCAAGGCTACACTGCTACTTGCAATGCGGTGGCCAGACCTGTGCAGACAGCGAGCTTGTATCATGCTTAGCTTGGAGGTGTAAGGATATTCGCGAGGAACTCGAATCACAGAATGTCTCCATGAATACTGATGAGGAAGGTCTGCCGAGACTTACCCAGGGATTCACCAGCAAACAACGCCAAAGATCAACCATGCACACTTCGATTGATAGTTCTCTTCAAGCTCCACAACTTGACAGCTCCTCTAGTCGCGAGGCACTGTGTTGGGCGTTGCCAACTACACTAAATTCCTGGGATTCTGGCGGGTTCATCAGTGACTCTGTGTTTGCTTCTCCATCGCTTGCTCCTTCAGGAAGCTTTCATTTTTTATCCGACCATGATATTAGATCACCAAGCAGAATAAATTTGTGTAAATACGCTTGCAGTTCAAATAGCCACGTTGTGATAAAGGAAGGCAATACAACTTTCATCTTGTTAGCAAGCATCCGAATTGCAAACTCCCTTTGCATTGTCACTTGGGTTGGTCAGAGGTATTGCTGCCTTCTGTTGGCAATCATGGCGCGCTTGTTCACAGTCAAGGACAAGCATCATAGGTACTCATCACCGGCACCATGCCAAGATGCCCCTGGTATCTATCATCTCCATTCACCAGCTCATGTTTTTAATAATTTCAGGATACAGCCGGAATTTCGTTCTTCTCATTACGCTAGGCCTTCCACTCCGATGTATCAATGCCGCAGCCGTGGCATTGCAGGGGGGATGTATAGAGTCTTCCACAAGAAGTGAATATGATTGCGGTGGCCAGCACTATAGATAACTGTTACCCAACAGTATCCCATCTTTGTGAATAATTGCGTCATTCTTGTCTAACAAAGTAGTGGTTTCAACGCAGCGTCTCTATATAAAGTCCTAGGTAACTTGACAAGGCTCTCTAAGTATAAGAACCGGAATAAGACATGCACGCATATGCCAGTCACCACAGATCCTCACGCCTCTACTCGAACCGAAATCAAACACAAAGCTTACAATTATTAGCATTGTGATCAGACTTCACGACATAATTCTCTGCCAATTCAGCCCAGCAGCTTCTCACATTTTGAAGAACACTACGCTTCTATTACACTACCAATGGCTGAAACATCAATGAATTGGGTTGGAGTTGACTGGGTGGCAGCATCTGATCGAGAGCTAGAACTTAGGAACGGCGAAGCCCGACAGCGATGGTGGAAAAACTAGTACCAACGCCCATGGCTCGTGATAAGTGTCCACATGCAAACCTTGGCGAATAAGCCGTACCTCGCTACACGACAGCCTCTCACGTGGTTTGCTGAAGTGAATGGCTCAGTTTCCAAGGTGAAGTGGCTCCGCCAATTGCCGCGGACTATAGAACCCCTGGGAGAGAGAATGTGTACTTTCTTTACCCAATACTACTTTCCAACCCATCTGTTTCTCACTGTGGAGGTATGCCTATTTGAGTTCCAATCGGATAGCCATGCATCCCCCTCAATATGGAAGCTGCTCGTACTCATCATCCTCTTCAAGCAGTAAACCCACCTTTTGTACGACAGTTGGCTATCGACGTGATCAAGTCTATCAGCACAGATGTCAACGACCGGAATAGCACAAATGGCTGTATCTCTCGAGGAAAATTCCTGAGCTTCGCGTGCCACATCATCCTGAAGTTACCTCCACATTCGAAGACACCGATGCAACTAATGAGAGACAGTTCAAGACGAGTGCAAAAGTGTATTCTTGAATCGAGCGCCTGCACACTGAATGATGGAATACGTATGGAAGCAGTCTCAAGTAGAGAGATTGGTAGCCCCTCTAAATGGGCTTGGTATGTAACATTTGTGGATCGCATGGCTTCTACAAGTAGCTGCTTTACCGGTCCAACGCCAAGTAATGCCTTTTCGAATCCTAAGAGAGCCTGAGCGCCGTATGTGCAGCCAATTTTCGTCTATAAGAAGTGGTGGTTGGCTCCCATTCACCACTTGTATCGGCTTCACTCTAGAGATGTCATGTCGTTCAACTCCTGCTCCCGCCGTATTCTCTCCGATGGATCATCTCGAATCTCAATTCCCGGTCCTACTGATCTCGAGTTCCGTCCGCTGGGGAATATCTAATGCAATTGGTCGTCAGCACAAGTCGGGCAAGAAGCGAAGCAAACGGAAAGGCGCCAGAAACGTATCGGCAGCAGCTACCCAAGCTAGCAGTCTGCCATTCCAATACGTAGCTAAAGATCAAAGTACATACCTTCGTCCCCGACCACCCTAGTCTGAAAGCAGCTTCATGAGCAAGTAGCTCCCCAAATCCCAGCATCAGCCCATTGACGAATGGTAGAAGTACATTGATCGCTGCGCCCCGTAACAGACCCCATACAGTCGGCGGCGAGTATAATATCATAGGAGAACTCGAGGAGGACGGTGGGGAGGGAGAGAGCTCATTCTGGGAGGAAGAGTAATTCTCGCTGTCAGAGGGGATCGTGGCAGAGGATGCAGTCAAGTCGGGCCGCTGTGGTTCTTGTGCCATGGCGAGAGTAGAGATGAGAACTTGAAGGATTCCGGCGCAGCAATTATCTCTTCAATGTCACCCGGCCATTGCTGGCTGTGCGATGTGAAGATGATGGCATTTGGGTACCTGTATAATACACTCGGCAAACCTTCTCGACTCAAACCCATCAAAAAAAGTCTTGGCATCAGGTATCAGTTGCACTCGACTCCGTGACCCTCATCACTGTGTGCAATCGACCTCACATAATCCTTGAAATATAACCTCGCACGGCCAACGACCTGCTTCTCACCTCCATTACACATCCTGTCCCCCGAAATCATATCAACATCATGGCGGAAGGACAACCCGATCACGACGCACTTATCTCGGAATTCGTGGGTTTGGCTGGTGTAACACCACAAGTGGTAATTCTCCCCATGGCTTCTTCCCATACTAGAGCTTCAAGCTGATATAGCTAAACGACAGGCTCAAGAATACCTCGCAAACAGCTCTTGGGAATTAGGATCCGCAGTCACTGAATACTTCAACCGCTCCGAGGGGACAGAGGAAGATGATCAAGCCCCAGAGGCTCCAGCAGTTACATCTTCAGCTCCACAACCTATACCAGCTTCTTCCAGCATGCCTCCACCCCCATCTGCAACGCAGCCACCGAAGAAAAAGTTCGCTACACTAGGAGACCTGAGTGGAGGCGGGGGGCCTAGCCACGCAGGCCACGGTCACGGCCATGATGACGAGGATGATGATGACGACTTTGAGCCAAGCGACGACGATAACCCGGATCTCTACGCGGGAGGTGAGAAATCTGGTTTAGCGGTAGAGAACCCCGGTACAGCAGAGAAGCTCAGAAAGAAGATCATCAAGAAAGCACAGAAGTATGTCGTAACCCAAGCCGGAGTCGTCTACATATTATAACATTCTGCTAGGAATACTCCCAGACCAGGCGGAGATGACCCACGCGGCCCAAGCTCTCGCTTCACCGGTACGGCACACACCCTTGGCGGCGACGACGCCCCCAGCCAAACCATTGAAGACCCTAATGCATCTCGACCACAACACGCACCCCCAGTTGAGCGCCATCTCCACTTCTGGGCCGACGGGTTCTCAGTCGACGACGGTCCACTTTACCGCTCAGATGATCCAGCGAACGCCGCCATCCTCGCCCAAATCAAAACAGGCCGCGCCCCACTTGCAATACTAAACGTCGAGATGGCTCAAGAGGTAGATGTCAAGCTAGAACAGCACTCAGAGAAATATGTACAGCCAAAGAAGAAGTACGTTCCATTTGGTGGCGGCGGTCAGAGACTAGGTAGTCCAACACCTGGGATATCAAACAGGACAGCAGAACCAGCACCTGCGCCAGCACCAGCCGCCGCTCCAGCAGGTTCTGCTACGACACAAGCAGTAGTAGTTGACGTGAACGAGTCACAGCCTACCCTCTCATTGCAAATACGGTTAGGAGATGGTACGCGTCTCCCTGCACGCTTCAATACCACACACACCATCGGCGACGTATACTCTTTCATTACCGCTTCCAATCCGCAGAGTCGGACTCGCTCATGGGTGCTCATGACAACTTTCCCCAGCAAGGAGCTGAGCGACAAGAGCCAAGTACTTGGTGACCTGTCGGAGTTCAAGAGAGGTGGAGTTATGGTTCAAAAATGGTCATAGATTGTATGATAGCATTGCATAGCTGGAGTTTGAAAAGGGCGGCTCAGATGATAGACGAATGCTGTCGTGCCATGGTCAAAAGGAGAAACATCTGCACGGACACGAAGGCATACAAAGCCAGAACCAGTTTCCCAACATGGAGATAGACATGATAATGCAGGAACGATGATAACGCTCATGATATACAGTTGAAATGTGACAACGCCATTGCAATGCTTCAAAGAGCGCAGAACGCTGAAGATGATACCCATCAGACGGCTCCGTTGCTCCTCCCTCTCACAATGTCGATCAGCTGTTTCGTAATGCCCTCAAAAACCCCACAAAGTGAGCAACTCCTGTATCTATCAACCAGCAGCCCTTCTTCCCTGCTATCCTTATCGATCTCCAGGGCCCCTGATTTCGCCCTACCCTCTTCACCCTCACCCTCCCCTTCTTTCTCCTCGTCCCCCCCTTCCTCTTGCCCCTCCTTACTATTCTCAACAACCCCGTACTCCGGCCTCCTCCCCTTCCTCCACCAAAACGCCCCACTGCCTGTCCACCGGCACGCCCCCCAAAAACGGCACCTCAAAGCTCCCCGCCATAACCTCCCCACCCCCTTTCCCGAACAGATTCGCCCTCTCCCCACAACACTCGCACACATACCCGCTCATATTCTCCACAACCCCCAGAACCTCCACCCCCACCTTCCGACAAAAATTGACTTCCTTCCTCACATCACTGATCGCCACTGCTTGCGGTGTTGTCACGATGACCGCGCCCGCGAGTTGGCCGGGGAGGCATTTCGATTGCAGGGTTTCGGCGAGGGAGATGTGTTCGTCCGATGTGCCGGGCGGGGTATCAATTAGAAGGTAGTCGGTTGGTGGCCAGAGGACGTCGGTGAGGAATTGGCGGACCATGGCTGTTTTCTTGGGACCGCGCCAGACGATGGCGGAGGAGCGGGGGGGGAGGAGGAGGGCGAGCGATATGGCGTGTAGGGATCCTATCTTATTGCTCTCCTCTGTTTGCACGCCTGCGTTTTGGTGGTGGTGGTGGTGGTGGGCCATGGCCATTCGATTCGGCCTCATTCGTCGAGGGCGCAGAACCCGAGGCTCCGTTCTGGACTTGCGACAGGATAGGAGTGGGTATGGGAGGAAGAGTTTGCGAGGAGTGAACTTCGCACGGCAGCCAGCCACCTGGTGCCTGGGTTATCTTTGCACTTTCGAGACCCAGCAGGCGAGGTATAGAGGGGCCTGTCAGGTCGATGTCTAGGATGCCAACGGAGTGGCCGGCGAGGGAGAGAGAGAGGGCAAGTTGGGTCGTTATGGAGGATTTGCCGACGCCGCCTTTGCCAGAGAGGACCTATGGGGTTGTTAGTGATGACTGGTTGGGTAGGGAAGTGGGGTGGAAAGGGCGAGGCTTACGAGCACGATGTGCTTGACATTATCGAGGGACATTCCTCTTGGTTGATATGACTGGTGTATATGATGAACATGATTGGATTCAATACATGAAGGCTTGCACACTGATTCTGGAACGACCAAGCATCAAGCGCTACGTCAGATCAGTGCCGGGTAGCAAAGGTGAACTTGACTTGATTTCCCAGAAGTCGATTTTAGCATCATTAAAATTCTTTGATGTGTTGTACTTTATTCTTTAGCGTTGAAACAGCAGGGAAGATTTCATTGGTGACTACTTCGATTAAGGGGACTCCATAGTTACATTCACGAATCTTGTACCTACAATCCTAACCACCCATCGAATTGACTCTCAGTTGTCGGGCTCTTCGCACGCCCAGTATCCAGGTTTGCTTTCTTAGTCCTTACTTATCTTTCACTTCTATGCTTTACAGGGTCTCTGTACTCCTCTCGGGGACCCAGATCGCGGCTGATTTCGTCGAGTTCTATGAGCCTTTCGCCCGATAGCTCTTTCATCCTCATTAGATGAGTTCTTTTCATGATAGAATGCCTGGTTGGGAAAGGCCTCCGTCCGGAAAGGCATTGTCTGTGTTGTTCAAATTTCGCGATCTATGAGTGCGATTCAACATCCTCGCACTTTCGTGCCTCTCGTACAAAGGACGGTATTCGTGGTCCGGCCTTGATCGGAACCCGAGGTCGTTGTTAGAGCTCTGACTGAAGGTCGGCTTTCTGATGGAACTATGGCTCATAAGGGTGGACCAGAAGGCAGCAGCTTGGTAGGGTATCAATCAAACTCTGAATTGCTGGACGAGTATTAAGGTCGGATTCTGGGCTGCGGCCAAAGCATTAGAGGGAGGTTAGCTGTGGCCCCATGGAAGCTTCCAGTTGATATTGTCGACTAGCGAGAGTGCTAGTATACTTGGAACGGTCTCTTCAGCGGCGAGAACAGGGGCGTAAGCAGAGGCTTCAGAAGCGAACGACGGACACGGACTAGAGTGCGATTGAACAGGATCACCAGAGGAAGGCTCTTTGTCTGGTCAGTGGAAGTGAAGGACGTCGCCATCTCTTATTCGGGGGAAATAAAGGAAATTGTGTCTAGTTTTTCATGGCCATTGAGTGAACATCGAACGTGTGTACGGACATCTCTTTGAGGTCCTTTCCCCCGGAACCACATCCGAGAAAAGGGCAACGTGTGTCTTCCATGAGCTTTCTGAGCCATTCATGGTTGCTCGTTACCTGTTGTGCGTAGCTCTTTGCACTATGTTCCCGAAGGCAGTCCAGGATGTGATACTTGGTTCCTCACGTGCTACTTGGACACATGGCCGTTCCTATTTCATCAGGTAGGAAGAATTGAGTCACTGGAGCAAGCATGCCTCAGCTGCGTGGAGTCCTCTGATTAATCCGTCTTAGTGGGCCAGAGTGTCGTAATAAATTTTTATATGCGAGCCTCTTACGATGGTATCTGAATCCTAGAAAAAGAGCCAAAGGACAATGTTTGTATAGGTTGAAGCGACTTACGTATTCCACAACTTTTGCCTTACAATGTTGATACGAGCCGATAAGTAGTCTGGAGTCTCTCACCAAAGCCCGCTGAACGAAGCCAGATCCCGAGCTTGCATAATTTGTGTGCTCTCCCTGATGCCTGCTATACATTGCTGTGGAGGCAGTTAGGCAGAGTCAAAAACGCCGACGTGCAGTGCAATACTGGGGCAACATGGAGCTTCAGTGTCGGAACAAAACCTGGAGTGCTTACACTGCTTGGAGCAGCATATCTCTAGATTAGTAGACCGTCATCGTACCTAAGCGAATTATGAAAGTCGAAATGTAAAGATCCACTAAATGCTCAAGATTATGCATAAAAAACCGCAGAAATCCAAGTTTGGCGCGAACATCTGCGAGCGCAAGGCCTGTAATTCTCAATCTTGACCTCACGCTTTGTTCTGAATACACGCAAGTGAACAGGACCGTATGAACCAGTCGATCTCGTCTGATAGAATAGTCCTGGAGAAGACCCATGGTCGAATACGAGCGTCGATGAGGCACCGAAGTCAGAGGACAAATTCCAATAATCATGATCTCGTATACTCTCTCAAGTCTCGCATAAGGCAACACTGCTGTTTTCTTCTTCTGGCTGACAAGTCGTTCTGGAGCAGCTCTAACGTCCCTCCGTTTCTGGGCTTCTGCCAGCTGTAGACGGGTTTCCGGATGACAGGGGGTCAGTTGTTCTTACCAGGCGGGTAAAACACGCGTTGGACACGGGCTAAATCGGGCGTCCTAGTACCCCATTGCGGAGCTCTACGGAACGTTTTCGAGACTAATCCGCTCGATACAAGATTTGTCTGGTTCTGGTCGATTCGTCGACTCAGTGTCCGGTCCAGAGGTGTTACGCTAGTTGGCATACGTTAGAAGATCTCCTGCAACACGCGGAGGCTTTCAGGTCGTTGAATGAGAACGAGTATCAACCATTTCTCATAGAATCAGGAAGGAGAGAGCTTGCATTTCCATTGGCTCCGAGAAGTGTGCGGGTGCGGCTAAGGACTACCGCTCCAAAAAGCTCACGGACCGTCCGATATACTGGCAGCCACGAAAGATACATCCGACTTCGTGGCTACGAACGAATGAGAAGGTCTGGTGGGACAAGAGAAGTTCCGAGATCTGCTAGATGAAACGCCCTTAAGGTCGTCCTGCTCTAGTCGATTTGTGAGTTTGGTCAATTCATGAGTGAACTGTAGTCGAGTCATGAGTCGTCTAGGGAAAGTACCATAAAACGTCGGTATACAAACTGACCGCCCATTCAGGAACTGCCGGACCGATGATTAATGAACTTTTGCTGCTCTTGTTACTTGCAGGAGGCTTGCAGTAGCGAGGCCTTAATGCGCGTTGCCGCCGCTCTCGACATCCAGGATGTACAATCCGTTGCCAATCGAAGGGATTCTCGGCGTTGCTGCATTAAGGCAGGCCGAAGAACAGATTTCCAAGGCAGTGTTAGGCAGGCAGGGCAGCAGTAGAATTTCGAGTTTCCACAAGCTCTTGATGTGAGAATTGGAGGGAAGACTCTTTCATTAGGTAGAGCTCCCTTGAGGGTCCCCTAAGATCGACCCCTAGTAGCGGATCAGGCTTAGTGTGAAGTAATGGAGTAACACAAAATCAACGACAGACCGTCTCCCAAGATTCACTGGGCCTAGAACTCGAATACATTCCAGGATTCATCGTGCATCAGTGCCGCATGCTAGCAGGTAGAACCAGGTCTTCGGGTACGGTATTGCAGCAACATCAATAACAACGCAATCGTTCAAGGGAGAGCTACGAATACCGAGCCCCATGGCTTTGTACTGGTGAACCATGCAGAGAAGCAAGACTTATACGCACGAAGTGCATTGTCCTAGAGCATGATGCCTTTCGGTTACATGACTTGACTGTCCGCCGCCGCCATGCATTGTCCATCTGCTCGGCTGGTAACCGCTCCCTTATCTATGGTGATGTGTACTCCCGTAATCATCTACCAGCCCTTGCTCTGTCGGATTCGACCTCTCTCCTAATCTGTGCAGCCCTCTTGCGCCTTGCTGCCTCTTCTCTGCAAGGACCTAAGGATTTCCATCCGTCAATATTCGTTCGACAATCACGTGAGGCCACAAGATGAGAGTCCTAAGGCTGGGTCACGTACTGCAATTCTCGTATGCAGTCCTGCTATTTATGTGTTCAGTGCGGATCCCTAGTATACCGGACGATTCATTCATTGACTAACTCATGGCGCGTCATGGCACACCCTCTGCGCCCAGACAGGTAGACGCTGCACTCATATGTGTAGTATTCACGGGTATGCCCGCACCGGTATGTTATCCGCATCCAGTCACACATCGTGATTTAGCAAGTTCGTTGGAATTAAGCGATGTTGCAGGTCAAAGCTCGAAAAATGCTAGGTCTAATTTTGGTCTCGCAAGGCTGCAGCAGAAGACGCGTCGTCGAAGCCAGGAAAAAGTGGGGAGTGCTTTTTGAATATTTGCAGTCGTTCGGGACGTGGGGATAGCAACTCGGAAGACGTCATTCCTAGCTTAGGCGGTCGGGGCGTGGCAGTCCCGGATTGGCCATTCACAGTCAATCTTTGCCCGTGTCATGCACAACATTCGGCGAATTTCTTCCATTGAGAGTACCATTCAGATATTATTCTTCTAGCCTATTTCCCAATATGAGAGGTTCAAAACGGGGCCACAGACGATTGATAGAATGCATGGACGGCGTCCAATGAGAAGGCACGGCCTGAGCGAGCCAATCATGAAGAACCGGGACTTTACTTGAATCGAGCTCCACCCACACCTATTGATATCCGCCAAGCCTAATCGAGACAACAAAACAGGTATGTCGAAGCATACGGTTACGAGAGCTGAAGGCAGCACGAGTAGATGTCTGAACCCTTGATTTTGTTCGAGCTTCGGGATTGGGGGTCCTAAAATGGCTAGCTTGTAAAATGTTTGCCGCCACCACGGCTGACGACATTCACTCTCTTTAGTGCAGACTGCAGACCTTCTGCTATCATGAAGGCATCCCATAACATACCAGATCAAAAATGAAGACTCGCTGGGACCGGGTTCTTCGTCAGGTCATGATCTTGTGCCCTTCTTGTTCGACAAAGGAATACCCGCGGGGATCAGCTTATGCTACCAGGCTTGTTGCTAGCGCTTCCCGTTCAACATATCCAGGCTCGGTGGGACTGGATCCCTGGTCAGGATGTTGTTTCAAGTCGTACTTGTTCGACGAATGACGAGAGTTGGATAACGAAATCCCAATTGGTCGTGGTTCCCCCTCTGGTTCGCTGCACGTTTCATCGTCCAGGACAGCGTTGGTTCCAATGGAATTTCAAACCTGATCCCAACGAGTTTCTTGATATCGCTTATCGAGCCAAGTGATTGGCTGTCTTTTGGGGGTGTTCCAGATCAATCAATGAAAACATGGCGTGAGAAAGTCACGTGACTTCCAGATGCTCCACACTATCTGCAGCGGACCACACCTCTCAAAATCAGGAACGTGAGTCCATCATCCAGATCCTTGCCATCTGAAACCCCCAAATTTCAGCCACAGAAAAAATGTCTGCAAAGCCAAATGCCGCCCCCATCCGCGTTGGGCAGCAACACGCATAGGTGCATAAATCCGAACATGTCCACGAAACAACGTAGACCCGAGCGCGCAAAGTTATTCAGCATCGAAGGAACGAGACAGCTATACAACGCATCAAGATTGCCATCAGATATGAGTTGTACCGATCAAGCCCCCATTGGAAAGCAGTCCCAGCCTTGATGCTCCCTGATGCCCAAGATTCCCGTTCAGGAACAACAGCTTTATTTTCAGGTACCGGCCTTGGCACCGCTGCACGACCAGCACATGGCCCTTGCAGGGCATTGACATGCCAGAATGTCTCACAATCTGCAACTGGTCGCCACTGTAAAGCTGCTGCGATTTTTCTGGGGACCTCTCAGGTTATACCACATATATTGTGATCTGAAATAGGTCCCCCGAGACTCTTCATCGCCAATCTTTGGGGACCTCTGAGATCATACCACTCGGCAAGGCCAATTGAATTTCCCGTATATAATCAACCCGGTCCTCCACCCGTTCTCTCCACAGTGCTACCTGCTGCTTCGTACCACAAAATGAACAAGGCAAACAAAACATTCTCGTACACTCCCCTCCACGATCGACCAGCCACTCCGCCGGAGTCATCTCCTAACGTCACTAGAGATGAACACCCCCTGCACCTTCTGAAAGCCAATCATGCAGCGGAATCCGATGAAAACGCCACTTGCCGCCGTTTCCCCGCGAATCCCCCATCGACGCCGAATCTACCGCCGGAAGAGCGCTTACCGGGCCATTCGCCAAAGCGAATGTCTGTTAGCCCAACGCCCCCCTCTACACCTCCCCGTTCGGCCCAAAACGGCCAATCAAGAACCTCGTTTATATTCTCAAAGACGCTGATGACCTCCAAGAAGCTCTCATCGTCAGTGCACGGTAAGCGGTATCCATCTGAAGCTAGAGAATGACGGTGAGGTGCTGAATCTACCTAAGGGACGCTGACGCAGCCGATTGTATACGAGCTGTCGGACGATGACTAGGAGTTGCCGGCAGCAATTGATGAAGTGTATCGAGAAGACGGACTCAATTTCCCCGACGGCAACGTAACCTTCTCCTGCTGGTGCGTGATTTGCTGTGCATTGTCCTGTCGCTCCATACTGTTCTGTTGGGCTGAAAATTTCGATAAAAGTCGTTTTGGTTGGGACCAATGCTATGTGAGGCTCTTTCCTCGCGGTGTATGGATGGTATAGAATAGATTTCTTTGGTGATGTCTTGATAAGAGAGCACAGTTCGCTGTCGCTTCGTATACGATGTTGGGCATCGATATGTGCGCACCCAACCGTTTCCACAGTTTCGTATGCTATCGTCCCATTCAGTAACGAACACTTCATCATTGTCGTCTTCAAAGAGAGCTATGTCCGAGCTGAAGGCCCGTGCCGGCCGCCAGTCCGGAGAGTGTCCACGTCCATGGGGGTTGGGCATCAGTCCATCGTTTTCGTCTATCTGGCGGCAATGCCATCATGGTGTATATAATCCGCCTATCCTGGGAACGATTCCACCATCTCATCACTTTTGCATCACCGACATCTTCCTCTCCTCTGCCAGATTTCCCGAAGCTCAACAAATCCTCGCGATTCTCATTTCCGACTGCACATTCTAATTTGATACACTATGTCCTGGTGGAACGATCGTCCTGAAGCACCACCTCCACCACCTCCACCTCCACCTAGCCCGGCTAATTGCGAGAAACGAGCTTGCTACTATTCGATCACTCCTCCTGGCAAGTGCAAATGGCACCTCTGCGCGGATCACGTGGCCGACACACCGAGCCAGTGATACTGCTGGTGCCCAAGGCAGATCCTACGCAAAGACCCTCCAGATCTGCCGATATCCCGTCACAATCACCGAAAAGCCAGCGGTGCATCAATTGCTCACGATCAAGAGCAAAGAGTCTTGTAATGACGGTGAAGATTATTTTGTGTGAGGGACGTGAGCGGGTTTGGGGAAAGGAGATAAAGTGGTCAAAGTTCTTGGTAGGTGAAAGCTATTCGTGGAGGCCGGAACCCTTGCTTATATCCCGCAGGACGTAGTGTTTTCTGGCCGGCCAACCTCGCTTGGCTTTCCTAACAAATACCTTGGCTTCCCGAGAGGGTGGGGTAGAAAGATTGTCTGAAAGATGTTTTGAAATAGAGAAGGATGGCGACTGTGCTGGGCAATAATGAGTAATGGCAGGTAGAAGCGGCAGAAAATGAATCACGGTCGCTGCACGATATTCAGCCATGTCGATGACATGGTGAACCCTGGAAAGAATCATGATTGTGTGAAAGCTCTGTACAAGAATTGACCACCTTCCTAACCATTCCAAAATCAGCCGTGCTTAACCCTTCCAGTTCTTGAATTCGCCCTTCCAGCTCTCCTCACCCACTCCCTTTCCCTTGCTCTTGCCATCTCCCATACCCACAAAAGCCAACACAGTGCTACTCACCACCGATAACGCCACCACAATCCACCCCGTAACCTGCACCTGCCTGTTACCAAGTTCCCTCCCCGTATCCCAAAGCAAATGCCTCAGCCCATTCCAACAATGAAACGTAAACGGCCACGATATCCCAAACTTCATCACCCCCTTCGTCACAGCGCCGAAGCTGCCAAACCATTCCGCCATCGCGGCCGACTCTATATGCCATCCCAGCAGCGGAGAGACTAAGTATGCAGCACCGAAGATGTAGAGACCTCCGGACAGGACACAGCCGGTTACGCGGTTGAGGGCGGATGCATACCAGGTGATTTGGGGTTGGTAGACTGTCAAGTGGGGGAGATAGGGCGGTTCAAGCGTTGAGCGGCGAGGATGGCGTAGGCATCGGAGGGTTTTGCTGGCTGTGTTTGTGCGTGGGGTTCTGTGGCGGAGGGTTGAAAGGCGGCGTGCCTTAACAATATGTTAGCTGCATCGAAGGTGGTGTGCCGATAGAGAAAGGGCGCAAAAAGTGTCCAAGAGTTACAGAAGGGAACGACGTTTCTTGGGACGTACCGGACTTGAGGTTGCAATCTACTTCCTGCAATCGCTACTGAGGGCGTGAATCTAGAGAGGGTGGGTTGCTTGGCAAGGACTGGGTCTTTGTTAGCCATTGGCTGCTTCCTACAATGGTACACTCAAAGAGCCTTGATTGACTTACGCCGCCGGGCAGAATGCTGAGAGATTCTTTGAGCCAACATGATGTCTGCCTTTCCAACAGACTGGTTGTGGTGGGCTTGGTGAGGATGCTATTCACGAGAACGACGCCAAGGAATGCGGGCGGGAGCCTCGGCAGAACGGGCCAATCACGGCCCTTGATATCAAACCTATAAAATGTCCCACTTCAAATGCTGTTCTTTCTTTTCTTTTCCTTTCTTCCAGTAGGAACCTCAGCATCCAATGCCTGCTTGTATGACTGTCGTGGGATGATGTACAGGCAGTCCATATATCGGCATTCTGTCGGTGTTCTATGAGGTGTCGAGAGGAAATTGCCTGTCGTTAATCGCGCATGTTGATCGATTTCTCCACGATTTCAGGCGTTTCATATCAGGGCTACAAAGAGACTACGAGGCTTATTGAGGATGATCGAGCATTGTCATGATGTGTGTGCACACTCGGGATTGCAGTATTGTTAGACTCCAAGGCGTGTAGAGCAGAAGGGAAAAGGTTTCATGAACTCAAGTCTTCGGCATATGAAAGGGATGCTGAGAGCATGGAAAGAAACAGGCTTGATAGAGTTGTGTAAATCTTCGTCGTCAGTGACCATAGAGGGCCAGGAATGTTGATGCCAAGCCTTTCGCTTTCATCTAAACGAATAACCTCCAATGCTCCTTCCATCCGCTATCAACCAGTACAATGCCACCCTTTAATATACAGCCACGGACGCTACAATCATCTGGCTCGTTTCTACGAGCTGGATTCGCAACATCAAAGTCCCGGTATCGAGCGTTACCGCCTGGCCCTCGAGGCAGCGTCCGACGTCCGCCAAAACCAATACCAAGACAGCCCCAGAGCTCAAGGCTTCCCCAGCAAGAACGCGGGCAGCGACAACAGGAAGCTCTTGAAAGCCAAGAGAGCTCGCCGGAAGCTCAAAAACCAAAGCAGTCGTCTGTCGACACAGTGTCCAATGCACTACGAGATCAAGACTCCCAAGCAAACAACCTCCTCTCTCCAGTCCACATATCCGAAGACCCAGATGGCGTACTCAACGAGAGGCATCCGGCTACGAGTATATTATCAAATTCGGCCATAGTGGTGACGAGGCAGCTGGAGCTCATGAACGTTATGCTTGGATTTGAGCAGGCCAATAAATATGTCATTATGGATCCAAAGGGAGGTCACATTGGCTATATGGCGGAGAGAGAACTGGGTATGGGAAACATGATGGCTAGGCAGATGTTCTCAACGCATAGGAGTTTCACGACGCATGTGTTTGACAGGCACGGGAAGGAGGTCTTGAGGGTATGTCAGCGAGACCTGGGAAGAAGAATGTGATAGCTAACGAAGTGCTAGTTTCACAGGCCGTTTTCGTGGATATCGAGTCGAATTGGCATCTACGATCCTGTAGAAGAGTCGAATAGCTCGCCGTCATCCTCAACAACGATAGCAAACATTGACCGGGGCTCTCTTACTACAGAGGTCAACCCCGACACAGCGCAGATCTCGCGGCTGGCTTTAGAAGACATGCGTATCATAGGAGAAGCGCAGCAACAGTGGGCGCCACTTCGGCGAAAGTACAATCTGTTCGTTCACCGCCAAACCCAAGACTCTGGTGCCACATCTGGCGCTCCTCAGTATCCACCAGCAAATCAGCCACTCTCAAACTCACAGCAATTGGACTTGACACCGTACAACAACAAAGGCAAATTGGATAAGTTCGCCTACGTCGATGAGCGGTTCCTCTCGTGGGATTTCTCTCTCCTTTCAAACGAGGGCGGTCTCATCGGCTCCGTGAACCGCAACTTCGCCGGCTTTGGCCGTGAAATCTTTACCGATACGGGAGTCTACGCTTTACGAATGGACTCTGTGGGATTAACACAGGAACCGACGCACCTTATCTCACAAACTGGCCAGCAGTCGGTGGGGTTCCAAAACCCAAATGATTCTGGAATGTCGCTCGACCAGCGGGCCGTCATGCTTGCAACCGCTGTGAGTGTCGACTTTGACTATTTCAGCCGGAAAAGCGGGCCTGGAGGTATGGGCTTCATGCCTCTCTGGTTCCCAGGCATGGGTGGTGGTGGAGCTGCTGCGGAAGGTGCCGAAGCGGAAGCAGGTGCAATAGAAGGAAGCGGCGATGGTGCAGGCGGTATCGCCAAAGGAGATTCTGGTGATTGGACCGAGGGCGCTGTAACAGGTGCTGGTACCATGGCCGGGTATGAAGCTATGCAGAGAGGCACGGTTAGAGGTGGGGGTGATGCTTCCCCGCAAGCCGGCCAACAGGATCCCAATCAACCCGGGTATGGCCAGGATCAACAGCAACAACCGGGCCAAGTCGGACAGGATGAGGATGTTTGGGGAAACAATGATGACCCTTGGGGCGGTCGCGGTGGAGGTGGAGGAGACGGCGGAGGAGATGGTGGTGATGGAGGCGGAGATTTGGGAGACTTTGACTGGTTCTGAAGAGAAGCATCCAAGGGTGAGATCTTGCTACATTTAGCGACGGCGTTGGGGAAGCTCGGTTATACCACCCTGCTTTACAAAGGCACTCGGAAGATTTCGGTATGACGATGTACGAATAATTAATATTTCGGTTTCTCTCCTCCTGTTATTTCAACGTACTGCTGTAGATTCAGAACCGTAAAACTGGGCAAGGAAAAGCTGAGGCTCTCCTCGTCCATTCAACTTCCACCTTTAAACATCTTCCAACTACTCCCACACTACCCCTACACCTTCGCACCCTGGCCCCTCCCCTCGCCTTCCTCCTACCCTGAACCCGACCAGCATGGCATCCTCAATAGCATCCCGCCGCCTCTTCCACGAATACAAGCTCCTCACCTCCTCCCCACCGGACGGCATCACCGCCGGCCCTGTCTCCGAAGACGACATCTTCCTCTGGGAAGCACTAATCCAAGGACCTGACGGCACGCCCTTCGAAGGCGGCATTTTCCCCGCCGAGTTGAAGTTCCCCAAGGATTATCCGCTGAATCCACCCACGATGCGCTTCCTGGGGGAAGTGTGGCACCCGAACGGTACACATTCCATGCCGCCGCGCCATCTACCACGTTCAGACAATACAGGACCGTGCTCTCAGAAACCCTTTTGAAATCAAAAACGTTACTGTATATGGGCACTAGAGAACAACGGCTAACGTGTTGCCTGCACGCGCAGTTTACCCCTCCGGCCTCGTCTGCATCTCCATCCTGCACGCCCCGGGCGACGACCCGCACCACTACGAAAAGGCCTCCGAGAGGTGGAGTCCGATACAGAGTGTGGAGAAGATATTGATCAGTGTGATGAGCATGCTGGCGGAGCCGAATGATGAGAGTCCGGCGAATATCGAGGCGGCGAAGATGTGGCGGGAGAGGAGGAGTGAGTTCGAGAAGACGGTGAGGGAGGGGGTGAGGAGGAGTTTGGGGATGTAGGTGAGGGTGTGAGGTGGGGAAAGGGGGGGGGGGTGTGAAGGGGTTGATGGGCAGGATGGGTTGGGGGGGATGAGGGGCTAGACGGAGAAGGCAAGGGTGGGAGTGGGTCGTGGACTTCTGGGAGCGATGGCGTTGGATGCTGGGGCATTGCATAGCACAGGTGGGTGTTTCGGGGGTCAATACTGGCGGGTGTGACCGTGCATTGACGAGCGATTATGATTCATGAGCTGTTCTTGACAGTGCAGACGGTGCTACGGACTCCTCCCCTCCAGCTTGGAAGCCTTCTCAGCCTCTGACACATCTACCCACCCCAATTACGAGATCCTCATCTGTTTGCAGGCTAGGCGATCTCTCTCAAAAACCTGACGTGATCCGATCAGAGCTCCTCGTCCCATTCTAAGCCGGGGGAATCTTCTTCTGCGAGAGACATATCTCCCACTTGATGTGTTTCCAGCAAATCCTCATCCAGTTGCGAGATGGGCGAACCTTCGTCAGCAAATGCGGTATCCGCCATCTGATATGTATCAAGCAAGTCCTCATCCGCTTCCAAACTTGGGGAACCTTCTCCTACAGCTGACATCTCTGGCGTCCCATGCGTGTCAAGCAAGAAGTCCTCCTCATTCGCTTGCAGGCTGGGAAATCTGTCTTCGCCAAGCGTTATATCCGCCAACTGATGTGTTTCAAGCAAGTCTTCATCCGCAGCCAAGCTGGTGCCATTCGCTAGCAGCTTCTCCTCGACCCACCCCTTAACGCCTCCTTCCCCTTCAGCCAGGACTTCCATTTCCGCTTTGACGTTCAGCATTAGCATGATCTGCAACTCACGTCTCCACTCTTCTTCCTTGCTACCCTCCTGAAGCATCTCACTCCTCTCCAGCATGTCTACCGCCTTTTTCCTATTCCTTCCACTGAGTCTCAGCAGACCGTTGTACTCATTCTGTCCGTTTCCAGCAAGAACATCTTGGCTCTTTACGCCCAGCCATTGTATGCCTTGAACATTCAGGCCAGCGCTTTCGTGGGAGAGCTTGAACGAGCCGTGTTTGTAGGTGGACATGATGGCCAAGCCATCCGGATCGAAATCGGTGAGAGCATAGATGGGCGGAGAGATGCTGTCGAGATCATGAGAGCCTGAGAGGAGACGCAGGAAGGATCGGGTAGAGATGTCGGGGTAGCCTTTTGCCTGGATTTGGTGCTTTTAGCGGACGGTTTAAAGAGTTCGGATGTGATGCTCACGGTGAGCATTATGCCATTTCCTGCGCGTGAGCTCTGCTGGAGATTGCTTGATGCCAGCGTTCGAAATGTGGACTGGGGGCCGTCAGCGCTGAACACGCCCTTGGACCAGAGACAGACTTCTTTCTCAATCACCAGGATCCAGGCGACACCGGAAATGTCGATCGCCTGGACGTCGTGGGGATCGTCGATAAGTTGTGGCTGGGATGATCTGTGAGCGCCGTAACTGTTTCGTATCCGCTGGAGCGTGCATACCACGCCGGGCTTTCTATAAGCCTGTGTGCCGTCCGGCCTCTTCAAGATGAAGTTCCCGGCGACAAGACCTTTCGCAGCGGCAGTCTAGACGGTTGTCAGGAGATCAGAGATATTCCGAGTAAGGATTGATATAAGCGTTGACATTGGCCACTAACAACGTTGAGAGCGAGTCTTGAGACGCCAAAGGTGTATGCAATGATGTCCACATAGTAATCCACGGTTAATTGAGTCTTGAAAAGCGCAGGATCTTTGTAGTAGATGTTCCTACAATGAAACGTCAGGGAGATCCTGATCCAATTGTGATCCAGATTGAAGGGCTTAGAATGGGGGGAACGCACCTCTTAGAGACGATGACATTGTCACAGAGAGCCTCATGCATGAGGTCCAGGATGCGAATAAGTACCGCTAAACTACGATCAGCGCCATTGTAATTCGCCTATCAGTGATGACTCGTACTGAATCTCCAAGCTTCTTTCGGCCGCCCTTTTGCTGGGAAAGAAACATTTGTGAAGCCGTCTGAGGGCTCGGCGTCAAATAGACTAGGCGCATTACCATTCAGTGGTGTATGCTTCTTATTTCTCAAGGGAATGAAGATATCGTTCACGGGAACGTATGGATTTTCTTCGTTGAGGAGGCTATCTGCAATGTTCTCGAATATCGCCTCAATCTTTGCGATGACTTCTGCATTTGCATGTCGTTGGTATGATGCCATTGGGGCTTCGGAATTAATAATGCAATAAGCGTTTACAATCATGGGTACATGCTTTCAGTGATTGCTGTACAGTACATACGTAGTGGATGTCCAGATCAAGGTTTCAGCTTCTCGCTTCCCTCAGATTCGAGCTTTCAAGTCTCTGTAAGTACCAACACTACATATATTGTTGGTGACCAATGATCCCCTTCCTTAGATCGGTCGAGTATCAAGTACGAAGCATGCAATCTTACTCATGATAGCCATTTCCTTCCTACGCTGCTCTCAACTTTGCAAGGGTCTGCAGTCGAACAACCTCTCTCGATCTTCCGCTGTCCAATCTTCGCACTGTAGATACGTGCAAGCGCTTAGCGGTTGTACTTCAGGATGTAGCAGTACTATGCCGCATCGGTTGAGGAATATTAGTGCCGTTATTGATAGCATGCTCGACAGCTTTGAGATATAGCGGTTCTAATCCGCCTTGAGACCCTCGCGCTCGAGGCCCTAGCACACGATGATATAGAGATCTCAGACGAATGTCACGTAGGTGAGGAAGACTCTCGGGCACCCTACGGAGAAATTGATGCCATGAGCCCATCCATTGCCCAGTCTTGCTATCATCCAGCAAGACCATAACTAGGTCGAGTCTCGCGAGAGTGGCACGATAGGCCAGCAGAGTGTCGATCAGATGTTTTTCCGTAGCGGTGATCCCGAATAAGCTGAGCCGGGATAGCTTCGGCAATGAAGGACGAAAGCATTGTAGGAAGTCATTTTGGGGATGTATCGCATTCCCGTGCAGCTTCAGTGTCTCCAGACTTTGCGCTCCCTCGAGGAGCATAACGAGGGCTTTGACCTCGCACTATCCATCAACAGTGCTATGCAAGTGTCTGAAGAAAACGGGGTTATCCAAGAATATGGTGTTTAAACGTCTGAGCCATGCGCAGTACGGCTCCGGACTAAGTTGTATTCCTCCTTGCCAAACATTGGTGCTAAATGTTGTTAGGCTGAGCTTCCGAATGTAGACTTCCGAACTTGCGAGAGCGTTGAGTAGATGAGTGAATTGCCTCGCAATCTCGGTCTCCCGCCGTGATGATACCTGTTCGTCCAGGGCATGGCGTCTCAGATCGAACCAAACTTTAGACCATTGCTGATTTGGACGGCTACTATTGTCAACCTGATGACGGTGAAGTGAATCTCCCCCGGTGGTAACCTTTAGCCGTTGAAGTCTTCTGAGCATCGGAATCGACAAGTCGATGATCTCTCTATTCAGCTTGTGATTGTTCTTGCATAGGCGTTGTTGCTCGCAGTAGGCAAGAACATATCTTTGATATCGGAAAGTCACCTCTTCCATGGTCCGCATTTGTGTCTCCGAAATCAATCTTTCATGCCACGTCTCTGGTAGGATCGAAGGTAAAAGGTCCGCATAGAAAGTGACAGATTTTACACATGTTGCAACAAATTCATGCTGCGCGATCAACCGAATTCGCTCCAAAGACAGTGGCGTGATGATTATTTCCTCAAATAAATATGATGCGGCAACATAAGCCTAAGTTTTATTGACAACACGGATGGACTTCAAGTCTTCATGTCCGAGGAGACCACAAATACGCTGTTTGAGCTCTACTGGCAGAGTTTCCATAACTTACTTTGTAGTCAAAGATCAATGCTCAAGCGAAAGCTACCTTCCTCGATGATCGAGCGCGTCTATCGCAATGTAGCAGAAACTCGAAACAAAGGCAGGACCGATGAGCAAGGAAGTTGAGGATGGCGGAAAGCGCGCTTAGCGCGGCTAACAGAGTATGCGGCAGGCGAACTCCGATGTCTCTGCTTCGACATGTCAATCAACACTTCAGCATCCGTAATTCTGTCATCCTTATGAACAAGCTTGGACCCGAAAACTACAAAGTTTGAAGCGAATGCTGGTTGGTCTTCCTGAGTTCACGGCCAATCCTCTTTTCTCATCTTGAAGTGTTTGGGGCCTACTCGCGCACCGAGTCTAAGTAGTTCAGTCGCAGAAAATCTGGTTTGCGAGCATCCACTTTGATCAGGCCTCTATTGAGACTCAAAGGACCCGAATTTTCTCCGGCCATGTCCGTTTGGAACCCTGAAAACATCAAGGACGTTGCAGAGTCTGTTGGCATCACCTCACTCAGCGATGATGTTCTCCAAGGACTCTGTTCGGATATCGAATATCGAATATCACAAGTCTTAGAGGAAGCCCTCAAGTTCATGCGGCACAGCAAGCGATCAACCCTCACCACGCAAGATGTAGCGCAGGCTCTGCGCGTACTGGATGTCGAGCCTCTGTACGGCTATGAGTCAACGCGGTCACTTCGGTTTGGCGAAGCGTCCATTGGGCCTGGACAGCCATTGTTCTATGTCGAAGACGAAGAAGTGGACTTCGAGAAGCTCATTAATGCACCTTTACCTAAAGTACCGCGAGAGATGACCTTTACTGGTAGGCCTAGTCTATACTTGTCTGTGGCCAAATCCTAATCATCATTTAGCACATTGGCTGGCTGTCGAAGGGGTACAGCCTTCGATACCCCAGAACCCTACAGCCGCAGATTCGAGAAACCAGGAATTGGTGCCTAAAGGGCAGAGTGCAAATCCCCACATGGCAGCCATGAGCGGCAACGAAAATATCACAGTCAAGCCCCTGGTCAAACACGTCCTATCGAAAGAGCTTCAGCTTTACTTTGAGAAGATTTGTAGTGCACTCCTTGATGAATTAAATAGCGAGTACCGAACTGCAGCTTTAGCCAGTATCCGAAGTGATCCTGGTCTTCATCAGCTAGTGCCTTACTTCGTGCAGTTCATCGCAGAGAAAATCACGCATAACCTCAAAAATCTTTTCGTACTCACCCAAATGATGCTACTTACGACCGCCATGCTCGAGAATTCGAATCTTTACGTTGATCCCTATGTGAGAATATTTACGGTGTTTCATTCCAATGGCGCAGGCTGACCTCCCCCTCAGATTGCCTCCATAATCCCCCCCAGTCTTGACATGTCTCGTTGGTCGACATCTTGGCTCATCACCTGACCCTTTGGCCGCCTATGACCTCCGCCGCCTCTCCGCTTCTGTTCTGTCATCAATAACCAAAAAGTACAGCAAGTCATCCCACATGCTGAAGCCCCGCCTCGCCCGAACTTGTCTGAAACATTTCCTTGATCCTACTAAGCCACTAGGCGCCAATTACGGTGGCATTATTGGTTTGCAGGCTATTGGAGGTTCGGAGATTGTCCGTGCCCTAATTGTACCGAATCTAAAGGAGTATGAAGAACTCGTGAAGGATGCTATTGATGCAATGGATGAGGGCAAAAGGAACGAGGGAGAGATGGTTTTCAAAGCATTACTAGAAGCGCTCGTATCGCTAGAGGAAGAGAGCGTTGGGGCAGTCAATGGGTTCGCCAATGGGCATGCTGCAGAGATGAGGAAGGAGTTGGGCGACAAGATTGGAGACTTGTTTGCGGAGAGAGTGCTGGAGCTGGGAAAGCCAAGGCTGGTAAGGGCGATCATGGAGTGTTGAAACTTTATCAATACCATTGCAATTCGAACTATATCTAGGGTACCGAGGGTGTAGGCTATAAAGGAGTATTACGCCAAAGTGTAAAATACGGCTTAGTCATTAGTGGTAGGACTGAGAAGATCTCCTGATTTAGGGATATCCTAAGCGAAAATTCTTCTAATTTTTAGAAATACTCCTAGGATTTCTGTAAAGAATCTCCAGGTATGATTAGTAAAACCCCCTGCCGACCTTACAATCTTCGTATAATGGCGTCACGAGAGGATCGCTTGGCACGCTTACCCTCGTCTTGGCAGATGATGACTAAGGTAAATCGCCGCTAAATGGCGGGGCCTCACTCGAAGTTTTCACAAAATTCCCCTTCCACAATCCCATCCCAACTTTGCCTTGGGCTTGTTGTTTTCATTTTAGCACCTATGCATACCGCTGTTACCACATTCACCTCTCAGGTAAGCTCTCAATTGTATCGTTCAAGCCAGACTTTGCTCCATTACTGGCTTGACCATTGTCAAGTCCCGCAAGTCTTCAATGTACATACTGACTCGTGGTGCCATTGTTTCAGGACTACATCTCTGGTCTGCTCCTGCTCCTCTTCCTCCAAGTTCCATCCGATGCTGTCTCTAATCTCAGCTCTAGATCATTTGTGGAAGGCATTAGCCAATTGAGGCCCATCCCATACAATAGCCCATCTCAAACACTCTTCGTGCATCATCACCATGATTGCCGCTCTCTCCAAGCACGTGGCTGCTAGGCCAACCAGTCACAACATTAAGTTGGCTCTTACACGAGGGACCCGCCGCCATGCAACTGTTGCGGATGCCGCATTTCCTCGGTCGCCCATGACAAGACCAAGGGCCGCTCCTGCCTACCAGCAGCCGGCCACTCTCACGATCAGAGACGGCCCAATATTCTCTGGGCAAAGCTTCGGCTCCTGTCGCGATGTGTCAGGAGAGGCGGTTTTCACGACGTCTATTGTGGGCTATAATGAATCTCTGACGGATCCCTCATATCGTGGCCAAATCCTCGTCTTTACGCAACCTTTGATTGGGAATTACGGCGTCCCTTCGCGTGAAGCCCGAGACGAGTTCAATTTGCTGAAGCATTTCGAATCAGAATACATGCAACCGGCTGGGGTCGTGGTTGCGGACGTAGCAAGGAAATATTCTCATTGGACGGCTATACAAAGTCTTGGAGATTGGTGCACACAACAAGGTGTTGCAGCCATTACTGGTGTGGACACACGTGCGATTGTCACCTTTCTGCGTGAGCGCGGTTCTGAACTAGGGAAAATCTCCATTGGGGAGGCCTACGACGCCGATCAAGACGAAGCCTTTCAAGACCCTGCAAACGTCAATCTCGTGTACGTTTGTTTTGAGAAAGCGTGAGCTAGCGCCAAGATGCTGATTCTTCGCAGGAAACAAGTTAGCACAAAGGCTCCCTTTGTACGACAAGTAAATTTTTGCTGTTGCCGTGTCTGTCACTGACTACGTAATAGCATATTGCTTCTGCCGGTGATCTGCATATTGCTCTGATTGATTGTGGTGTTAAAGAGGTATATTTCATGTCGGCTTAATCTTCGCTGTGTTCTGACGTTGCAAGGGTATACTTCGATCTCTATCACAACGCGGCGCGAGTGTGACGGTGTTTCCCTGGGATTTCCCGATCGATAGACTGGCTCATCATTTCGATGTGAGCAAAAACTTTGATTTGCTCTAGCCTTTGAAACTAACCATCCTTTTTAGGGTGTCTTTATCAGCAACGGGCCTGTTCGTCTTCCACCTCTTCCAACTTGTTCTGGCGCTAATGATCAAGGGTGACCCTACATATTGCGTACCCACTGTTGAAGCACTCCGCAATCTCATGGGCTCTTCTCAGATCCCGGTATTTGGCATTTGTCTCGGCCATCAGCTTTTGGCATTGGCTGCAGGCGCAAAGACGACAAAGCTCAAGTAAGCTCTGACCTCGAAATCAAAGAAGCTTTGACTGATAACGCTCCTAGATATGGGAATAGAGCACACAACAGTGCGCCCCTACTTGACAGATGCCGCTTTCTTAAGCTTTGCTGACCGTACTAGTTCCTTGTTTGGATCTCACAACTGGGCGATGCGTGAGTACCAGTTACTCGGAATGTCACATTATGCTAACATTTCCCAGCATATCACGTCCCAAAACCATGGTACTTTCACTATAAACATTACCGTCACAGTAGAATAATAAGATTTCAGGTTACGCGGTCGACGCGAATACTCTACCGCCCGACTTCAAAGAGTACTGGGTTAATCTGAAGTACGTCCCTACTATCATAGTGGAATCCCAGTAGCTCACATAGTAAAGCGACTCGTCAAACGAAGGAATGATCCACAAGTCACGTCCCATCTTCAGCACTCAATTCCATCCCGAAGCCAAAGGCGGACCGATGGATACCGCCTTCTTGTTCGATGTCTACCTGGAGAGCGTCCGGAGGTACAAAGATACTCGGCGCCTGCTTTTTCCTAACAATGACCATCGAGTTGAATCCCTGCTATTTAACACACTTACCAACGCAAGAGTTGGCGTGAGGACCGATTCGATCAATTTTGCGGAAGGCATGCAGCAGCAGAAACAGGACAATAGGGATCTTGTATGAGGGTCAGGAAAGCGAAGATTTGCTTGATACTCGAATACCCAACTATCGAGAAAGTCAGACTAGATTGCAAAGTATGTTACCTGCCGTATACTCCTACCAGAATTCAAAGAGTTGACACGAGGTAACGCTGCCATGATCCGAGTGTCCTTGTTCATCTCTGAAAGGGACCTGATTAAAGCCTAACAGAATCCCTCATAGTTTGCCCCGATCGAAGTGTGCTGCTTCGAAATGCGTCGTTTCCAATTCATCGTGATCTAGAGTAAGTTGTGTCTTAAAGTCTGGACCCTTGCGCGGAAGTAGTATCTACGAGCCAATGCTCGGTGACATTGCGTTCGTATCGTGGTGTCTTCGAAAGGCAGGAACCATTGAGTCATGGAGCAGCAGCATTTTGGCTGCTCGCTTCTTCTTCTGCCCGGGCGTTGTCTTCCCGTCGTTGTTCCCTTTGTCCGGGGCTTAGCTGCTAGCCTCTTTCGATAATATTCCTTGTCGTTCGTCTTTGGATTAGCTGCATATCGCTTCCTCATATATTCGTTTTGCTTTCGTTTTCGTTCCTTGGTCGAGGGTGCAATTTCTCGCCTCTTTCTATCACTAGCTGTTTCGCGTCTCCTCAGCCGTTGTTTTTCCGTCACTGGCTTAACCCGTCGCTTATTCCTATAGTATTCGCTTTGCTTCTGCCGTTGTTCATCCGTTCGGGGGTCAGCTGTCTTTTTGCGGAATCCTCCCCTCGTTGTTCATCCGCTGGGGGATTCTGGACAAGCGCATGTCTCCTGAGTCTCTCCTGGCGTTGCTCACTGGTTTCCGTGGCTGCTCGAGTCTCACTCCTCCGTCCTGCGTCCAGGATCTTTTTGACAAGCTGAGTCTCCTTTGCCAGCTTTCTGGCATCTTCAAGGGCGGAACCACCCTGAAGAAGAACCTCCCGTAACGTGGTGCCCTCTACACCGGGGATGGACTATCTCGGTATAGCCCCAAAGGCTGCTAGAAGCAGGAAAAGATGGTTCTCCCGCTCTGATACCGTTCCACAGACGGAAAAGCTTGTACCTTGGAAGGAGTCGAGCTCTTTCTGTAGACCAATGACCAGGGCGGACCGCAGTTGAAATGTATCGAAAGGCTCGTTGAAGGATTCTTCGGCGAGTGTGTACCTCAAGAGGTGTACGGTATCAGACCCGCTACGATGTAAGACGTACTTTCCTGTAATCGGCGATGTGACAACCGGAAAGCCATCGCTATCTAATGGGACAGGAGATTTCGAGGCCATTTGGTACGCGAAAGGTAGGCTGAAGAGCAATTCGGCTTGGCACAGATGACATTTCCGCGCCAACTCCACGCAAGAGAATAGTAATGCTCTCTCTCGATGGCTAACTACCGCTCTTTTAAGACCACATATCACTCGGCAAGAAGAAAGTGAAGTCGCAAAGAGCTAGTTGAAGCATGGTCAATGACAGACAGATATCCAGGCCCCTCGAAAGCTGCCTGGTCTGCAAAGTGTCCTCACGGAAAGCGTGCGGCTTTATCCTACCGTAGCTTCCGGTGCGATAGAGAATCAGAGCCTGACAGAGTCACGATCCAAGGGACCTACATGCCTCATGATAGTACAACACTAGTCTCGAATGATGCTTTGGCTCGACGTGAGCGTACCCGATAAGTCCCAGCAATGATACGACAAGTCTTCAGACCAGAGTTAAGACCACAGTTGAAAGTCCGCGGTAGTCGATAGTGTCTTTCTGCGTCCGGACAAATTTATATCCGAGCGCTGGACCTCCAAGCCGGGAGTGGTTCGAGACAGGCGCGTATATGCGCCATTCTCTTGCTCCAGGAGAGGGTGGGATACAAGTATGGAGGGATATGAGGGATGAGTTCAGTGCGGTGCTAGGAAGGCTTGAGCTCGTTTTGAAACCCTTTGGGAGTAAGAGTTCCGTTGTGGTGGGAGGAGCTCCGATTGGGTGGGGGCTTGGTAAACCTCCGTTTTGATGGGGGGAGCTTCGTTTTGGTGAGGTTACTAAGGAAACGAAGCTTATCATTAAAGGCTTCGTCTTAACGGGGGCTTGGCAAACCTCTATCATGGTGAGAGCTTCGTTTTGATGAAGTTATCAGCAGTACGGAGCTCTCCACTAAAGCTTCGTTTTGATGGGAGGAGCTCCGATTTGATGAGGTTACTACGAAAACGAAGCTTACTATAAAAGCTTCGTCTTGATATAAGCTTATTTTTTTATTTAGTAAGAGCTCCGTTTCTGTGAGGTTACTAGCAGTACGAACGTTTTGGTGAGGAAGCTCCGAACTAGTGAGGTCACCACGAAAACGAAGCTCACCACCAAATCCGGTTTAATAGGGGCTTAACAGATCTCCATTTTGGTAATAGTTCATCTTATACAAGATAGTATACTATAGAAGATTTTATTACCGACTGTTCTTTGAGTAGAAGACGGCAGCTAAATATAGGGAAGTTACATTAAATCCACATTAAGGCGGTTCTATTTGAGTCGGCATTAAGGCGGCGCTAAAGCGGAGGCAAGACGGAGGCTATCAAGACGGAGGCAAAATGGGGCAGAACGGAGCCTATCGAAGCGGAGGCAGAACGAAGCCCACCAAGACGGAGGCAAGATGGAGCTCTCCACTAAGATGAAGCGAGATAGTAACGGAGGCAAGACGGAGGCAAAATGGAGCCTACTGAGACGGAGGCAAAACGGAAGTGGAGCAAGATGGAGCCCACCAGCAGGCAAAAAACGAGGCTCTTCTACCAAAGCTCCGTCTTGGTGAGGTCACCAGCAAAATGGGGCTCTCCACTAAAAGATCCGTCTTAGTAGGAGAGCTTTATTATGGTGAGGTCACCAGCAAAACGGAGGTCTTCCCACCAAACCGGAGCTTACCATACCTAAGCTCACCAAGGCGGAGGTTTACTAAGCCCCCATCAAGACGGAGCTTTAGTGGTGAGCTTCGTTTTCGTGGTGCCCTCACCAAGACGGAGCTCCTCCCACCAAGACGGAGATTTACCAAGCCCTATCAAACCGGAGCTTTGGTGGTGAGCTTCATTTGCGTGGTGACTTCAGCAAAACGGGGCTCTCATCAAGACTGAGGCAAAATGGAGCCCACCAAATCACCGAAGCGTATCGCCTCTTCAAGTTGCTCATTCAACAACGACGCCTGAAGTCATTTGCACTATCCTTGAGTTCCCAACATTGGTGTCTATGTCTATGCGAGCGGTTATCGTGTCTGGTCGCTCCTGTAGGGAGAAGGTAATATGTTTGATGCGCAGGGTTTCCCAGATGGTTTCTTCGCATGTATTCGTCCTCTGAAATAACACCATTCACGCACTCGACCATCTCCCCCTCCCATTCCAGTGAAAGGTCGCATACGTCCAAGATGATTTCAGCTTGTCCACCAGCGGGTACAAGAAGCGGTCTTCGGTTTTCTTACCTCCCTGGCTGGCACTCTTCGCAGCGGGATGCCCGCCACGTTACTAGCAATGGCAATGGCGACATGGAGTCATAACAAAAGTCCAAGGAGCGCAACAGGAGTCGTCTTCAAGACAAGACCAATGGCCACGCAATCAAAGCGAATATTGTTGGCCCGAACCTCAGAGGGATTGGCTCCGCAGCCTTTTTCAGGATTGGCTTCCCTTCTGTGTCGATACCGGCCAGGACTTGTAGGTCTTGAGCTCGCGCAACAACGTTACGACATCCGCCTCTAAATCTAGCAAGCCTCGCTCAACACACTGCATCGCTGCAATACTTGTTACTAGTTTGGTGCAGCTGGCGATACGTATAATTGTATTCGGCGACCGCGGTGGACGGTCAGAGGGAGCCTTTAAAGAGCGTATTCCCACGGGATGAGGATAATCCAGTTCATCTTTAGAATGTCAGCTTACTCACATCGGATACAAAACCAGCTTCTATCTTGGGATGCCATACTACATCTGCTACTGAGAAGCAGTACCGCGCCCGGGACATCATATGCTTCACAAGCAGATTGGCACCTTTCCTCTATTGTGCCCACAACGACCCCGGGTAACGTGACCAGGAAAAGGAGCATTAGCTTGAGGCCTGAACTTTCGAACTCACAAAAATTCGAGAAGCCAAACTCAATGATCACACGCAAGTGACTTGGAATGTACTGAGTCAGGGAACCGCACAAATTGGCTAATACAGTCTTGAGCCAGGGTACGCCCGTCTGACAATATTCGATCAATCTGGATGTCTTTGAGCCTCCATACTTCGCATGCAATACAGCCGTAACCTCTTGTACCCATTTCGTGACTCGCAACTTTAGGCCCTCTAAAACATAAATTGGTAGTCCAAACGACAAAGGAAACCTCGGTCTCAATAGTGATTGGAGCACAGCAACAAAAGACGAAGCGCAGCAAGTTAGACATAAGTCGAATCCATGATATTAAACAGGACGTCAGAGTCTATATCGATTTTGAAACAGACTTTCTCATCCTGAAAAACTGCGATTGGGGGCCGTGGTAGACAGAAATAGTATCAGGAGAAATCTCTGTTCTCATAGACCTGGCAACAGGATTTTTCTGCACTCCCTATGCAGAGCTCTCATAGCAGGTTTTTTCTCAGCCCGGAGCGACTCCCTATTCAACCGCACGTTCATTTCCGTAATGGCTGCATTGCTCAAGACTATCTATCCGATCATCGTCAGTACAGGTCCAACATCGAAATCCAACATCGAAATCCAACAAAATCATTGTCCTCGCTGGGCAGCATTCGCAACGTAACACACCGGGAAAAGATCCGCAAGCTTTGGATTCGCTGGCGCACGGTTTCATCGATCTTATTCAACAACCCCAAACTCCCACCCCCCAAAAGCCTTCCCGTCTGTGATGCCCTTCCCCCCCACGGTCTTCTCCAATTCAAGTCATCCATCCTCTCGATCCTCTAGATTTGATCGGCTACGATCCCCGACCCGAGAAGTTGCTGTGACGGAAGAATGCATACTGTGAGCGAGCATGCAGATGCTTAGATGCCAAACCACTGTGGACGCTTCTTCACTCGAATCGCTTCAAAGGCTTTGTCAGTTTCCAATGATTCAACGGTGTGTAAGTGACCGCTTGCCTCAAAGCACTCCCCCCCCGCCCTTTTGTGCTTGGCCTTAGGTTCTCTGCCTAGGGAGCTCCCCGATGACCAGACTCGGTCCCTTGCTGCAGCCGAGCAGAGCGACTTGGCTTCAAAATGTGGCTTGTCTGGAACGGCAGCATCCCCTAGGGAAGCACTGCTTGTCGATATTAGGCCATCTTGGCGTGCAAGGCCTCTTCCAATTCCTCAGTGGCTTCTTTTCTCTTTTCAATTTCCATAAACGAGATTGATGGAAGTCCCCTGTCCCTTGTCGAATTGTCAGACTTTTCCCCAAGTACCAGTCAAAGGCCAATGACTGAGGCCTTGCATGGCTATCATCATTGTCGATTTTGAAGGTTCGTGGCCTACAGGTCACTACAGTCTGGCTAAAGCAAGTCTGTAAGGTTCCACATAATACCGAGATGAAGCCTTAGAAATACATTCCTTTTTGGTTGGTCTGCGGACATCGGTGTCGAAAATCTGGCATCATGAGCCTTACTCAGCTAGACTTTGAGAGTTGCTCGTGCAATAAGGAATGCCGTGTATTCAAGAACATTCCAGGGCCATCGAAAACATCACCGAAAATTGAGGCCAAGCGGAGGAACGACATCTTTAGCTTGGTAATCAGGCTTAGCGACCTCCTCAATAGCGATGCTGGGGGGTGAGAAGCTTCATAAGAAAGCGATAGTTAGCTGTTACAGACCTACAAACGTATCTATCCTTTACTTAGTAGCTTTGCCTGTAGGTATATTGAACAACACAGCTGGCTCGCCATGCATGAAAGGCCGATCCACCCTAAAGTATCCTTTCCTCTCGAACTGGATAATATCGTTCTCGCTCAGGTCAGCCACGTTCCCATCAGCCAATGCTTCAGTCCTAAATTCGGTGTGGTCATTGAGACACTCATCAATTTCATCGTCTTTCTCGATGATATCCTTGTTAATCAGGTAGTCAAAATCGACTAGCTCGACGGGGATAAGCTCTTGGCCTTGGGTAGAGAGCCACGTAATCTTTTGCTTTGTTGCTTTGAAGTCGCCTTGGAGGTGAAGCTCGAGCTCTAGACCAGTGACGGTGGAGAGGGTGAGCGGATTTAGGGAATGAGAGATCTTGCGGACAATCGCATTGCCCCAGCTCATGAGGGTAATCTCTTCATCTTCTTTCAAAGACTTGGCATCTGACTGCTCGATGATGATGGTAGTGCTGAACGCGACCTTCTTCGTCCCAAGCGCAGGATTTTTCCCGTGCTTAGGCTTGTCTTCTGTGTATGGTGCCACCCTCGCACCTCTCACATTTGCTGTGACAGCATGGTCCTTATCGATGGCTGTGTGGCGCGGCGCTACTGGGTCGATATACTTCTTGTTCGTCGCCCAGAAAAGCGTCCAATCCAGGTTCACAATATTTCGGGATGGCCCCTGTTTGAGGATGAACTCGCGCAGCGCCTCTATAGTCATACCTCTCCTACGGATGCCCCGAATGGTCGGGAAGCGTGGATCATCCCAACCCCAGACCCTTCCCTCATCCACAAGCTTGGTCAGCTTTCTTTTAGAGAGAAAAGTTCGGATAAAATTCATGCGTGCGAAGTCCCAAATGTAAACCTGAGCACGTACTCGGAGTCAGCTGTCTCTTTTCTAAAGAAAGAAAAAGCCAGAAATCCAGTTGGGGTGGCACGAAGAGGATTCCTCGAGACATGTGTTGCGACCCAGAGGGCGCCACGACTCAAGAGGGAATGACCCCAAATGTACGTACCTTTCTTAACTTCAACGCATCGAGCATCCAGTCGTACTGAGGGTTCCGATCACGGTACTCGATCGTTCTGAGGGCATGTGTGACTCCCTCCATCGAGTCGACGATCGGACAGCAGAAATCGTAGATAGGGTAGATTTTCCACTTGTTGCCAGTCCGATGATGAGGCAGAGGGTTGCAACGGTAAATAACGGGATCGCGCATAGCCTTGTTGGGATTGTCCACGCTGATCTTGGCTCTAATGCACCATCTGACGCCCTCTTCTGTGCCCTTTTTCATCTCCTCGAAGTGGGCAAGGTTATCTTCAACGGAAGCTTCTCGCCGCTCACTAGGCAGTCCATGCCATCTCTGATGCTTCATTGTCTCCTGCTCAGTGTCATCCGCGTATGCCTTGCCCTCTTTGAGCAAAGTGACGCAGTATTGGTAAAGCTCGTCAAAGTAGTCACTTGTGTAAGTTGTCTTGTCTGGACGTATTCCCATCAGGGCCAGGTCTTCGACAATCGCATCTTGAAACTCCTCTTTTTCTTTGGACGGGTTCGTATCGTCAAAACGGCAAATCAATGTTCCCTTATACATCTCATGCGCGAAGTAATCATTGAGCAATGCAGCTTTTGCGTGCCCGATATGGAGATAACCACTTCGCAACATCAGCATGAATGCAGCATGATACGTGAGAGTAGAGCTTACGATGGCTCGGGGGAAACCGAGTGACAACGCCCTTCTCTGTGTCCGGCAAGGCAATGTCATAGCTCGCTCCTTCACTGCTCTTTGTCGCCTTCTTCGCCTGAGCCTGTGCATTCGCTGAATGGACGGCCGTTACAATCCAAGCGTTGGTCTCCTCAATGAACTTGAACCATCTAGTTACGTTCAACAAGGCGCCTTTTTTAACGGCTGCATGAGCAACTTTGTTGCCTCGGATAGCTGCCCAAACAGAGAGATCTGCGACTGTGAGAGTGTATCCCACAACGTGAGAGCGAAGCGTCAGATGTGCATCTAGCTCAAGCAGTGGACCATCAATAGATTTAAAGTCTGTGGGGACGAATGACGCTGTTCTTCCTAGCCATTCTTTGACCTAAATCAGCATTAGTCTTTGCACATTGGCCCACGACGTCAATATGAGCCCACCAATGTGTCATGTTTGCCTTGCAGAAAGGGATATGCCTCCATAAGGCCATCGATGACTTTCTCGGAACCATACGTAGATGTCTCACTTCCTACGATAATCTCGACAGTAGCATTGTCTCCTGCCTTGAGGGTATCTACTTCCTCGAAGTTGACATTGATCGAGGAGTTAGGATCTGCTTCTTTCGCGTACTGTGCAACCAGTAGAGCCGGGAAGGTGGTGGCTTGGTTCGCCTTCGATGCAATGTTCAATGTTGCCATTTCCTGTAGACGAAGGGCACCCCCGGTCCTCGTTGTTTACAAGGAAAAGGTGGAGATGTTACAATGAGGAGCGTCTTTACTGTTAAATATTTTAAGAGTCACAAAGCGTTGAACTCAACCCGATGGAGAGACGCAGTAAGCGCGTTATGCGCGGGCTTGGCAACAATGGTCCCCAGGTCGAGTTCTGCTTGGCTCACATTATCAGGAGAGGCAATGGCTTCCAAAGCTCCCATAGCCTATCTCTACTCTCCAATACGCTGCTCGTCGTTTAGTTCTCCGGTATTGAGATGCTTCGCCCCCTCAATTCCATCGCGCTACGCCTCCGGTCTGAGCATAAGGGGCTCTAGAGCCCGAGACCAACCAAAAGAAAAAAAGAAGCAACGCACGGAGTTTAAAAATCAGAGCCTTAGCGATGCACTCCAGTTTTCTCTCTGTGACGCGATGCGGTAATTCTCATTCCCTCTCAGACTTGGTACCGGTCTCTAACCTTTTTCCCTGCAGCTACATCCGCGCCTTTGAAGTAGGCCGGAATCCTACCTCTGCTAAATACGATCTTGCCGTTAGACTGCGCACCACAAAGAATGGGCCAGCTGTCCGCAATCGCCTACGCTTACCCCACGCCGTCGATACCTCCCTCCGCATCTGCGTGATCTGCCCTCCTGACTCCCCTGCTGCTTCCCAAGCAAGGAAGGCAGGCGCAACACTTGTGGGTGAGGAAACGGTCTTTGATGCCGTAAAGGAAGGACGCATCGAGTTTGACAGATGTATATGTCATATAGACTCAGCTCAGAAGCTCAACAAGGCGGCTTTGGGAAAGATACTCGGACCAAAGGGCCTGATGCCAAGCTCGAAGACTGGAACTATTACGAAGGATATTGCGGGGACAGTAAATGGTTTGGTGGGTGGGAGCGAGTACAGGGAGAAATTAGGAGTGATAAGGTGTGCCGTCGGACAATTGGGATTCACACCAGATGAGATGCAGCGAAACGTTAGAGCATTCGTGGGAGAGATCAAGAAGGACCTGGCGGTGCTGAGTGATCGGATTTCGAAGGATATACATGAAGTGGTCTTGAGCTCAACCAATGCGCCGGGTTTCACTCTCAATGGAGATTTCAGGGGTCCTGAAAGCCCGCCGACATGCGATCTTGCTGTACTATAAGTTTAGATTGAATGTTCAAGGGACCTCTTACGAATTGAGTTTGTAAAGGGCTCATATCTGGGACTGCGTTTTGCAAATTTCAAGAATCCTGACTTGAAGCCAATATCAGTAACCAGGTCTCGAGAGTGCACGATAGATGCCGCCGGTGGGTCTGAAATGGATGGTTTCCAGAGATGTATTCCGATCGGTGCAGCTCACACGCCAACGCTATGCTACCATGTGCCCAGAGTTCTAACTGCGTTCGACTTTACCGTTTTGATTCTTTCAATACTTGCATGGCCTCACTTGCTTCGCCCATCTGTTTGTATATCCCCAGAAGCTTCAGCAATTCCCCTCTCATGTTCTCGCCGCCTGCAACAGCCTGCTTCAGCGCGCTATTCAGATCCAGTAGCACCGTCTGCTTCAGCCTTAGCACCCTCTCCTCCTGCTTTATGAGAAACGGATGTTCTGGTCCGATTCTTTCCATCGAGCCCTTGATGTACAGGTATTGCTCCATGTGCCTTTGTAATCGGGGGATGCTAATCCCGTTGCTTTCCTCTTCATCACTCTCTTCCTCGCTTTCGCTCGGGATTACTTCCTCTTCATTGACCGCTGCCTTCTGAGGAATGGTTGAGGCGAGCATTAGCCGACCCTCTAACTCTCCAATTTTCCTTTCGATTTCCAACAATCGTCTTCCTACTTGCACACTCTCCCTGATCCTCTTCCTCTCGTGCACCAGCTCCTCTACCTCTTGCCTTCTTCCATCTACCTTGCCCCTGAGGCCTTCGACCTCCCTTCTAAATCCCAACAATCCGAGCCGCACCTCTTCGACCTTCTCGTCGCCACCTTTCAAGCTGCTCCCTAAACTTAAGAAATCCTGGTAATTCTCATTGACGAGATCGAGTAGTTCTTTGTTGAGGTCCTGGCTTCGAGTCCGGAGCTCAGCGCGCAAATCTTCGAGTGTTTGGTGTCGATTGTGAAGGGTAGACAAAAAGGTTGCAGGGTCAAAACTAGGAGTCAGAAAAGACGCGCGAGTAAGGGGTTTTGGGTATGGGAGGTTGTCGTCTGAAGAGGCAGAAGAATCATCGCCGCCGAACTGGAAGTCATTGGTCAGCTAGGCCTTCAGTCAAGACAGGAGTCTTCATAGCGTTCCTACATAAAATCTTTTGGACATAGTAGTGCACGAGTGGTGTGTGTGTGTGAAGCTTGGAGGTCTAAGCATGGATGCGATATGACCGCGCTTAGCGCGCGTTTACTCTGCAAGTTGCAACTGCTTCTCGAACAGACTACCACGACTGAGTAGATACACAGGCTACGGTTCGACACATTGAGTGCATGCTCCACCCTTCTGAGCAGAAGTGTGCAGTGATCGAACTCCAAAGTCGGCGCCATGGCCTCACCACCTTACCGCTCTCCCGCAACATCTCCGCCATACCCCCCTCACACGTCTCTCCCAAACCCCAAGAAACGTCCGTCAGTGAATGTACCACCCTATGCACCTTCACTGAAACGCCAGAAGCGAAGCTCTATACACTCGGCTGCATCCTCAGCTCACCCGCTACGGCAAACTTCATTTCCTCCTGAAGAGTCCGCCATCCTTACTGGCGAGCGCAGTCCCAGCGTGGATAGCGAGATCACGAATATGACTGGAAAGGGAAGCCTTGCTATGACTGGTGGAAGGAGAAGAAAGTCCAAGGGCAAGGGAAAGAAAGCAGCGGTTAGTGTGAAGAGTGGCGCGAAAGAGAAAACCGTGGATGGAAGGGAGGCCACAGGTGAGGTGCCCGATGATGATGACGAGGATGACGATGAAGGAGGAGATGATATCATCGATGGTGTGGAGGAAGAGGATAGAGAGGCCGAAAAAAAGAAGCTTGCGTGAGTGCAGCTGGCTTTCTGCAGCATGCCAACAGGACACAATGCTTTCCGAAGAAAACTGACGATTGGGATGCAGGGTCCTTATCGGCGCATTCAACTACGATCAAGAAAAACGCTATGAGTGTTTACGCCGAATCAGACTGAAGAAGGAGACGGTCCGAAAGGTATGTTGCTCCTGCAACCTGCGGTAATGATTTCATCCTGCATTTTCTCACGTCCAGCATAGATTACCAACCAAACCGTCTCCCAATCCGTCCCTCCAAACGTCATAACAACGATCAATGGCTACACAAAGACCTTCATTGGTACCCTCATTGAACGTGCTCGTGAAATTCAAGAGCAGTACGCGAGTCTGGAGACACCGCCTCTAACGCCACCGAAAGTGCCCATCGACCCTACCGACTTCAGCAGCGAACATCCAAACAACGAGATTTTCCAGGCCGCGAGTCCAATGGATGCTCTTGGCCAGCTTTCATATGCGGCTGCAGTAAATGAGCACCAAGAGACCCAGAAGCCGAAGCAGCGTGACCATGGTCCGTTGCTACCAGACCATTTCCGTGAAGCTCTGAGGAGACATAAGCGGGATGGAGAGGGCGGAGGTACGGGGCTGCAAGGCGTAAGTACAGGACTTGGACTGCCTGGGAGTGGTTCGGCAAGGCTGGCCGGCAGAAGGCTTTTCAGGTGAGAAAAGCAGTTGACATTTGGCACTGCCCCGCACTCCAGTGCAACAAGTGCCCCTAGATTTAGCATGCAGAAACACGAGCATCTCGCTCGCGGACGAGGTCAATGTTGATCCTCCAATATCCACGCTGCACCAGGAGATTAATTCCTCTGTTAGAGAAATCGATCCTTTCCCACGGCAATTGACGCCAGTGCTATGCGGAGTAAAATACCGAGTCAAACGAGCTGTTCATCCCCTCCTCCCTCTACCAGCAGGAGCACCACCGCCACCCATTCCACCCATCCCACCCATCATCTTCATCATACTGGCCATGTCAGGCATGCCTCCGCCGCCTGCCCCGCCCATTCCACCCATCATCTTCATCAGTGAGCCCATGTCTGGCATCCCTCCTCCTCCACCGCCCATGCCGCCTTGGCCGAGACTCTGCATTCGTTTTTGCATGGCTGCCATCTGCTGTTGTCGATTCCCGCCACCCATCTGGCCCTGTGCTTTTTGCATGTTCTTGGACATGCCGCCCATTTTCTTCGCCATACCTGCCATGACTTTCTGCTGGCTGAGCAATTCTTCGACCTCTCTGACACTGGTGCCGCTTCCTCTGGCCACTCGAGTCATGCGTGCTGGCTGCTCGACAAATAGTTTGCCATCGCTATCAAGCTCTTTGTTGTTCATGGAATCGCAGACGTAGATCATTCGCTTCATTTTCATGGATCCCTCTTCGTCATCCATACCGCCCATCATCTGGCCAAGACCGGGAATCATGCCTGCCATTTTAGATAACGGGCCCATCTTCATGATATTCTGAAGCTGATCCCGCAGGTCACGGATTGTGAAGACACCTTCTGCTAAATGCTTCATGGTGTCTTTCTGGTCAAGTTTGAGAGCTTGTACGTGCTCGACAAGCCCTTGCATATCCCCCATACCAAGTAGCTTGCTTACAAAAGGCTGTGGGGAGAAGCGTTCAAGATCGAGCATGTGCTCGCCTGTGCCAATGAAGACGATAGGGGTGTGAGTTGCTGCAACTGCTGAGATTGCACCACCGCCTGAGGCATGGCCATCGGTCTTCGTGATTATAATTGCACCGTAGTCGGCTGTTTCTTTGAATGCTTTGGACTGTGCTTCAGCCTGCTGGCCTATAGTGGCATCGAGCACCATGATAGTTTGGTCTGGGGTTATAGCACGTTGAATCTGAGTCATCTCGTCGAAGAGGTCTTTCTCTTGCCTATGCCGCCCGGAGGTATCAACGATGATAATTTCAAACCGCTCTTTCTTGAACTTAGCCACGCCTTCGGAGGCGACCTGTGCTGGATCTGTAGATGTGAGGGAACCAAAGTATGGGATCTTGGCTTTGGTAGCATTTTGTTTCAGCTGATCGAAGGCTCCAGCACGAAAGGTATCGGCGCACACGAGACACGATTTGAAGCCTCTCGTTTGGTAGTGACGAGCGAGCTTGGTACAGGTAGTTGTTTTGCCTGAGCCTTGGAGGCCAACGAACATAATGACGTTGGCCTTGCCTTTCTTGGGCTTGAACGGTTCGGCATGAGGATCGACAAGTTTTACAAGCTCATCGAAGACGGCTTTTTGTATCAGGCGCTTCTTGTTGACAGCTGGTGGTAGATCTTTAAAGTTGACTGTGGCTTTTATGGATTTGCGGAGGGTGCCCACAAGCTTGACGTTGACATCTGCTTCGAGGAGTGCGGCACATATCTCTTTTATCATGCCATCGAAAGCCTGTCGAACAGGTCAGCTATCTATTCCAATGGCGTGTAGTCTAGCACTCTAGAGACCTTCTCGTCAAGGTTCTGGGATCTTGTGAGGTCCGAGACAGCGGCATTAATACGCCGACCTAAATCTTGAAGAACCATCCTGCAGCAATACCGACAAATACATCAGTAGACGCTTATACTCGGATACTTTCTAGGTCATTATGATAGAAATCTATCTTGGGTGACAAGTGTGACGTTTGGGTGGGAGAAAGGAGGGGGGGTTTAGCCGAAAAAAATCGCGTAAAACTGCCCCGCCCGGCCGTCAAAATCTCTAAATATATATTGTGTTTACGACTTCAACGTCCTTCAATATTCACTTCAGCATACAATGGCGTTTATAAACGCGAAGAAGCGCAAGCTTGCCGAAGATACTCACAGTGCTAAGATTTTCAATAAATCGCACAAACGACACCATTCCCATCACGCACCGTTATTATCTACCGACTATCAAGCCACTATGCAGCTCAGAAACCACGAGACCGGCAAGGTGGCTAATACCGCCAACCTCACCAACAACAATAATCGCAAGCAGAATATGGGCAGTGACATTCCAGAAGTCTCTGCTAACGAAATTTCTGGCAAGAATCTCAGAAACCGCAAGGTCACTGTGAATTCCGAACCTACCAAACCCAAATCTAACACACATCGCGAGCAACCAGTCATTGCCGAGACTCTTGATTTTCCTGCTGATGAAGCTACATCATTGAGCCTTGAGAAGGCCAAGGCCAAGCTTCGCAACGCTTTAGAAGCTCACCGCGACAAGTCCAAAATCCACGGCAATACTACGGATTCATCCGCTGATGAAGCTCCTGCCCTCGCTCTGAAAACCTTCAAAGTCAAGCCCATCAACACTTCCAAAGCAGATTCCGTCAAGGAGGCCGCCAAGCATCGACAACTTACCAGTAAAATCTCAGATTCCTCCGCCGACGAAGCTCTCGCCCCGAACATCAAGATGGCCAAGGCCAAGCCTACCAACACATCCAAGGCCCCCCCTACTAAGACTGTCAGCAAGCAACAAAAAGCCTCCGGGAAGGCCTCAAGTCATTCCGCAGACCAAGCTCCCGCTGTGGAACCTACGAAGGCAGGATCAAGCAAAATGATCGCACAGAAGGAGAAGGTCTCCAGTTCTGAACTTTCTTCGCTCGACGACGTTGATATCTCTATCGCAGACCCTACCGACGCAGGCGCAGATGCTGCCTCACCCTCAACCTCGGAGCAAGTCTCAGGTGGAGAAGACGGATCAGAAGAAGGGGACGAAGAGAACAAGGAGTACTCAGAAGAAGAACATGATGAAGACGAAGCCGGTTCCACGAGCCCCGCGATAGACGAGTTTGCCTCGGACGTAGAAAATTACCCACGCTCAGACGACGACCGAATTATCTCCCTCCGAATTATCTCCCTCCGAATCCGAAGGCGAAGTATTTCGAGCAGCCCGATTCGAAGCCGAGGCCGAATCGATCACCAGCTCTGAGAAATCAATGGCTTCCGACGCCGGATTCGGCTCGGACGGCGAGTCCCATCCAGACAACAAAAAGAAGGAAACCTTCAAAGCCGACGACGCCAGCGCCTTCGCATCTTCCATGTCCGCAATCCTAGGTAACAAACTCACCACAACACAACGTGCAAACCCTATCCTCGCGCGTAGTGCGGATGCCAAAGAAGCGGACGAGGCGCTCCTTGATCTGAAGTTGGGGAGGAAAGCTAAGACCGAGATTAGGAGGAAGCATCAAGAGAAGTTGTTAAAGGAGATCCATGGTGAAGGGGCAGGGGACATGGTTGGATCCATTGCTGATATCGAAGATCCCGAGGATTATGGGACCGTCTTTGCGTATCAGCAGCGCGAGAAGGGGTTGAGGAAGACGGCGGAGAAGGGAGTGGTCAAGATGTTCAATGCGTTCACCCACGTGCGTGGAAAGACTGTGGAGGCGAAGGGGATGGTTGGGAGTAGGGCTCAAAAGGAGGGAAAAGCTACCGAGATGACTAAGGAGGGTTGGTTGGACTATGTTGGTCAGGGTGGGGAAGGCACGACTGAGGAGGAGGGCTTGGGCAAGGTTGCAGGGGAGAATAGCCTTTCCGAGCTTGGGGAGGAGGACAAGATCGAGAAGCAGAGTGAGCTTGGAAAGAAGGGCGAGTCTGGGCCGAAAGGGAAGCTTGGCAAGAAGCGAGCTTGGGAAGAAGAGTGAGGATGATGAGGCTCGAGATGGCATATCATTGTCACGACGAAAGAATCATGGCTGCATGTCCGAATTTCTTTGAGAGAAGACTGTATTTGAGATGAGGATCGCTACACATATGGCTTGATACACTCCATACCACCAGGCAACGCCATAGCTCCTTGCAGTCAAGGACCATGAATGGACATTAGAAGAGCAGACAAGCATCAGAATTCTCCACCCTTCCCGCCAACGCCTCCCCATGTCGCTGCTCCCCAAACACCCACTAATCCCCACATTCCGACCCTCCATCCTCTCCAAAGCCCCTCGAACCCTTGCCCTTTCCTCCTCTTCCTCTCTTGACCAACCTTTCCTACCTTCATGGCCGGTGCACCTGCTGTACCCTTCACCGACTCCGCCGGAGGGCCTCTTTCGCCTTCTTCGTAGACGATCGAGTGCACGGTTCCTAACAAGCCACGATAGGGCCCGACTTCAACGATCGTTTGCATTTCCTTCCCTCTGCTGGTGGATCGGGCAACATCCATTTGGCCTCTCCTAAGCACAGTCTCGATCGGAAGCTTCACGACAAGCTCAAACGCTTGCCCGACGAAAGTTGCAATAGAATACATATTGGGAGTTAGAACCGGATCTATGCCAAGCTTAGAGCGCAGAAACAAAGGTGTCGAAGCTGAGATTAGTGTGGGTATCGTAGAATTTAGTATCGCCGCTGGAGCGATTGAGAAAGGCAACGTCCATTTGGGTAGTGTCTTCAAGGTCGCAATTATCGATCTGGGTGGATGCGTCGAAGGTGTCAGTATGAGCTTTGTGCGAGCTATGTCCAGGGGGGGCGAGTATCATGCCCGCTAAGCCGGCCGCAGAGACGGCTACAGCTAGCGAGGCGAATGGTGAAGGTGAAGATAATATATCGAGCCCGCCAGCGTAAGAGAGTGTTGGAGTTGCTGTGAAAGAGAGTCCAGGGTCAGGTAGCGCCATAAACGCAGAGAAGAATGATCGGACAAAGGAGGTGATTGTGGATAGAAGGATCGAGTGGATGTAAGGTGCTATTGGTGCCTTTCCATATTCCCCAAGGCCCTTCTGCTGCCCAGTGGGAAGACAGTACGGCTAATACGGAGGAGGATGATTTGAGATCGAGGGTGTGGGGAGATTGGTGCGGTTTTGACGGAGGTGGTTGAGGCGTGTGGACTCGTGGAACACCGTCTGGTTCTGGAGAGCCATGCCGTCGCCGTGTCCGTGAGCGTCGAGTTGGTGTATGTGCGAGAGGTGCTGAGGAAGTGAAGTAGGAGGGAGAGTCAAGGTCCGAGTCCTCATCAGAAAACATCTAGGCACCTTGATCAGCTAGAAACAGTACCTTTGGGGCATTATCCCAATACCTCGTACGAGTCTCGCCGATAGCTGCCAGATCTTCTGTGCAAATCATCCACAAATGCCTCCTTTGCTATTGACTTCTGGACTTGACTGCCAGCCTGGACCTGCAACACTGTCTTCGCTACCTCGAATGGCTGCGCCAGGAATACGCTGGTATACTTCCATATTGCCTGTTCCACCAGTCCCTTCATCACCGCAGTAGACGAGGGCGAAGACTCGGGTATGTAGTCTGTATAGTCCATATCCGCCAGGATATTTCGCGCTGAGGAGCCAAAGCTGTTTGTTGACGTAGAGGAGACATGCTTGCTGCCGGCATTTGTGGCAAAGGTTCCATTCTGAGGTCCGCTTGGACCAACGGAAGGAGGTATATAGTATGGTCTCAAAGGGTTTGGACCCTCTCGTGGAGTAGACATTGGTATTCGCTGCACTCTAGGTGTGAAGAAAAAGACAATAATGGATTCTTTGCCTTGATACTGAATTGGCGGAGAGCAAGTTTCGGCGAGCCGGCGCTTACACTTTCCGTCCTCGTCATATCAATCTTTTTTGACCCAAATGGCAAACGATATCCTTTCGAGCTTCAAACGTATGCAATTCAGAGGCGTCGAGCATGTATATAGCTCGTCAGGCACCTCGTGCTGTGGGGATATGCTGTCGATCAAGTTACGCTACATCAGTTGCTCTACTTCCTTCTCGACATACAGCATCATCACGAAATTACAGCAATGATGCTTCGGTCTGGCATTTGAAAGAAAGACTTACAAGGACGACAGGAGATTTTGGCAGGCAGACACTATATTCAAGAGCTAGACGAAGATTTTCCACATCCCCTGTGGCTATGCATGGCCACCTTACGCCCCCAAAGCCTGGCGAAGAGTGAGAACCTCGGGCAACATGAAGAGGACTGCGAAGAGGTTCGACTGACGCATTGGCTTCTGCAGGCTAAACGTCACATTCGTCGATAAGGAAGGGGAAGAGCATAATTTTCAAGTGGCTCACGGGGACAATTTGCTGGATATCGCGCAGTCAGAGGAGCTGGAGATGGAAGGTGAAACACCCATGGGACGTCAGTGCTGGTAGCTTGCATTGACTGAATTAATCAGGGGCCTGCGGCGGATCATGTGCCTGCTCAACCTGTCATGTCATTGTCGAATCCGACGAAATGTATGAGAAGATGGACGAACCAGACGACGATGAGAACGATATGCTGGACCTGGCATTTGGATTGACGGAAACATCAAGGTTAGGATGTCAGGTCAAGATGAACAAGGCTTTAAATGGTCTGCGGGTGAAGTTGCCGAGCATGACGCGGAATCTACAAGCCAGCGATTTTAGCGGAGCGAAGAAATCATGACATAAAGGATTCAGTTGATCAATATGTGTGCAACATCGCCGGAGCATAGGAGTCATAGTGAGCGAGAATTTTCTGTCAACGTTCAACTACGGTACCAACCGGCAAGTCCACATTGCACTACACGAGTGCACAGAAAAGCTTGACCGGCATCCCCAAAAAAACCCCAGGTCGAATATCTGCGTCCCAGAACCGCTGATGGAAGACCTTCTAATCTCAGACATAAACAAAAGACTGAATATCTCGGAGTGATAAAACTCTACGAGGGTTGACCACCAGCCACCACTCAGCACGATACATCAACAGAGATCACGGGTCCGCTGGTAGTTGTTATGCAAACTACCTTGCGCTGTGCGCTTAGGGCATTCCTTCCTTCTGCCTCTTTCTAATGATTCCGTCTGTTTGGAAAGACTGTGAAAGACTATGCGCTGCGTCCCACAGATAGAGAGGAAGGTCGCCTTGTACTTCACGTCCATGTTTGCTCATTACCACGGTTTCCAATCCGATGTGTTCGCTGAGTGATGCTGACGAGCATCATTGTGGCCGCACCGATTTGAGTCTGACTCTTCATGGAAAGGGATGAGAGAATATTAAACTGTGGCATCCTGCACCAGATACCTTGGGACCGTGTGTGCTACGGTCTTGGAACTCGCACCGCAGAGCAGATCTCTGTTACGGGTAAATCGACTCTGCACATCCGAGATACCTTTGATGTGCCAACACACCCGGCAAATCGCGTTTATTGTATGAAGATCGTGGTTCACTGCCCTTGAAAATGCCCCTTTTAAGACTCAATCGCTTTTGCAATGTTTTCGCAACAGCAAAGAAAGAGGCTACTTATAGATTTCAGGCGATGATACCAGTTACCTAAGACAGCTTCCGTCAACCACAAGTGAAGTCTTTGCCTTGCATGACAGGCAAGGCGGTTGGGGCGGCTGCTGGACCGGTAGATAATCGCTCGGTAGCTTATTGTTTCCGTCCTTCTCTCCGAAAATTGGCGTTTTCAATCCATGATTTCCCTGTATTTTTCCTGCTGCCTGAGGAGCACGGCTGTATAAAGCTGAGTCATGAGAGTATCCACCTGTTGCAGACCGAGGCTCTTTTCTTCCTTACCTACAGAGATGTATATCGATAGCCGTCTGAATTTGGACCCGACATCGGAGGATGCTAGCCAGATTTGTGAAACTCCTGGCAAAATATAAGCTTCTGCGTGCTCGACGAGAGGCTGGAGGGAGTAGATGGTACGCCTGATGTCCCCCTGTGATTAGCGAGCTTTTGCCTATCATGAACACCCTCGATGTGTCAACAACGACCATCTACCCACGATAAAGGAGATTGTGAGGCCATGACAATACCTCCCCGCCTTAAGAAGCGCCCCCGTGCGCCCCGAAGCAGAAGCTATTATAAAGGACTGATGCTTTGAGGCCCTTTGCCAGAGCAAGCCAACCAGTCATCCACACCGTACGATATCAGCAGAATCTTGCGAGTCACTCGAATCCCAATCGTCATCGTCTGCAACAGCTGAGCAGGACCGATCCAGCAGAGCCTTTACACTCCTGAATAAGCCTGCGAGAACTGCCATATCGTTCAGAGTCTCAGAGCTTGCAGCTATGGCGAACAATCCCTCTCTGAGTGAGAAAAGGGCTATGGCCAAGGAGGAGCGTTTTCCCGAGCTATTCGTCAATACCAACATCGACCGGCGCATATGCCGGAGAGTGGTCCCGCTTAAGGTTATTGTTGTTGGCATGCCACGGACTGGAACTCAATGTATGTATAACGCCCAGATTGACAATCATAAGTCCGAGACGACCAGCTAATGCCGAATACAGCAATACGCGTGGCCCTCAAGCAGCTCGGTTTCAATGATACATACCATATGGACTGCCTCTTCGAAAACCCTCCAGACATCGACCTTTGGTGTCAAGCCTTCCTCGCCAAGTTCAAAAGCCAGGGCGAACCTTTCGGGAAAGAGCAATGGGATCAACTTCTCGGCCACTGCCAAGCGGTCTGCGATCTCCCAACCAGCGCATTCATTCCGGAACTCATAGCTGCGTACCCCGACGCGAAGCTCATCCTCACGCCGCGGGAAGAAAATAGCTGGTATGCATCCTGCCAGCGCACCATTCAAACCACGGCAACCGCTCGATCGATACACGTATGTCTGACCCATATCCCCATCTAGAATTTTAATCAGCTTTCCTTTTCCCCAATTCCAACTGATTCCGCAAGACCTCCGACACTAACTGGTCCCCCTGCTAGATCCTCTCCGCCCTAGATACCCACTTCCTCTCACGCTTCACACCGCTCCTCGGTCTTATGTTCGGATCCATGTTCCCCTGCCCGCCCGACCTTTGGCAGACGCCCGAGGGCAAACGCATCTGGATCGAGCACTACCGCCGTGGGCACGACGAAGCCCGATTTCTCGTGCCTCCAGATCGCCGCTTAGAATATAGCGTGGAACAAGGATGGGGCCCGCTGTGCGAGTTTCTCGGGGTCGAGGTGCCGGTTGGGAAGACGTTCCCAATGGTCAATGACTCGGGGAGTTTCGCAGTCAAGATAGGCGTCGTGAAGCGGCTGGCCGCGAGGAGAGTAGTGAGGAGATGGAGCCCGGTGCTCGGGGTGCTTGCGGCCGCTGGGTTGGGGCTGTGGTGGGCGAGGCGGTGATGGGTCGATACGGTCTTTACAGATGCGGGCCTGGCGTCTACAGAGAGGGAGGCTTATGATAACCATTCTTGCGGTTGGCTTGTATGGACGATTTTGGGGTTCATGATCTTCACATTCTTGTTTCAATACTTACATCGAATTTATAGATCTCAGATCTACCCTTTTTTGGAAGCTGGTACTCTACAGCATTTTGCCCGAAACCCCAAACAACTCTACTGGACGCTCAAATATGGGTGTTATAATCGCCAAGTCTTGGGGCTTTCAATGGTGGAAATGTCGACAAGTACTACGCGGCCGAAGGATCGAGATGTTCAAGATTTGGAATTGAAGCCGATATGAAGCTCCGAGGTAGTTAGTGTGAGGAGTCGTTGAAAGACGCAGAGCCATCTTGTACTTGAGTAGCGTCCTGAGTAAGATCCAAGCGCCTCTTTGAATCGATGGCGGATTTCCTAAACTCATAACCTTGCGGCTAAAGGAAGGTTGTAAACAAAGGGCTGCTTGTCAAAAACCCAAAATTTCGATGCGCGGCCTAAAGGAGGAATATCAGGGCTCAAGGCCAAAAGTTGGCCGCCCCTTTTTGCGACAAAGCCTTTCCTCACTCCTTCCTCCGGATCCCAACCATACCCTCCACCCTCACGTCCTGCCCCAGCACCCCTGCTTTCTTCAGCACGCGTGCAGTCTCCTGCACCACACTCCCCCTCACACCCCTGACATCTTCCGCAAACTTCACCGTCTTCAACCACTCCCTCGCATCCTCGGCCGAATAGTCCAGCTCAGTGCTGATGTACTGCACCGCCTCCTCCCGATGGTCCTCAAAATACTTTATCCCCAGATTCAGTTTCTCGAGCATCTCTTCCATCCTCTCGTCTCCGATAACCCCGGGCCTAGCGACTATGTGCCAGCTCGGCCAGGGTGTGTATATTTCCCCGATGCGTTTGATTTCGCCGTTGTCATAGTATCGTTTCGAGGTGAAGTGTTCCCACATGAAGAAGTCGGCGGTGCGGTCATTGACGGATTCTCGGAGTTTGGCGAAGGTTTGCAGGGGAATGATGTCGAAGGGCGCGGATGCCGACGAGGATGAGGTAGAGGCTGGGGAAAGCCAATCGTGCGTATCGGCGAGGACGAAGCCCATCACGTAGGAACCACTACACGAGTTGTTAGGGCCGAGTTTGTTGGAGTTGGGTGGAAGGGAAGCGTACCTACCAATCCGGCTGACGCCCATCTTTGCCCCTTTCAGTCGCTCCACTCCCGTCACATCCTCTCTGTTGGCTCCCGTACTTATCGCCCAGCATAACGGCGTTTCCACATACGTTCCCACCATCCTGTAACCTGCAGATTTGCTCTCGGCTTCGGCCTTACCAAGCCCAGCTACCCAACCCTCTGTGAGACCAATGCCGATGTCTATCTCATTGGATTGGAGAGATGTGATCATGTGGCCTGTACCGGAGGGAAATGGGATGAGTGTACATGATAGCGAGAAGTGCGTAGAGGCGAAGTGGATGGGGGTGGAAAAATGTTCTAGGGCACGTTAGCAGGGGTGGTAAAGAGGGCGTGGGGTAGGCGGGGGGAGGGGCACAGGGGTCGTTGGGAGCTGAAGTGGTGGGAGAGGAGAGAAGAACAATGACTGACCTGGTACATAGCCTATACGGAGAGGCGGAGAGGAAGGCATGGCAGAGAAGGATGGGCAACTCTTGAGACTCAATATCCCAAGTTCATGTAAATGCCATTGTGAGCGGAGTGCTTGCTACATCATGTGGAAAGTCCCTCGGAAACTTCCGAAATTCAGCCCTATTGGATGTCACCCAACGATTGAACCCCGCCCCGGCGCCCCAGCGGAGCACAGCACTGGCACTAGCAGTGCCTCTCGCAGACTGATCACTGAATGATATTCCGTTGTGCCCGTCGACGGATATTGAGGGAGCATTTTCTGCAGCAGTCATATGCAGCTTACGAGCTGAAAAGTTCCGACGTCTGAGGTTCTGCAACAGTCTTCATCTCGGTCAATCATGCGTGAATACAAGCACCAGCTGTTGCCTTTTCGACTGCTCCATGCATGTTTCATCTTATTGTTTCTCAATTTCCTTCATGTCTTTGGTCCAGGCTGTTCTGATGATGGACTCAGCCTTTCGTAAAGGGCTTTGACCCCCCCCCCAAAGCATCAGTCACAGCCTTTTCCCTGCATCGGACAACAGCTTCTTGAAGGAGCCTTTTCTATGCCACTCCCCTTGGCTCCTTAGATCTTTATGCCTCATGCATGGGATTGAGCTGCGAAGCGAAGTCGCAGCTGGCAGTGCATCCATGTGCTCTGACTGCGAGGTGTTTCTGACCATATAGCATTGATTCCTGCTCAGGGTTGTCTCTGCTTCATAAACCATGTTTCTCGAGGGAAGCTTCTCTGTCAAAGTGTCCCCTGAGTTCCTTTGAACGTCAAAATGCCTACCTCTATTGTTTCTCTTGCACTCACCTCCTTGATAGCAGTATACAACGTGGCACAAGTTTCATGTGGTGATCAGTGTTTCAATATCGACGAAATTCAGCAGCCAGAATATTTTCCTTGCAATCCCTCAGCTCCAACCAGTAATTGTTGTCAATCAGACTGGATCTGTCTAAGCAACGGCCTTTGCGAGCCCGACAACAACCCCCGTCCAAATCCAGTAGTGTGGACCGGGCTCTGCACGGATCCTTATGTGGGGAAATACGACAGCATGTCCTAAGATTTGCCAAAATAATTTGACTGGTACGTACAGCTCAGGAAGCGGGGTGCGAGATTCTGATTTGGAGTCGAAAGAATGGCTAACTCTACCAAATCAGCTATCGGTGTTGACAATCGTGTATCATCGTGCGGAAAAGGCCACTTCTCCTGCTTTGAAGACAACAACAGCCAAGCTAGTTGCAGTACTTTCACCAACGGGTTTTTCTTAGGGGTGGCAACAGTCGTGACAACCATCACTGGTCCAAGCCCAATGCCCGTCACAACCAGTTCGGAAACCGGCGCAACTTCTGCTGCGGTCAGTACTGCAGCTTATCCGTGTCCAGATCTCGACGGTACCTCATATACAGATGCTACCGGAAACAGTTACAAAATCCAATGCAGCACCAACTATCCTGGCAATGATCTTCCAGCCGTCCACGCAGATACCTTCGAAGAGTGCCTGAGAGTTTGTGATGCCTATGTGCCAGAACCCTCCGCAGCTAGTGAGGCTTCCTGCATTGGCGTGAGCTGGGGGGCAGGAAATCCGGGTGGCAATTGCTATCCCAAGTACCAAATCACCACCATTAACACTAATGATGGCGGTCTTTCGAGCGGGTACCACGTCAACTATACGCTGCCAAAATCAGCTGTGACCAATCAGGGCAACAGCCTCTCGATTTTGAACGCACCGGCGACGAGCAGCACCCACTCAGCGACGTCAACGATCATGCGTACACCTACTCCCAGTGGTAGTTCAGACGGCCATGCGGCCGTCGGCGTTAGCGTGGGGGTTGGTGTACCCGTCGGCTTGGCGGTTTTTGCAGGCTTCTTCTACCTTATTCGGCGCCGATCAAAGAGACGACCTGAAGGGCTACTGGATGTGCATGCGGTGGCCAATGACAAGAACGATAATGAACTGCGCGAACAACGCGCAGAGAGGCGGTTGAATGAGCTCCCGGCGGAGAACCTACCTGGTGAATTGTCTGTTCCACACCGGCCTCGAGCGGAATTAAAATGAATACCCGGGTATCAAGCAGAACTCGGCTGAACCTTGTGGGTTGTGTCCTTGAGTTCGAGCGACGGACAGCTCGTAAGCACATGCTTTGGCATATATTGTGGGGGACGGATCCCAGCAACACGCTAATTCAGCAAGGTCTGGGTGATTTGGGCCTAGTCTTTGTGGTGATTATGCCTCGAGGAACATACAGGCTGTCACTCATTTGGTTCTTGTCATAGCTTTTCGGAGGAGCGGTGCCACTTGCTTTCGGCTCTTGCTCACGTCTTTCTGTAACCATACTTTTTCCAGTGCTGTCCTGGCTTGTCCTGTATCGAAACACCTTTGATATTGAGGATCTCTAGCTGGAAGTCAGACGCTCCTTGCTCTGCGAACTTGATCGCGGAAGAAGAGGAAGATGAACGAGCTTGAAGAAGCAGCTCTCTCTGAAATTCACCCTCTGAAGATGTGGATGTTGTCATAATCGCAAACATCGATAGGTCTCGCTCGTCCATGAAGTGTTGCAGCTGGTCCTCGAACGATGATTTATTCTCTTCACCTGCCTTCTGAACCAAGAATTCCAAGGGCTTCACTACGGAGCTGATGCCCAGTTTTGTACCACTCTCTGTCCACCCTTTGTAATCTTTGATCAAGACCTCGGTGAGGCTAAGGCTGCTAATGTCCCTCTTAGCTTCATCAATGTCCTTGTAGTAACGGTCCCGATTCCAACTTTTTGCGTCTTTAGGCGACAATTGGATCTTTGCTTCAAGGTAGTCCACCGAGTCCCGATCCACATGCTCCACTTTTCCAGGCGCTGTCAAATTGGCCGTATCCACCAGTATGCTAGCAAGTGCCATTTTAGCGACTTGTGCGTCCCAAACTTGGGTCACTGCACTGTCATCTACTGCAACTTCTCCTTGTCCATGAGCGGCACCGGTTGACAGTGAGGAGCTCGATATGCTGTCCCACGCAGACTTGCATTCGCGGACGACAAGGCTGGTGCAAGAGCCGCACTTCTCGATCACACGCGGTTCGGAGTCCGTGTTTTGAGGCACTGCGTTCTCTTCCTCATGGTGGTCTATCACTCCTAGCACTTCTGAAGAGTATTGATCGCCTAGATCCCCTTGTAATTTGTTGTGGTCCACTAATATCCACCGCACACTCTTCAGTAGCCTTGACTGACTTGGTAGATCGTCTAAAGTAATCAGACGATCAATTGCGATGTTTGCGTGTGCACAGACGGCAGAGAACTCGGGGCGGAGGCGGAGACCCGAAGCAGGTATGTTCAATAGAGGGACGTAGATGGGCGAGAAATTGTTTCGTGGAGGGGCAATGGATTTGATGTACGCGTAGAGAAGAGAGGATGTAAGGGAATCGAGGTCTGATAAAGGTCAGTATAGCTGCTGATAAGCCGTGGGCGATAGACAAGAAGACCTGCAGACTCATTCCCAATCACAATGTTTATGTTGTGCTCCTCGTGAACTGCTTTGACGAGGTTCGTCTTGGCATGCTGCAAAAAAGCACGAAGAGAATTGCGGGGAAACGCCATTTGAGTTGTCTTGTTAGAGCTCATAATCTTAGCTTCAACATGATGGAGAAGACGACAGTAGTCTTGACGGAAGAATTAACGCCAGGCCCCTGCTTCTGCATACCTGCGTCATTGTGAGTGATTCTCGGGCGGAGTTTGGTGCTACCTGAAGGTCCCGATTAGCCGTAGTAAGCAAAGGGGCTAGAGTAACCCTGAAGGGGCTTAGCCAGCGAAGAATGAGTTATTTCACGCTCTGAGGGACTGAGGCAACTACACCCCCTTACGAACTGCTACCTCATCGTTTTGTCATAACATTCTACGTTTTCCCTGTCCTCCAGCAAAACAGCTCGTCAGTGCGTAGGATGTTGTTAATGTCAGGAATACGCGACGAAGATTGGGTTGGGACTACTCGTATCCTTCAAGGCAGCTTCTTGGTCTCCATGGGGACCCTAGCTTGCTTTCATGATACAGCATGGTACAGTACGGACAAGGCATAAGAATACTTTGCTTGAAGGCTGTAGCCAATGATACTCATTACGCAAGCTGACTTACGCCATTTGCTGCTATCATTACTCTGGTCTTCACGGGGCTATCATGGTATATGCACATTGTATCAGCGAGGTGTGACAGGACGATTGATCTGAACTGAAGCTCTCTTCGTCCAAGATCTCAACCTGCCGCGTAGTTAAAGCAGCATTTTACCTCCTCGACCGTTGCATCACCCTTCATTAGCGTCATTCGTTTTGCACCCACATCTTCTCTATCGAGATCTTCCACCCATCGTCTCCCTTGCCAGCTACTTTCACACAAGTCAAATCTTCAATTATCCAGTCAGCCCCCGCGTCTCTCAATTGGTCCACACCATGCGTAGTCGCGAGACCCAAGACCATACACCCAGCCGCCTTGCCTGCTTTCACGCCGGCGGGAGCATCCTCAGCAACGAGCACGCGTGCCCGCTCTCCCAAGCCAATGCGCTCCCGACCGAGGTTGTAGCAAGCAGGGTCCGGCTTGCCGGCTGCGACGTCTTCTGCAGCAACGGACGCCGGAGGAGGGGGAAGCGCCAGGAGATCAAGCCAGCCGGACAACAACGTACGAGTGCAGGAAGTGACAAGGGCCCACGGCGCGTTCGCTTCCCCCATAGATTCCAGTAGGGGTCGGGCGCCCCGGATCTCGGTCACGCCGGAACCGTACAATTTCGGGATCAGGCTCTCGATGTGACGAACGTCTGTTGCGTAGATATCAATATGGCGTTGGGGTAGTCCGGGGAGACTGACTGACATTCCCAAGTTGCTTTAGAGGGATCATACAGTCGCAGCGTATCGATGGAGCGGCGGCCTCGCGAATTGCGAAGAATGACATCGGGATCCACTCCCAATTCGGCACCAATTCTGCGCTACGCGGTAAGTCTTGGTAATTGAACAAAGCGCAAGCCATGTTCAATGACCTTCCCGTGAGCGAGGGAGAAGAGGCTATTCACTGACCTTTGCCAATGCTTGGTAACGGCATCTGTGGTGTTTATGATGGTACCATCCACATCAAATAAGAAGCCAGCGAATGCGTGGCTTTCCGTTTGCCCAGTAAAAGAACCGTTGCCTTGATCCAACGCCATGGTTTCAGAACAAGGGTACCTTTCGAGAGCGCTTGTGGGAATGAAGTCTCCCGTCCTCCCAGAAAAGCGGACTTTTAAGCGAGAGGTTTGCTTAGTAAAGATATCTGCAACTACTCGTGGTCAGGTGATGATGCAAAAGAATTGGTTACAGAGCAAGTTCACAGTTACCGAGCCCGTACCGATCGAAATCAGACTATACGAACGGGCCCTTACCGGCCTCTGTCTAGTACAAATGTGTCTCAGTTCTACGTTCGCTGCTGGTCCTCTTCCAGTAAGAGCAAACAAATTGCTCTGATACAGCTTCGTTGTCGTTAGATGCTTACAACTATTGTCGCTGGGATACACACGCGCTTCGCTTTCTTATTGGAAACGTCTCCTGAGCGATTTAACACTCATCTCTCAGATTAGCCACCGTGATGAGGACCTTCATTTAATTCTTGTGTTGCATCTAAAGTACTATTTCTTAGTGTGCGGTTGGATGGAGCGTTTGGTAGCGCATCTCAGATTCGGTGGTACGCATTCTCGGGTTGCGAGACCTTTACCTCTCGATCCACGCGGATGCCACCCAGTTCCTGTAACTGGACATCGTCTAGTCCAACCTCAGCAACGCCAAGTGGCGTCCATGTCGCCTCTCTGGGGACTGGTGCAGAGACTTGAACGTTGTAGTCCTCAACAGAGCGCGACGATTCAGCCCCGACCGCCCCTCTCGTCTCTTCGCCATCTAGTGGTAAGCGGCCGTTTGATCGTGATAGCGTAGAAGGACGGCCTTGCGAAGGCCAGAGAAGGGCTTTGAGGCCTTTCAATGACCCTGAACCATATGTGTACGATTTTGAACCGGAGGCACTGTTACGCTCACGCCGGTCTTGAAGTGTCTTGGTTATGAGAGGTCGCAGGGCGGGTATTGAGGCAACGATAATCCAAAGGTTAAGCTCGACGATGGCCCATAATGCAGCAGGAGTTTCGTTGACTAAACGCAAAATGAGTCAGCTGAGAGTTCTTCAGAAGATTTTCCACGAAGGTCGTTCTCACAAGTTGGATCGAAGCCAGGCTTTCTTTGGGCGAGAACGAGTTGCCACAACCGTACAGCTGAGACCACCGTTACACTGCCAAGGCGATCAGCAATTGCCTGTATCTGTCACTCAGAGCTTACTCACACAAGACCTAGAAGAAATGTACTGCTAATGGAAATTCTTTGTGAAACAGACCGCTGAAGGTGGGAAATGAAGTACACGGGCATGAGCAGAACCACCAGGTCTAAAATGATTGTGAAAGACTCGTTCGAAGTGAAGAATTGAGGGTACTGGATGCACCGGCTTTTGATCGTTGCGTCCCAGAAGCCTCGAATAGGTGTACAGCTGAATATGCCAACGATGAACTAAAATTTTGGTCAGTGGCCGATTTTCGAGAGAGGAACAGCTTGTGTTACTTACTGCAGCTATCATCCATCCTATGTTAAGTGCTGCAACTATCTGCAAAGGGCGTCTCGCATTTGTCACTCGAAAGATACGCCAATATAGCGCCAGAAGCGATAGTTTACTGAAGGTAAGAGCAAGAGGATAGACAATAGCCAGACCATATAGTCCTTTGTTGAATTCCTCGAGATGGTGCGTATCAGATTTGCCGATGTGCTGGCCATAATAGTTATGCTCAACCTCGAATATCACTGTCGCGGTGTAGCCCCAGGAAAGGACCTAGAGCAGAGTTGTCAGCGTCCACTGCACGGAGTAGATCTGCTTTTGTGTGGTCCCACCGCAGCTACCACTATGAGTTCGTCGTCCATGCCAATGGATACTTTGGTATGTAGACGGGAGAACAAACGAAGAACGAGGGTGGTAAAGGACAATATTATGAATATGATGGCAACAGCATTCATTTGAGGTCCATCGTTGGCGTCGAGGTTGACACCCACATACACTGGAGTGGTGAACTCCATATTCACTTTCGAGTTTGCGTGCCTTGATCTTGGTCTGGAGGAAAGAGGTGTATCAATATATTCTCTGAATTTGTAGCGGTTTTCCTAAACCCTTTAAAAACTGAGCTTTTGCGAGACCAAGGCCACGCAGCTCGTGACTGATTCTCCGAGCCTCTTGTCAATAAAGCCAAAGGAAAGGATACTGATCCCAACAGGGATAAGATCGCCGGGAATAGTGCATTGCTACCAGATGGCAGGACAAAACACACCAGACACCACATATCCGGTGCTAGTTTCGTTTGGGAGAGTAGAACATGAAAGCAAAGCAGTCCACCCCAGTGTATCTTTTGCGCCACTACGTGAACTTTTCGGCCGTAGAGTATCTCAATGATCGAGTTGCTCAGAAGGCTTACTATCGAATTCGAAAGGCATTCGAAAACTTCCCGCTTCCCATTGACTGAAACTCGCAGACTTGGACCATGATTCCTGATACTTTTTCATGAAGGGTGGCGAAAGAAAGGAGGACAACGCATAGTATGGGTAAGGCCGGTATATCATGATTTGATCGATTCGTCCAAAGATCTAATGATGAGTTGCATTAGCGCAACATTTGATAGCTTGCCGATCTGCTTCTGAAGGGATGAGACGTTGGGATTCGAGCAGCTAGGAGCACACATTCGAAAAAAATGTATGTGAGCATATCTCATTGCCGGGAAGGCTTTGTGGCCATATGCAGGCTTCCATTCTACCGTATTGACTAGCGACGGCTCCAAAAACTGGGTATGGTCGTCGGAGCCAGGCATGTCAGCCGCACCCTTCGGAGAATTCTCTGGTTTGAAAATCGAAGGTGCATTACAAATCTCCGCTTCATGCGTCTGTTGTGAATGATCGGGCCCGTGCATAATAATAAGGTCACGCGGGTCAAGAAAAGGGCCCACTAAGCACCTCTTTCACCCACAGCGGTGCGTCTGACGGGGAGACGGGAGACGGGTAGTTGCGCCGGTATGGTGATCTTTTGGAATAACACTCTTAAGTAAGTTTCTACAATTATTGGCGGACAGACGAAGTTAGCGGATGAGATGCTGAGGCAATAGCAGATCAGCAAATCAGAAACCACCCGCTACCCTCCCGGGCGGCAATACTGACATGCAACGCTAACTTGCAGATACGAGCTAGCAACCTCACCGTTGAAGAACCGCGCTTTGTCCCCTCGTCCACATCACCGGTGCCCCTGGTAAATATTGGCATTCAGCAACCACTAGAATCAAGGGCTGCAGTATGGGAGATTACTGCACCAGCACCACTGATCTTGATAACCTAAAACTCGGAACTGACTGTTTATCCTATTGCGCAGCCATGTCGAGAGTACCTTCGAGTTTGGAGCATTGCTGGGGGTTGAGGTCTTTGTTGCAAGAGGTCGACTTTTGATTTTTGGGGCACTGGTGACGTCGAAGTTCGGCTTCTCCATGGGCCAGCCCTACGCAGACAGGGGAAACCCTAACCAGGATTTTAGAGTTGCTGAACGTTCCGTGTCTCTCTTAGTCGGACGGCAAGTCCAATACATCTTTTCCTCCACCCCATCACACCGATTCCCTTTCGCTTGCATAATGAAATCCCTCTATCAACTGCGTAAAGCCGCACAATCACTGTCTCGCAGCACGCCCGCCCTCTTTCAAGTCTCGAAATTGGATTAGCCCATGTGATGTTAGAACGAAGTCGAATAAAGTAGCATCCGATTCGTAGGGTTTCTTACATGCAGGGCGCCACTGCAAACGTGTGATGCACATTGCATTCCCGTCTGCGCGTCAAAGCCTAGGTCATCATCCATAAGAAAAGCACTTGCAGCAAGGCGGACTTTTGCCTCATCTACCTTAATCATCGATTTGGAACCGAACTACGGGTGTGTTCAGTCAGCCCTTTTTTGGTTCTTCACCGCTCTCTCAGATATAGTAGTGAATGTTGTAGGCGATTTGATGTGTGAATAGGCTCACAGGATCATCCACTGTGGATTATAGCTTTGTTGAATGTATATGGTATGGACAAGCAATAGCACACCCTTTTCGAAAAGAGGGCTCAGGGCAGGAAACTCCGTACAGATTGTGAATACGTATTTACCACTAAGTGCAAATGATCCTCGTTTTCAATTCTCCGTCTGCTCATACGTGGCGGCCTCTACGCTTCCTTGCATGAAAACCTCGCAGCACTACCTGAAGACGCATGTCACTTCTTTCCTGCATTTCATGTTTGGTTGCGTATCTTCCTTACCTGTTTGTATAACTTGGCCAAAGCCTTCAAGACCTTCAAGAATCTTCCCAGACTCGCAGACAGACACCTAAGAAGAACATCCTCGAAGAATTGATTACCATTATGAGGGTCTTCTACCACGACGATAAGCCTGTAAGTCCTGGAGACTCCTCGTCCCGCTGCTCCCATACGAGACTGACAAGTAAGGGCGATTGCCGCCTCCCACACGACTCTGGTGTGGAGCTTTCACCGACCCATCTTTCTTCACTTGGAGTGCTCCATTACGCCTTCCCGCCGTCCTCGCCCTCATCCGCGGCCCAAGTCGAGGACCTCGCCAAAGCTCGCGCCTACGCCAACCGGGACGAAATCACTGTTTCGCCTAGTGCCATGGGCTCAGTCTACGAGGACAAGATCAAGATGTTCTACGATGAACATTTACACGAAGATGAAGAGATTCGATACATCTTAAAGGGAACTGGGTATTTCGACGTTCGTGATGCAGAGGACAGGTGGGTTCGGATTAGAGCGGAGCCGGGCGACTTGCTCATCTTGCCGGCCGGCATCTACCATCGATTCACTGTGGATGAAGAGAATGTAAGTGATGACTGCCCTGCCTAGACAACCTACCCCTTTGAGCTAATACTGACATCCTTAGTACATCAATGCCATGCGTCTTTTCCAGACACAGCCCAAATGGGCTGCATTGAACCGCAGTGGCGAAACGGAAGTGAACGAGTTTCGGAAGAACTATGTTAGTGCAAGAGCACGGGGATTTTCTGCGTAGAGCAAAGAGGTCTCCATGTGAAAGCACTCTATCGAGACTGGACAGAATGTAGTGTTAGACAGCATATCAAGCAAACGCTGCTCCCTGTTAGGGAGTCAATAAGTGGTCTAAATCCCGGAGGTCATTTTGTAGGTGGTCTCCGAGGCGTTAGGTTTGGATTTCTATGAAGTGCAGACATGCCATTCATGAATTGATGATGGTACTTTATGGAACATACCCTACGTTTAGATGCTACAGGACATTTCCCCCGTAGGCGGAATGATGGCGAAAAGGGCCATATTCCCAGTCTTGATCTGGCATGTCGAGGAGCAATGACGTGTGACTTACGGCGACGTGGATTGTAAGGTAATGTAGCAATAATCATGCATAGAGAGAATTTCCTTTGCGCATGTTTTTGTGGATATCGATCAAAACAAATCGACTCTTCCTGTCAAAGGATCTCAAACAGAAATAGATTTTGGGGAATATTTATGAACATTGTCACTTTTTACTGGCACCGCGCCTGAATTGTACGACTCCTACAATTTCTCCCTTGCAAACAGAATGACGGATCTTAGGAAAAGTTCGTGTAAATCGCCACTATTTTCTGGCAACTGTAGGATTTTTACAATTCCATTGAGGGCTTTCGCCCTCTATGCATGACTTTTGCTAGATGCTCTTAGCTTCGAGAACTTCGCAAGTGGAAGTGCCGGTCTTATTGCGAATTCAGTAATGGGTATAGAATGGATTCGCAATAATTGAAATCACAAATCCTTGGGGGTAAAAGAGGAAGATGCCTTTTCATTTGTACCTGTCCGAGGCGTAATACAAAGCAGAGTTCGGGATAGAGGGCTCTAATCGGATATGTTTTTTGTTTCCTTTATAGTACCAGCTTCATCGGACGCTGTGACAGGTTTTTGGATCGCCGATGGTATCAGCACTGCCCAATTCTCACAATTGAGATCCTGGACTGGCCTCCAAAAGCAGCGCTGTAAATCTCTGTATTCGGCAGGCAAGATACTCAAAATTTGACTGTAGCTGGTTACCAAGGAAACCACGATCGGATTGGAGAGACTTACGATATTGTGCAAGTATGTGCGAACAACTGCATGAGATAGGTATCCATGAAGTCTTCAGACACATGTGAGACAAGAACATCCGCTCGAAAGAGTTGGACTTTTGACCATTTCACGGGAGAACAGAAGAGGATCACAAGAATTTTGCTCAGTCATGTCGACTTAAGTGGTAAAAAGGCAGGCATTTGAGTTGGTTTGCTTAAATGTAGACGCTCGTGCGAGTTCCGGCCTCGAGGGCACAAGTCTGCCAAGCCTGCCAAGCTTTCATACCCGCGACGTTGCGGCGCGAAGATTTGCGGACACTTCGTTCGAGCCATCAGGAGAGCGATAAGTTCACGCTCTCTGTCTACCGAGCAGGATGCGAATGTACCTTGCATTCACGGCCCTTTTGGCTTGCTTCCTTTCTCATGTCTCTGCCACAGCTCTGACTTATAAGCTTGTAGCCAACGAAAAGGCCTGCTTTTTTTCAAACGTAGAACAACAAGGGGCAAAGATTGCCTTTTACTTCGCGGTGAGTCGATCCATCCTTCCTCACAGAGCATTTGCTATGTCTCGGTGCCCGCGGAGCTGAAATCATCACCTTTGTGCAGGTCCAATCTGGCGGTTCCTTCGATGTCGACTACAGCGTCATGGGTCCCGATGGGAAAGTCATCATGGAGAACTCCAAGGAGAGGCAGCTGGACTCTGTATTCACGGCCAAAGCGACAGGAGAATACAGCTTTTGCTTCAATAATGAAATGAGTACGTTCGCTGAGAAAATGGTGGACTTCGAAATTGCCGTACGTTGGTCCCTTTTCCAATTGCTAGACGCTCGCTTTCAGCTCGGCCAGCTTGATGAACTATTCTACAATGTCTCAACACCAAATACATGTTTGACCGCACGCTGACACTTCTCCCCATTTGCAGGTTGAAAACGAAACTCCCTCCGCCCTCCTACCCTCAAAACGAGGCACTTCCCCTGAACAAACCTCCGCTCTCGAGGAGTCCATCATGAAAGTCTCGCGCGATCTCTCCACCATCAACCGCAACCAGAAATACTTCCGGACTCGTGAGAACCGCAACTTCAGCACCGTCAAGAGCACAGAGAGCAGGATATTTAATTTCAGCGTGGTGGAAAGCGGGTTGATGGTTTGCATGGCTGGGCTGCAGGTTTTCATTGTGAGGTTCTTCTTTCAGGGGGCCAGGAAAGGTATGTCGAGAGATCCCAATTCATATGAAGACCAAGGTGCTGACAAATATGTAGGCTATGTATGAACAGGAGCAAGAATGATAGGACAAGGTAGCAATAGCAGGCAAGAACCAAGATCTGCTCAATTTCACCCTCCTTGCGAGTATCATTTCCCGGGTTCCATAGGTGTATGTCCCGCCAAACTTGTCATTCATGTGCGCGCGCGCATTCAATAGTCGAAATCTGTCTTCATCGGACCCTCAGCCCTCCCAAACCCTGAATTGCTCCTCTATGAAGATCGAATTCCGTCCATTTTCCCGGGCAAAGTTCATCAATCATATCATCCTAACGCGTGGGTGTTCCTTTCATGGGAAGCCAAGCCTGAGCCTTCGCATTCAGGCAAGAAGCTACCTTTGCCGAAGCACCGACACCGGCTGAATCTGTGAGTGGTCCAATCGCGCACTGATACAAACTGACCCAAATAGCGTTGCCCACAATCGGATTGACATAATTTGCAGTATACAGGCCAGTATAACCACGCTCAGTGTATCTCAGCATCTGCCGTGCAAACCATGTGACGAAATCCCAGGGGATGGTAGTTCCTTCTGTCGCAGTCATGAGGAGCCCGATCGTTCCAGTTGTCATTCTGATCCAGATTCGCGGAGCGTTGTTGGCCCACGGTCCGTGAGCATTGACGGCGATACCGATGTAGAATGCTTCAAGGACCTCCGCTGCTGCTTGAATGGGCACGAGCAACCCTCCAGGTTCGAAAGAGACCAATGCTAAGCCTAGGTCTTTGCCGCGCTCGTCGAGGGAGCCAATCGGGCTCACCGATGCTCGGAGAACCTTTTCTAGGTCATTCTTGATCAGTGACCTAGTAGACTTTCCGTGGTCACTCTGAGTTGATGCCCCGTTGGGTCTTGAATGAAAGAGACCTGCGGCCGGGCACACGACCATGCATGACCAAATTGCTGAGACGGTCAACACGGAGGCAGTTTTAAGAAGATGCATTTTGCGAGCTAGCAATAGTTGTGATCATTGCTTGGTCTTCTACAACGACCATTCTGCAATGGATCGTCAAATGACATCTGGGAGTGGAACCAGCTTTATGAAATCTAATCGCAAGATCTCAGCTTACGGATTATGCAGGGCAGCTTCCAAATATGCCGCATCGCTGGGTAGGAACGCGTGACCCGTCGCTAATTCAGAATCTTTATACTTTAGCGACTACATCTCATCCAGACAATCTTCTGGGGATCTTCACCCCCACGATTCCAAGACGGTAAGTATGGGGATCTTCGCCGGGTTCTCTCGCATCTCCCGCTGCTCCCACGGGTTTTTCTCGATCTCTAACTTTCTCAGGACCAAAACGCCACTTACATGGGTGTTCATCCATCCGCTGAAGGTCTTCTCACTCGTACTCTGACGTGTGATCCCTTTGTGGGCGATGTACGCCCCTCGTACATCGAAGGAAAATAAAGAGATGCAAGAGAAAATTCTAGATACGGCTACACAAAGCCTACTCAACAAAGAGAGTGCTCTCTAGAGAACGTCAGCACCGTTCCTGGCAACACCAAAACTTTAAATTCACTTCGCTGGCTTTGACCTAGGTAATCTCTGGGCCGACTTTCAGTGGCCTGTATTCGAGCTGAAGAAAAATGCCTCACACATCACACTCTACTGGCTTTTTGATCTCTCCTGACTAGCGACACGTCATGCCTACAGTTCGTACTTAACATACGGTCTATAAATGATGCCAATAAGAATTATTGTCTCTTCAATCTCAAGTTTCAGATGCCGTTTTCTTTGATGTGCTGTGGTCTGTCATGTGCCAGATGAAAGCTAAGCTCACTCGAGCGAGAAAGGCCATCATTCTGATCGCCGCTAAGGAATTGCGGCTAGAAGTCTGATTTACTGGAATGATTTCATTTACTGCATTGAACTGAGTCTTCGGACATGTTCGTTTTCTTTGCCTTCTTCCTACTTATAACACTGTTTAACACTTTTTTCAAAGTACCTCGGCACTCTTTGTGAACAACATTGTACCACTTATAACACTGTTTAACACTTTTTTCAAAGTACCTCGGCACTCTTTGTGAACAACTATTGTACCACTCATGTACCAATCCAACACTTCACCACCTCGCATCGTGAAGCTGTTCTATAGGAAAAGTCTCAAGCAGCCACCGACCAAAAGCATAAAGTTATCAATAAGCTGAGAATCGAAGAAGTCAGGCCTGCCATGGATGATCGCGAACGCGGTTCCTTTATCAGCCTGCCCGACGAGCTGCTCTTGATTGTCATCGAGCACTGCGACACGCAAGATGTTGCTGCCCTCAGCGGAGTGGCTAAACAGTACAGCAACATCTGCAGACCCATCATCTTCCGAAATGCTGATCTCAGCATACACAATCGCGGCAAAGTCCTGTGTGTCTTTCCAAACAGTTACCAAAGCCTACCCAGCACATGGTACGATCCATCTGATAGCCTGCAATGCAACAATATTCCGCCTAACATGCAGAAGAGGCAAGAAGCCTTCCTGTCGGCTTTGATCAGGAACCCGAGCCTGGCAGAGTATGTCCAAACTTTCTCATGGACATTACTGCTTCTCGACAGCAATCGACGGACAGATTTGAAAATCGATCCGTTCGCGATCAACAAAAGCGTGGCTTTAGATCCAAAGAACCCTTTCAACGAGATCTGGAAGGTCTTCGCGTCCCTGACCCGTGTCCAAACCCTCGACCTGGCCTGGTTGTCCAGACATCTTGCCATGCCTCTCATCCACAGCATCCCGTCCACCCTGTTTCCCGCCGCGACCTCGGTCCGCCTGGTCGGGGTCATGCCGTACGCTCTCGCCGCCTCGATCCTGCTTACGAATCCTCAGAATCTGCTGCACCTACACCTCGACAACCTTCAACAAAGTGGGATAATACCCAGCACTCATGATGACAAGGATCCTGAAATGGATGACCCTGAAGTGGATGATCCTGACACGGGTGGTTCTGACATGGATGACGAGCCATATGATACACACTACAAGGACATGAGTATCTTTGAAATGTTCCACCTCGTAATGACCGGCTCCCTCGACGAGGCGGACGAGACGGATGAAGATCTCCGTGAGGTTCCCACGAAAAAGGTCCGTCGGATCAAAACCCGACCTGCAGACCCCATCTCCACCCCATCCCCATCCCCATCCCCGTTCTGATCCCAACGCACCGCCAAACGCGCCAACCCTGGAACAACCTCGCCTCCTTCGGGAACGAAAGCGAGTACTTCAACACGCCCGGCCCCATGCAGAACCTTCTCGGCGCTCTGGCCGGAAAATGCCCGTCCCTCACATCGCTGCACCTGCGCAAAGTAGGCGCGCGGGACCAATTCGACTTCACCCCCGCCTGCTCCAGCAAAGAAAACGACATCTACGCCGAATGGGCCATCTTCCTCGCCTCAGTGAAACCGACCCTGCAGTCCTTGACCTTTGAGCAAGGCGAGCGCCTGCTGCGCCGGGCCGACTGGGTACAGCCGCCCGTGCGGCCCATGGATGCGCTTTTCGGGGCTAGGATTTTTCCGGTACTGGCGCGGGCAGGACGGTGGCCGGGGATGAAGAAGGTGGTGGTTCGGGGTGTGCAAATGTGGGAGGAGGATGATGGACAGGGAACTGGGGAGGTGGCGCTCGTGGATGGGAGAGGAGATTTGAGGAGTGCGTTTGGGTATGGAGTGAGGGTTGTGATGAAGAGGCGGGCGAGGGAAGCGGATCATTTGGGTATGGGGTATGGCTGAGGTGGCGGTGGGGGGGAACATGTGGAGAAGGGAGGCAAAGGTTTGGAGCTGGGGTAGCGGTAGGCAGGCTGCATTTGGAAATAATGGGTGCAGTTAATCTATTCTCGGTTTGCATCAATACAGTTGAAGCCTATCGCTTGAGACCAGATTTGCATCAGCCCAATTGATTCTTGCCGTTTGAAACCGGATCGGAATGACAAACAAGAAATATATGCAGCGTCATGATCGGAATCTGATGCTTTTTCATCGTTCCTCCTTTGCCAAGCTCCAGATATTCGAGTATCTTATTCAGTCATTTCCAGAAGAGAAAGAATGGACATAACCGAACTGCCACATCCTCCTTCCAAAATCACTGTTCGCACCCTTAGTCCATGCACTATAAACACGCGTCTGAAGACATGCAAGATAAAACCCAAACACCACTCGTCTTCGCCAGAAATGTCGATCCCGCGGAGCAAACAGTCCTCTTCCCTCCAATCTAAGCAGGCACCACCAAGCAAAGTAAGTGGAAAAAGTCCTGATGGAACCGTTGGCCTAAAGAGCACGTACGGAGCAGTAGGTGGCAGGTATGCTTGAGGCATCGACGGAATACCATAAAACACCCCACTCGTCCCAGATTGACAAGTCAAGGCCCCATCAGCAATCTCACAAGTCGCCGCAGTCTCGCCAAAGTACTCGAGATTTCCCAACCTTTGTACGGCAAACCGCCAGCCGTATCCCATTCTCAAATCGTCGCTAGAGTCTTCTCAGATGCTTTGCAGGTTGAGGTGCTAGTAAAGTCGTGGTTGGGACGGTTGAGGGCGAGAATTTAGCAGGACAGGACGACTCTGGTGGGATTATGGAGTCAGTTTATTTATAAATCAATGGTAGCTTTTGAACATGAATGTTTGAATCTTTATCAATGCACCTGCCAGCTGCTTCGTAGACAGAAGAGCGGGGCCATTCAGCAACCGGCGAATCATGATTGAATCAAGCATTCGTGAATAAATCAGGCCCAGACATGCTGTAAGCAACCCTTGTCGTCGCCACTTTCATATGTCATTGCGACCACGTCGATACCTCGACGTCCTCATCAGACCCGTTGCATATGATTCAATTCAGTAAATCCCTTTGCCATCACAGTCGTTGTCGCAGTCATAAACATACTGTACTCGCCTCTCTCGTTGCTTCGAATGTTAAGCGACACCAACAATTATATGCATGCTTGAACTTGAAAGAAGAAAAGGTTAGCGAAACTTAATACCTTTCCCGGGGAGGCGACGATAAGATATGATAGGGTGTGCGAGCTCCCTCTCGAACGCGTGCGAGAGGTAATTTGCATCAATGTATACAGCTAAGAGAAATTGTCAAGCAGCGAACATCTCATTTCGAGTCTCCAGTGAATTTGTTAAAGTGCAAGGTAAAGCTGGCGCATTTATACACGACCTTGATCGATCCACCAATCAGCCAAATTCACCATTCCACCAGCATCTAACCCCTCTGGGTACACCAATTTACCCACCAACGCCAGACCCAATAGGACTGACGGTCATGACATGCATCGACTGCCAACTCTACGCCTAATTCATGTACAGATCTGGAGGAGGAGAAGGAGAAGGCGGACGACGACGACGGGCATTGAAAGAGATTGGTGTTGTGGTACGGTGGTGATACACAAATCCAAAGAACTTTGGTCATAAGCCTGCGGCATCTTCGAGACCGTTATCTTCGTTCTTGCCTGAGAGCAATGGAATCTCAGAAACGACGGATCAGCACATTGAGCTGAAGAATATTTCCTGAATCCTAGTAGTCTCATAGGTCCGTCAGTCGTCTTTGGTTCTGTGGCCAAGTCAATCCGCCGTTGTCATCACAGCTCATCACAGCTCGCTTCTGCTAGATCTTCGTCTGTTGGGACAGTCTCGTTCGTGTTCGAATACAATGTTTACCATCGGCCCCAACCTAACACGCCACTAGTAACCCCACCTCACCTCTTGATCTCTTGAAGCAGTCCTCATGGCAATGATACCCTATCGCCTAAATGCTCAGATATAAGTCATTCCACGACCTCTTCGACCTCATTATTCGACGACTTCTCGCCTGCCTTGTGAGCCAAGCTTGTTTCAGTCTTTGCCTTTCGCATCATTCAAGAAAAGTGCACAGTCTCCGAGGGTTGAGGTTAGGGACTTCTTTTGTTCTTTTGTACCAGCGTTAAAGATTACTGGAGTGCAAAATCAGCAGTAGAGGGACCAGACCATCGTTTACTCCGTCTAGGCTGCTGAAAAGATGCATATGTAAACCAGATATCCCTTTCCTTATGGCCGGGAGGGCCACGCTAGTAGGGGGGATTAAAGTTAGTCCGGCCGTCTTGGCATCAAAACCTTGAAGAGGATTTGCGCTATCCAAATTTGGGAAGTAGCCATCAATGGATTATTGACCCACCAATCATATAAATATATACCTAAAGTTGATCAAAGTTGCAGAATATGTCGCCCTCCTGAATAAGCCTCGCGCGCCGAGATCTGTCAGTAAGTCGTATCACGACGTATTTCTGGCACAGTTCAGCCGTCCGATGCGCGATGTGCAGGGAGTGCAATCATAGAGCTCCAGATGACGAACTTTTTTTCTTAATGACCCCACTCCTAGAGGTCCTACCAAAGTTTTGCTTAAGTTATACTATTCTTTCGTGAGACATGCATCAATTGGCGGTATAACTTGAGTAGCGGTTCGTCTCAGCCAATCAATGACCCTGTTCAAAGATCCCTACTAGCGTGGCCCTCCGGCCACAAGGAAAGGGATAATGGCGATGAGGGTAGTTGTAGGAAGGGATATCGCTGGAAATTGCCCACCAAAATTCCTTTACGTGGGCTGACATGCCCTAAAGACGGGGAACTGTGGTTTTAAGCGGGCCCTAGAGGCCGCTAATGGTGGCGCCTTTTGGGGGTAAGAAGATGGTTGGTGCCGACGACATTCCTTCCTCACTCGCGTATGTGAGGAGACATGGTACTAACACAGTCAGAGGGTATGGTACCTAGCTTCTGCTTGAGATGATTGACCCTAGTCCCCGTCTAACTGAGCGCGAAGCTCAGACATGGTCGTCTCGCAATTTCCGTTCTGCTACATTCTACAACACACCTACCTGCATCTTGCAGGTCTAGGAATATCATCAAAGACCGCAAAAGAACACTCTTCATGTCAAGTCTACGATGTACGTCTCGGCTAATTTACAGGTGTTGCTATCTATGACCCACTGATTGATGATTCATGAAGCTAACAAAGGCTTCGGCGGGGCTCGGACTTCAACTACCCCAGGATTTTCCAACACCGTTCTCTACCCAGCGTTCACACCAAAGCGGACACACCTCAGTCAGACCCAGAGCCTCGAACCTTTCAGTCCGTACCATATAGCCTTGTAGTCATCCGGCAGCTGCCTCGAGTTTCGATACGGTCGTTACGCTCAGGCTCATGCTTCAGTAGGCTTTTCCAAACAAGCCAAAGACACAGCACTCACCATAATGAGCTGAGGAAAACAGTCTGCATTACCGAGGGAAAGTGATAGCGAAAGGGAATCAGACTTTCAGGCCGCGCAATCATTGTGAATGTTTGGGCAGCCACGCGTGCTGCCAATTCCCCACGATTTCCTCAGACTTCGTTTCGGCAGCCATCTGCCACAATCCAGGAACCAGGGGAGTCTCGAATCCGGCTTTTAAACGTGAGATCGCCGGTCATCTCCGGTGAAATGTCCAAATGGGGCAGGTTACAACGTCACGTCCTGAAGAAAGTGTTCAGGTGCCGGTGACCACTACTTTTAACAGATAAAAGGCACTGTCGAGTGAGAGTGACTCTCATTTTGTATAAGCTACATGAGCACAAGTACGAGCGTATGCAAAACACTTTGCTTACTGGGAGATGTTATATCCGAGAGACTGCTCTCTCATGCCGGTACTCTATCGCTTCCTACTCCAATTCGCAAGACTCAAGACTTACAAGCCCTCGGAAAGCATAATATTGAATTGGTACTGGACCACTGTCTCGGAAATTGGTATTGACGCTCTTTGATGTGCCACCCAATCTCTAGTGCTAACGTTGCGATTGCTGTTCTCCACTCACATAACATGGCCTTACATGGGGAATTGCGAACGACTGTGAGAGTCTAGTCTAGGCCGGCGCCTCGAGTTCCTTGACACAACTTCCAGCTGGTGGTTCGCTTCGAATCACCCCTGAGCCATGTCCCTGAATGACCCTTCACGGCCCTGTAACTGCCGCTTGGGTGTCAGGCTCAAGCCGCGGACGCCTATTCTCATGCGACTAGGGCCGGTCAGAAGACTGTTTTATAGTCTAATTTGTACTTTATCTTCCAAGTCGCCACCTGATCCGCCGTGTCCACATCTCCGGGTTGCATCCTGAGAACAGCCACAGCCATGAACAATATCTCCAGAGGGAGTGTGGCTCACAACAGGATGCTCTCGAGGTCTTTGGCCTCTCTTCGAGCTCCCATTCGCTAATTTTCAATTTTCCCCTCATCCTTCCCAACCTTTACCGTGCACAGTCCTCCACACCTGGCGACATGGCCACGATAAGCAAGAGATACCAGAACATGTGCATCCATACTTCTAAAAGAAAACGTACGGGAACCAACTAGGATTGTCGATAACCCTGAGATGCCATGGAAATGCTCGGTATATGTAGAGGAAGATGGGAGCCGGAAAGTGCTTAAATACCTCGTTGAACCCCCTCAACATCCTCCAATCTGCCTTATCCTCCATCATTCTTTTCAGTTCCAACATATTATTCACAGGGATTTGAACTTGGTCTGCACCACAGCGCTACTAGCACCTTCAATATCTATAGTCCTCAGCGGCCAATATGCTCACGTCAACCTACATCGCCGCTTGGGCCCTTGCTCTCGCGACTCTAGCCTTCGCTGAAGAGCCGGCTATCGTTGCTCGAGCCCCACAAGCAGAACCCACTTCCGTCGTCCTCGGCACTGCCTCTGGAGGTGCACTCGATCCTCTAGCCACCAGGCCGCCTAACGTCGGACCCAGACCCGCGTTCGCAGGTGGATCAGATCTCACCATCAACGTCGTCAACTCCTTCGGCGCCCCCCTTTCCATCTTCTATGGCTCCAATGCAGGAGCACCAACGCCAGTCGGCAATCCTGGATCTGGTGTGCTCACCTCTTCAACCCGGGTGCTCTTCCCATCCAATTGGGCCGGCCGCATCACCATTGGCAAGACCTACGACCCCTTGGGCTCCAAAATCGAAGCAAGCTATTCTTCTCCCAGCTACGTCCCGGACGTGGATATTAGCTACGTTGATGGCTTCTCTGTTCCCATCTCTTGCTCCTGCTCAGGTGTCGCGGTATCTGGTTGCAACATTGGTACGTCTTCACTTCCTCACCCACATTCTCTTCCCAATATTTGCACACTGACTCTCCGCCATCAGCACTCTTCAACGACGGCCACACCTGCGCTAAGCAAGGCCCCGGCCCGATTTGCTACAATCCGGAACAAGGCGTTCCAAACGGACCTGCTGCCCCCTTTTTCGAACCTTGTGCAGGTGCAGCCTACACCTACCCTAACGATAACGCTGCGAATAGCTACGGGCAGTGTAACACTGGTGTCATCGACTGTTGTGTGGGTCCTCAGTGCCCTGCTCCGTCACGCCAGCACGGCAAGCGGGAGCTGTCTGATGTAGCTAAGAGGCACTTCTGGGGCCGTGGGAAGGTCGAAGCATGAGAGGCTGTAGATCGACGAGAGGCTGCCTATGAACGCGACACGGTGTTGACGATTCTTCCCTTCTCCGTTTATACTTATCAACAAGTTTTGTGCCTTGTACTTGCCGTTCGTACTACGTGTGCTTTCCATCAGCACTTTTGCCTGATCTGTCGAGTTCTCGCGCACTGCCATTACGATTACGTTCGTTTCGGTTGTATTTAGCATTTCACTTGTAAACCATGCATCGAGCTCCCATTCCATTCATTGATTCATTCATTCATTCATTCATTCATTCATTCATTCATTCATTCATTCATTCATTCATTCATTCATTCATTCATTCATTCATTCATTCATTCACGAGTAGTAGGAGGGCAACGTTCGCCCCGCTGCAGCGACAAGGCAGGAGACGGGGTCTGCACAGACGCACACGCAGCTGCCGGTACGGGCGATCGAGGAGAAGAAGAACGTGGGATCAGAGTGGAAAGCGAGACAGGCTGAGATGGGCCCCCTTCTCCCCCCGGATCACCAATCCCCACCTCCCAACCCTCCTCCATCCCAAACCGGTAATATCGAACCGACCCCGGGCCCAGACCCCACTCCTCCGCACCCGCATCGCAGACTCCCAGATCCAACCCCCCCCCCTTTCCCCCCTCCCCCCCCACCACCCCCCCCACCACCACCCCCCCCCCCCACCAGCATATCCGGCCGCGAGTCAGTCAGTCATTCAGTCCGTCAGTCATCAAGAAAGCAGTCACCACCACCTCCACGCCCGACCCTTCCCGACCCGAGTCCACAACCGCCACCCCGAAGCATCACCTCGTCTCCTCACCGGCGAACGGCGTCCGATGGCTTTTTTTCGGACGATCAAAAGCCTGCACTGGTGCTATGTATGACGGGAGGGATCCGACGTGGTGGGGGAAAGCTGGCGAGGGTTTCGCGTATGGTTGGTCCTTTGAAGGTTAAACGAGAGAAGGAGGGAAGGAAAGGGAAAAGGGAGGGAAGTTGAAGGGGGAGAGGGATGAGGGAGGAAGGGAGAGGGAGAGGGAAAGGGAAAGGGAAAGGGAAAGGGAGAGGGAGAGGGAGAGGGAGAGGGAGAGGGAGAGGGAGAGGGAGAGGGAGAGGGAGAGGGAGAGGGAGAGGGAGAGGGAGAGGGAGAGGAGGGAAAGGGAAAGGGAAAGGGAAAGGGAAAGGGAAGAAAGAGGTGAAGGTGGGGATGAATGGAGAGAGAAGGGAAACGCACAGCTTTCATGGGTAGTCATCTTCATACGGGCGGCATGAACCATCGTTTTCCTTCATTCGCGGCCGGAAAGCATCATGTGGTAGGACACGTCCGGCTGCTGTACGACTTCACTTAGGTAAAAAACGAGGCTCAACACTTCCTATTTGATACTACTAGCTCACTACTAGCTCAACACCATACGAAAGGACACAACTTTCTTTTTTTGCTCTGTCCGGATAGGCTAGGCTGATGCCAATCCTTAATGAATTTCATCGCTCGACAACTCACCATCGCAGGCGAACGCCACCATTAAGCGTACCTTTAGAACGAATCGAGAAAGCTGGGTTAGACACAGCCGACTACTGCCTGCAGCCATCATCTATCCCCGGGGTACTGACTACCCAGCCACGAGCATCGGTCATGACGGAAGAAGACATGATGCGCTACTTCCAGGATGCGGGTTTGGACATAGCAGACTTTGACATAACACCCTCGCACATTCGAGGCGCCCGGATTACCAAAAAGGCACATCAAACCTCACTATCCGAAGAGGGTGAAACAATGGGCCGCATTTTCGAGAAGGCACACCTGAACATAACAGATTTCTTTGTACGACTCTCACCCACCGGAACCGGGCTCACAGTTGTGCCGGCAAAGAGCACACCAATTCGTCCTACCTCGGCTGCCATTTGCTTCTCAGACCTTCCCGGAGATATATTATACACTGTTGCCGAGCACTGTGACCGCCATGACCTGCTACGCTTTTGCCTAGCGTCGAAAGCTACGATGGAAGCAAGCGTCCCTCATATCTATCGGCATGTGGACCTCAGCACGCACAATCGAGGTCTCGTTGATTGTTATGGGTACGAGCCGCGGAAAAACTTGGCGTTGTATGGACCTCGGGAAGAGCATTCGGATAGTGTAAGGTGCATCAATATACCGGTGGATATGATATCGAGGCAGGAGACTTTCATTAAGACCCTGATGAACCGGGCGGAGTACAGGAAGTACGTCCAAGTGTTGATTTGGACGTTCTTGCCACCAACTGGCCATTGGCGAAGATTCAGCAACGACGTCGCGAAGCCTGCTTTCTGGGACCTAATGAGATACCTCGACAATGTCAGGAAGTTTGATCTGGCAGACCTTTCGCAGCATTGGAGTACCGTGTCTCCACGACCTTCCCTATTACAGGGTCCGTACTTTCCCAATGCTTCTGCCGTACGTCTACTCGGCGTAATGGAGCCAGTTATAGCCGTGTCGATACTGTCGACGATCGATCCAACGAAACTGGTAAGCCTCACTCTTGACAACGTTCAGTGCTGCGGCAAGGCCCCATACGGCACGGTGTTTGCGCCTGTTCCAGGGTCGCGTCCGTCGCCTTTCAAGGGGGATACAAAAGCCATATTGCCGCAGTACAGGAAGTGGTGGTCGGCGGATTCGGATTTCGTTTGGCCGGGCCTTATGAGAGGCCTGTTGAAGCATCTCACCGGTCGCTGCACGGGATTGAAGTCGTTGACCCTACGCAAAGTGGGTGATAGGAATGTTGAGGAATGTGACCTGTTGCGGGGGATGAACGAATGCTTTCTGCTGGCTGAATGGTCCGCCTTCATCCAATCGGTGTCAGGAACTTTGGAAGAATTCAGATTCGAGCAAGGACCGCGACAGGAACGTCAATTCGATACGAGTATTCGTGTTCATCCGGTCCGGATGATGGATAGGCTCTTTGGATCTACAGTGTTCCCTGTGCTTCTTGCCGGACCATGGCCGCGTTTGAAGATGATGGAGGTCAGAGGGGTGAGATCGTGGATCGGTCACGGGATGAGGCTTCGGAAAGTCAAGATTGAGGAGCAATACGAAGGCGTGCCGTTCGTTGTCTCGTTAGAGGATCAACTCAAGGCGGCAGTGGGGCGAGGCGTAAGCGTGATTGTGGAAGGGAAGGGTAGGACGTTTGATCTGGTGGGAAGACCAGGGCTGTGCGGGACACGGATGTCATGATGGACAATTGGGATGCAGAGACTTACTAGTAGTCAGCTCTTGCGTTGGAGACAGTTGCGGGAGATATTATTATTTATTATGTGACCGCAGAGAGCATTGTTGGAGGAAGAAGGGGGGGGAGGAAGGAAGGAAGGAAGGAAAGAAGGAAAGCAGGCACTGTTCTCGACGGTGTATGTATTGCGTGCTGGATAGTAAAGTAGTTAGATGAATGGTTCCGCTCCAAGCGAAGGAAATAGACGAGCACAGCCAGTAAAAGGTAATGTTCGCATGAGAGTAATATGTCAGACAGGGGCGCCCTATTTGTCATATGCAGCACATGTACGAGTACATGAGCATGCCGTATTAACCGAGCAGTCAATTCAGTCGTAGCGACGGTGGACTTGTTCTTCCATCGTGAATGGAAGCAATTCTACGATGACAGGCAGGAGGCAAGATGAATAGAGAAAGAAGCTAATGGGTTAGCAGCAGTCATTTTGCATGGCAGTGACCACGCTTGTTCCTTCCTCCTTCCAACCCAAGGGCAGCTTCCTAATTATAATAATATATGTACTTTTCATCTCTTGTATGATGATGCTACAAGTACACTAGGTACTGCTTGACCCCTCCGTGGCAATGAATGCTGTGCTCTACTCGTATTCATCCCTTTCCGCTAATCTTATGCTCATGTAATACGCGCTCGGTTCGCACAGAATGATCTGATGCTAGCTTCTCAATTCTTGCTTCGACCCCTTCTACCTAGTAAGTGCTCTACCTATTAATCCCCGCAAAAATGACAAATCAGACATGTTGCATGTTAAGGTCTGGCGTACGCAGCTTTGTGTCATCCACTCTAGCTTCCGAGTATGAGGCATCATATTCTCCCCCAACCATCGAATCCCAGACTGTGTCGACCAATCATCTTCCATCCATTGGCATCCCAATCATGCGGCCCGTCGTCATTGCTCTTAGCATTTCATCTTCGATTTGGGACGATCCTCGCCCTATCCAAATTCCCTTGGACCCCCTCTGACGGCAATGGCGTTTTCCATCAGCCAATCCTGCTCGTGATCATGGCTGATTCATCATATCTTGGCAGAGCTAGACTCAGATCAGCGGCGGCTGTGCAGATCATGTCATCAGTTAGCGCGTCATAGCTGGCCTGTGCGGTGGCAGGTGGAGGCTACCATCAGGCGATTTGCGGGACCTGCATTTTTCTCCTTTCTCCGTGACTGGCCGCTTGTGGAGAGATAAAAGTATCTTACCTTACTTTACATTTCAACCTTTTTCCTTTATAAACAACTCTTCAATACTCGTATACTCTGCCTTCCAGCAAACACCGCCTGCCACACCACACCTACCCCATCACCCAGTCTTCTGATATACTCATAATTTTCAACCACCCATCAGCGACTCAACAAGACCACTTCCCACACCACCATTCTCCATCCCCTCACCAAACAATGGCCTCCCCAATCCCAACCACCTTCGCCACAGACTCCACTCCCCAAGAATCATTCGCCGCACACTACGACCTCGACAACCCCATGGAATCCGTCAACTCATACTCACGGTAAGCTCCCATCCACCCTCTCCTCCCCCCCTCCTGCCCCACCCTTCGTTGCCCCCCCGTCTCCGAAGCGCTCACGCCCACCGTCCCCATCACCCCCCCAGTCCCCAGCGAAGCACCCGCTGACTCGATCGTCCAATCAATACAGACTGATGCACCAACACACCAAACGTCAAATGGACCTCGCCACCCGCTCCAGCCGCCGCGCTCCCGCCGACCAAGGCGTCAGCAGCATGGGCCAGCTGTCGGCGAGGGTAGCACCGATAGCGTGGACAATTTGCAGCAATGAGAGCTCTACCTTCCCGGCTCGCCTTATCTATCTCCGAATCGCCCCCCACACACACACACACACACACATTGAACTTGAAATTGTACCCGCACGCACGCAAGCATTACGGAGAGAGAGAGGAAAATGACCGCGGCGTTTGAGTACGCTTTGCGGCTCTGATTGAGTCGATTGTATGAGACACGAGCGATGGGGCACGCGTATTCGGGGCATGGAGTTGGGGTCGCCGGTCGCTTGGGGTGGGCTTCTGTTAAGCGTTGCGTAATGTATCTTGGATAGATAGGGCTAGATGGTTGATGAAATCTCTGAAGACGAATCTATGAACCTGATCAATCAATAGCCCTCTCGTGTGCCTTGCTGATGGTAGCGTTTTTTCGTCGTGGTGTTCAAGATTGTTCCAGCGTAGTGGTGTCGCATGCGTTGATGTCGTGATGGTGGGCTTTTTGGTCTGGCGTTGCGCAAGTGCTGTAGTTCCCATGAGCTAGGAGTGGGTGAGTGGGTGAGTGAGTGAAGATGCATCGGGTCGTCCGATCTTCAAGGGTGGAAGAATGTTGTATAGTCATCATGTGAAGAAGATGAAGATGTAATCTTGTATGTGTGTTTACTACCAATCTTGTATGTGTTTACTACCGACACGGCTCACTCCACCCCCCTGTTTTATGCCCTCGGATAGACTACCACGATGTCATGAAATACCCAGCAAATTGACACTTCATCTCTTGATAAGAACACACACATCTCCCTCCCTGTTTTATGCCCCTCGGATAGATACCACTGTCATGAAACACCCAGCAAATTGTCACTTCATCTCCTGATAAGAACACACACATCTCCCTCCCCTCTCTCTATCTCTTTCCTGATGAATAACCACCGTCCCCGCTCCACTCCGACCCCCAAAAGCAAGCTACCCGTCAAGAATTCAACCGACTGCTCAACCCGCTCGCCGCCTTGGCCCCCCCGCCGAGCATGCCGGCGGCGGGGCTCGCGCCGCGGGAGCCGCCGCGGGGGAACGGGGCTGCACGCTCGAGCCCCGCGTCTGCACGCCGCCCCGGCCGCGCTTCAGCTCCGCCATCTGCTCCTCCTTGCGGCGGATCAGGTTGTCCCGGCTCTGGACCGTGGCCTTCTGGACGGCCACCTCCTTCCGCAGGGCCGTGATCGTGCCGTCGTTCCTCAACTCCTTCCGCTTGATCTCGTTCTCGGCGGCCTGGCGGAGGAGTCCGGGCTGCTTGGCTTCGAGGGCGGCGAGTTCTCGGGTCGCGGCGGTGGCGGCGGTGGAGGCGTCGGTCCAGAGGCGTTTGGTGAGCTCCCAGTCTTTGGTCAGGTTGTCCATCTTTTTGTTCTTTGCGAGGACCTCGGCTTCAAGCTCACGGATCCGAGCGTCTTTGATGGCTGTGTCGCGGACCGTCGGGTCAGGGTGGTTGACGAGCTCGAGACGGGCGGCCGTGAGGTCTTTCTGAAGGGTGCCACGCTCGCCTTTGAGAGCTAGGATCTCGGTTCGAGATCTGCCATTGTCTCTCTTGGCCTTCTCAAGCTCAGCGGCTTGCTCTTGGATCGTAGCGTAGCGGTTGCCGGCCTTCTCGCGCAATTCTTCGTAGTCGTACTGGCGGCGCTCGTGCCAGTATTCAAGGCTCTTGATTTTCTCGTTCATCTGCTTCTTCTCGCCTTCCCAGAGCTTTTCAGTGACCTTGCATTCTTGGATATCTGCCGTAAGGCTTTCGATGGTAGGCTGTGAAGTGTTAGTGACACAGAAAAGGCAGGGTTGTGTTGAGGACTCACAGGACTGTTGAGTCGGCCTGCATTGTAATCTGCAAGCATCTTCCGCTTCTTGGCTTGGACTTCTAAAGAGTCGCCATGTTCGAGGTCCTGTAGATAGTTAGCAAGTCGGGTAGCGGACATGGTTCCAAACAAATACGGGGCTTACAAAAGGACGCCCCGCACGCGGAAGGGCATCTGGGTTCTTTGGATTCGTGATGAGTGGCAGGACCGGATTGGGATAGTATTTGGGCGCTCCTTCAGGCTTGTAGATGTCTGAAATGTCAGATATAGCGTCGGACAGGGACGAGTCGGAATCCATGATGGGCAGGTTTTCGATGGGACGGATGTTTGCTAGAGTCCAAGCGGATGTTTCAAAGCCTGAGTTGGAGAATTCAAAGACTTGTTGAGCACTGGCTGCTGGACCAGGTTCGTCAAGTTCGAGTTGACCAACCGAGCGTTGTGTATGCCAAACGCAGAAAATAAGTTTGCGGATCCTGTCGATAGGCTCTAGCGAGCGCGCTAAACACAGGTCCAGGTGCTCGACAGAGCTGTACACAACCAGTCGAATCACGGGTGTCAACTGATCACCGCTTGCCCTAGGTTCTCGCGATTCCGTGATATGGGTATCTTTCGCATTGAACGTTTCATCAAACGCGATGATCAGTTGTACAGGCGGAAAAGAGATGGCCTCCCCTGAGGGTATGATACTCACCACCTGCAATCCAGATTGATCTGGATTCTGTGGTCTCGGTCCGTTTGTCTTCGTGTCTGGTCTTACATAAGACACATTTTTTCCTTTCAGAAACATCTCAATGATATCCAGAAGATGGCCTGGCTTTGCAATTACCGCAATATCTATTCGACTCTCTTTAGTAAGAGCCAAAAGGTGTCCCAGAAATTTGAATTTCTCGCTGGATAGCTCAGCATATAGCGCTTCTTCCTCGGGGTTTATTTCTTCCTGGCTACCTGGTCCTCCACCTTCGAGGCCGATATGGGTAGCCACATTGCCAAGTCGATACAAAAGTGTGTTCAGCCTCTCCACGATTTCTTCGCCGATCCTTTCTTCCGTCATGTTTCTGCTTATGGCTTGTGAATGGTACTCAATGGTGTCCACGTACTGACTCAATATACGGGGTTGCATCGGCAGAGTAACGACAAATTCCCTTGGTCCCAAATTTCTCACCTTGAGAGTAGTCGTCTGGCTCTGCAGTGGAGATGCCTCTTTGTGCATCGAGAGCTTACTCGGAGTGGTTGGAGTGTGGGGAGCCGATTGAGGATTGCGCGCTGGCAGTGAAATCTCCTTCAGGATCATGGACGGCTGAATCTCTAGTCGTTCTGGCTCTTCTTGAATTTGATAGGGAGCCTTCGCTGGAATGATTGAGGGTGATGCTATGGAGCGCGACGACTGTGCAGCAATTGGTGACTGGACACGCACACGTAGCTCATCTCTCGTCACAGAAGGCGAGGGTCTAGCAGTCGAGAGTGGCGGTCTCGGTTGCTTATCAAGGCTTGGATCTGGAGACCCTCCAGCAGCTGATACTTGCGATCGCTCTGGTTGGTCCGGGACCAACGATGACGGTCCAACGTTTGTCGCCGTTTGGGAGCCTTCATGATCATCTCGGGTTAACGATGGAGACGCTCGAGATGTAGAAGATTCGGAATGCTGTCGCTTCCCACTACGCGCCGCCACTCTCTTCGCTTCGCCGTCTTCACGGATTCTCTTGAGCGTCGCTCTAATCCGTAGTGGTTGCATGCCTTCAGGCAAGCCGTTCTCGTTCGGAGCCATGTCAGACATAATGTCTTCTGAACTCGATGGTGGCTTAGGAGGTTCTCGAGAGTCCAAAGTATCCGGCAGCTGTACTCGACTGGCTGGGATTGATGAACTGTCAGTCCTTGTGGAGCCACGTACGGGATCTTCAAGGTCAGTGATGCCTTCTTTTGAAGGTTCTGGATGATTCTGTTTGGTTGACTGCGAATTTGGGTCTCGTAGGCTCAAGATCGAGTCGTCTGTTGTTGTGGCTTGTGAGGGGTGGCTATTGTCGCTGGGATCTTCTGAAACCGCAAAAACTTCCAAGGCAGCAGAACGTCGTCGTCTTTGGCGTTCTTTCGCTTCGGAGACGGCCGTAGAGGTACTCTGATGCGGATCGATTCTGCGCGTTGATCTGGCTACGCTCCTTGATGATATATCAGAAACCTCCTCCACAATTTGTGAATTTGGCTGTGCGTTCTGCAATTGATCTTCTGTATTGCAACTAAGTCTATAATTCTTTCCACGTAAAATTGCTTTGAAGGTATCAGATCGCGGTTGGACGTACCTGCTGACGTGATAGAGATTCGAGAACCTTGACTTGCAAGAGCTAAAGGAACTTGTGTCTGGAAGACGAGACTGTCGGTAAGGCTATGGTCTACCGCGTGACTTGGATGTGACCTTCGATCAGCAGATCCTGGGACTTGTACTTCCGAAGACCCTTGACGCTGCTGAATATGCCCTGCTCCTGCTGGAAGAGGAGACTGCAAGTCTGCTGAACTATGAATGACCTGTTCGTGTATAATATGATGATCACTCGGATGCTCGGAGACGACGGCTCGGCGCCGGCGTCGATCGTGGTGGGTGGAGGTAGGGTCAGAGGTACTGCGAGGTAGCGAAGGAAATCGAGCTCCGAAAGGAGACTCTAAGGACGACTCTGTTGTGATTGGAGCTGGCTCAGATCTAGACCTTTCAGAGGTAATAACAGAAGGCTCGCTAGCTGCTAGCACGACAGCTGAAGAATCTTCGATGGAATCGCTGGCCTCTGCAACTCCACAAGTGGATAACTCAAAGTCAGTGCTGTTTTGCAAAACACGAGATTGGTGGGTTGGTGGGGACCGATCTGCGCTGAGCACTGCTAAAGACGTGGTTGACGTGGGGTTGTAGCTAGAAGATCCAGGAAGAGACTGTGAATCAGGTATGATACCGTTGCTGTGTGGCGGAGATGTGGCAGGAGCAGGTGAAGATTCCCCAAGTCCAGAATTTGGATGTGGTAGAAGCGAAGATGAGTTTCCCTGAGTGGATAGAGAAGATTGATAGGCAACGTATAGGCCTCTATCAAGACTGCTGTGCTGCGAGACCTGTACAATGATATTGGGAGGGTTGAATTTGGAGTGGGATGGAGGATGTTCCAAAATTCTTGATGTGCTTCTATTGTGGTTTGGAGAGTCGCTGTTATTTGTTTTGTGAGAAGAAGTCTCGCTGATATGCTGAGGCTGAGGTCTTCGGGTTTCGACAACTGTGTCACTGGTCGTGCAATCTTTATTTGCACCTGGCCGCCTTCTTCTTCGTCTCTGTCGTTTAGGTCTATCCGAGAGACTTTGAAGGGCAGATGAGTGTTTTAGTTCCCAAGCCTTTACTGCGGCTGTATTCACGTGCGTCTTAGGTTGCTAATTGATAGTTAGCGCCTACCAAAGAAGCAGACTATCGAATCACTGAAGATAATGTAGAGGGCAGAAATGCATGTCTGATATCTGTACCTACCCAATCTGGTTTGAACCTTTCTCCGGTTATGGGATCGTCCGCCCAATCGATCAGATACTGAGTTGACCTTTCTCCAATGATAGCTTTGATGCTGTACACAGGGCTTGAAGGATTGCTCTGGCTCCCTTGCGTAGGCTCTACAGATTCTTCTTGAGATTGCCAGAGATCCGACAGCAACCTGGCTCTCTTCGATAGAGTTCTCTCTGTTCCTGGATCTGGACTATTCCTGCGTTTTCGAGAACTCATTATGCAATTGACATGATTGGTTGCGGGAATCTACTGAAGACATTTGGGGTGTCTATACATCTCAATTGGGGGTTTCAATGGCCATTAAGCAGCAGTGCATATACTCACATAGGTCGTCTTGTGATATCGGAGAAGGTGAGCGGAAGTGAATGCGATGCTTTGACGAATCTGGTTAGCGCTGATCAAAAAAACGCGCTAGCTATCGACTAGCCGATTACCTAGTCCGTTTGTTCACCACACATTGTTCATGCGCTGTTTTTCGTTGGAACAGGTACTTGTTATTCCATAACTGATGTTGGCTTCATGCACTGGTTTTCTTGGATTGAGGACAACAAAACTCCTTATCTACTACTTCAAGCTTCTTCTTTTACATGGCGCGTCTCGCTGTTTATGACTTTTAATGGGTGGCGTAGGCAGAGTATAGTATCAGGGTTTTTCAAGATACACATTTTCATTGCATTTTCTGCATTTTCTCGGAGTATGTATGTACTGATATTACAAAACGAAGAATCGATAACAAGAGCCTTGAGGACACAGCGACTCGTTTCTTTGACCGTATGCAGTGGTCCTACTTGGGTGAACGGGGCGTGGGCAGGGGAGTGGTTCAATTGGAAGACGCAGTCTAGTAAAGAGGCGTCAAAGAAAAGGTACCCGGGGAGCTGGATCGAGAAGCTTTGCCTCACGAATGTTCAAAATGGAGATCTCGAAGCACAAAAGATCTCGAGATGCTCCATGGATAAGCGGGAAAGCGAGCAGACAGAAACAGTAGTAGCAGTTGGCGGCTGACAAGCAGCAGAGATTCGTTTTCCAATAACATCGTAATAAGAGGCAACCTATTCTTCCTATGGCAAATTTCTATACTGTCGGATCGAAAGTCTTGCACGATTCGTTCACGGGTATTTCCAAATTGGGTCCGACTACTGCTCTCGGCTCTGGCTGTATCGACGGACTGTAGTATTGACGCCGCGAAACTCCACTTCATAGGTCCTCCCAGCCGTATGGAAGTTGCGTTGCGGAAAGGCCCTCATTTGGGATGCCGTGATGTTGTCGGGTCGTGGTCATCAGATAGTTGGATGTCAAGACGGTGCATCACATGTAATTAAACCTTTAAAGAGTAGCCCAGTCCAGGCTGGCTCAAGCAGTTGCCATTTTTCCGAAGATAGCAATATTTAGTCCGTGGCAGCTCTGTTCAGGCAAGCTCATGAACGTATGGGCGTATTCGATCTGGTCCAGCAAAGTCCGTGAGGAGCGTTCTTGTCTCTATACCCATTTTTGAAGTGACAATAGTATACCTGACACTGTCAGAACATTGACCCATAGCTATGGCTGTACAGGCAATCCTCTTTTGGTGGGTTGCTCAGATCAATTTGGAGATATATTCAAGGAATGCAAGCAGCTCTCCAGGCCTTTGAGACTCGTCACAATTCGAAGGTTTCTTGAACTCCACACTGCTCGGCTATGGCGCGGTGGATGTCTGCTAGGAGGTCTAAGAGGGGAGGAACTGTCATTCCAGATACGTGTGATGTGTTGATCTCCGTCTCCATGGTTCTTGACCTATAGATCTTTAATATGATTGAGGGGCTTTCCTTCCATTGGTGAACTTAGCATGTGGGTTTTCCACCTCCACAAGTCTCACCTTCCTTTGATCAGGTGCTACCACAGGCAGAAATCTGCAAGGATGAGGTAGTATCATTCAGAATAAGACTCGATGTTTTCGGCAATCTTTGATAGTAAAGCGGACCGGATAATTCGAGCTCCCTTCAAATTGATGTTTACATGTGAAGGTGCTTTTCGTTCAGAAGCATGTCTATCATCAAACACAAAATCAGGTTACAAGAAAGCATTCAGATTTTCGATGTAATAATCTGGATTGTTGACACAGCAATAGACCAATGAATCTTGGGAGTCAAGAGGATTTAGGAATGTCCTGCTTCTACGCCATTCTGTGGAAGTTGCTCCCTGAGCCACGCATCGTAATCAAACCCGAGCTCCTGTAAAGTCTTGATATCATGACGAGCATCCCCTTCATCTGCAAAGGCCTTCTTTATAGCCGGAAACCTCTCTCTCGCCCATCTTTCTTTCGCTGACCATCTCATTGACATCTTGCCTCCTCGACCAGTAGCACGCGTTGCCCAATCTACTAGTTCATTATGGTAGTCGATGTCTTTTGGAAATGACAGAACATGAAACGATCTGCCAACACCGTGTTCCGCGACGACGTCCTCTTCCCACCTACTCATCTCCGACGTCGAAGGAAGATCAAGCCTATCAGCCCATACGCGAGCTACGACGGCCCCTTGCCCTTCGGCTGTTCGGAAAGGAATGATCTTCGCAGGAAGACCGATGAAAGCTATAGTAGGATCATCTATATAGAACAAATGCTTGTACAGATGCTGTACTCTTTCCCCTGTTGATATGAGTTTAGATTCAAGCGAAGAGGAAAGAAATGGAAAAGAATAGTAGTAGCCTGTAGCGAATAAAATCGCATCAACATCTTCCTCCACTCGACCATCCGCAAAACGCACAGCTCTTGTACCATGAGAAACTGGCAGGAACTCCGCTATCTCTGGGACATTTTCTTTATAGCCCGCAGCAAAGGCCAAAATTGACACTGACCTCTGAGACATCAGAAGTGGGCGTTTGCAGACCGCTCCAATTTGAGAAGCAATATCAGTACCAGAGGCGGCGTTGCCAACAATGATGACCTTCTTATCGGCAAAAGGCTTTGGTCTTCGGTAAAACTTGGTGTGCGAGATAACGCCTGGACTTGTTTGATTCCACTTCTCGATCCCTTTGATCTTCGGTAGGATGGGCACAGTGTAATGTCCATTGGCCACCACAACAGCATCGTATATTTTTTCCGTAGACTGTATTGGTCCGGAGGTCTTTGAGCCGGACTTGGTGAGCTCCTGGTCGTGTCTGGCTAATGTCCATCACTTGAGTCTGAAACGACACAAGATGCTTAACATCCTCGCCATAGTCTTCAAGGTACTGTGTGACAACTTCTCGGCTTGGGAAAAGCTGGTGGTCTTCCAGTGAAGGCATATCGGAAAACTTCATGATACTGTGTGGAATATTGGTCTCTAAACGCTCGTACATTGGTGACACAAATGTTGCTTTTTGTGCACCGTTTGCGACGCCATTTGGATTTGAGCAAGGGCGCCAGATTGGTTCGTCCAAAGGCTGATGTGGATTGGTCTGAGGAATATCAATCGTGTCGATGGGGTCGTTCGAATAATTCCAGACGCCACCAAAAGAAGCTTGCTGCTCAAAGACGTCGATGGTATCGAAGCAGTTCTCGGCAAGGAGATATCTGTACGCATCCCATCAATGACGTAAGAGCCTTGAAGGAATCTAGTATCACACGAATGGGGAGTAGATAATCCAAGACGTACTTTGATGCGCCAATTCCAGCGGGACCAGCCCCAACGACGCAAATGTCTTTGACCTTACGTCTCTCCCCGCCGTAAGAACCCATGGCCAGTATTGAGATACTCTTTCAAGATAAATGAATGAATCAATTGAAAAGGAACTCTCAGATTTTTGTGCAGCTACAAGAGTAAATGAGCCTCGGGGACTAAAAAACGACGAAAGCACCGCTTCAAACGTATATCCACTACATCATCAAGTAATCATTGCGTGAACACTAAGTTTATAGAAAGAAAGACTCTATACACGAGGCATGGAAAGTCGCAGTAGTCATGACCAGGAGAGGTGAAGTCCGCGAAAAGAAAAAGAACAAGACTCTTTGTTCGCGTCCGCGTTTCCGCCCCGCCAATCAATTTACTCGAGACCTCCAGCTTCTATCCTGATTGCAATTGAAGCAGTTGTCCGTTGTAAGATCAAGCTAGATTTTATGACGCGACCCCGTCGAGCAATATGATGACCACGGTCTCGAACCATGGCATCGCCCACAACCGTGCCGTCGAGCACGCCAATCGCAGAGTTGAACCCGGACCTTAGACCTGACGCATCTTTTGTCACGGGCATTGTCACCCTCATCTGGCCCTATGCGTCATCCAAGAAGACGTCCAGCCTTCTGCTCGTGGAGCCAGACTTTCGCCTCCGTTCAAATCGAGGACAAGTCCGTGTTCACTTCCAAGGCTCAAGCGCAAAGGCTGTGGCAAGATCTGGTATAAGCAGTGGAGATCAGCTTCTATTGAGCCTGAAGGGCGCGCATTGGGCAAAACATACTACAACAGTTCAGACGCCGGGGAGAGGGATTGACTGGGAGCTACAATTTGGGGAACGCCTGGTGCTACAGGTAAGAGGGCTACGAGAGCGCCACAGAATCGCTACTCAATATTTTCTATCAGATCCAGCGCCCTTCGCAACAGGCTATACCCCTCGATATTGACCACCCAAGCCCGTCGCCTGAACCCTCTGTTCAGACCTCGACCCCAGCCCAGTCTCCACCCCATAACAACCACTTCGCAACCTCAACTGGTAGACCTCAACTTAATTCCCAGGTCTGGGCGTCTCCCGCTTTCCTTAAACGCAGCCATTTCCTCGCTACAGACTATGATCCATTCGCACAGGAAGACTTCCCAGACAACGACCGGAAAAAGCGTACCAAGTTTGGGCGTGGTAGCGGCCAATGGCGATTCGCAGAGCGGACGCCGAGCCCTGAAAAGGAACCTGAAATTCCGCCGCTCGATGTTGCCAGTCCTTCGAGACCGCCAGCTCAGGACAGACCCAAAGGAGAGGATGTCCAATCACTTGTTCAAGAAGCGCATGACGCAAGGTCACCTTCAAGTGTAGCGACGAACGCGTTGACTGATCGTGGTGAGCTGAGAGCCCAGTCTGAAGATGACCCTACTGTCAAAGATATGTCTGTTCAAGAGAGGGAAGAATCGTCTATTTTGCTCAGCCAAGTCGACGGTGGTAGACATATGGTAGACGAGGTCGCTAAAGATGAAAATGGCGGGATGACTACTATTATTACGGGAATAACTCCGCATACGACGAATACCGATCTTAACAAGGTTGAAATACTAGAAGAGCACGGGGAAGTCGACAACAGTATTCCTAGACCGACGAGTGCTATCTACAAGGCAGATTATGTGGGCCATGAGGTTTCCCAGGAGCGGGCCCAAATCGCGCAAACTTCACCTTCAGCGCCTATTGAAATATCGTCTTCGGCTTCCTCTTCGTCTGCGCCCGAAAGCTATCAAGAGCCGGATGGGGAGTCGGACCAAGTATCCGATAACGCATCTCATCAGGAATCTGACAGCCTATTTGACGAGCAGTCCGAGTCCGGACAAAGCAACCTTGCCATGTACAGCGGTCATACGTCTGACTTTGGCCTTGACGGATCGACTTTCTCCCGCCCTCCGCCACCCGCAGAGTTTGCCCCGTCTCCAAGTGTCATCAACAGAATCGAAGAAGGAGTAGAAGCTGATCGCCTGAACACTGACGATGCTAGGGACATCCCGTCTCCCCTTCAGAGTGATGTTGAGCAGATAGAAAACGAAGCTGAAAAACCATCGATTTCAGGAGACTCGGCCGCTGATTTGTTGCTTTCTGATAACGTAGGGTCTGGGGAAGATATCGACATGCTTGAGGGCCACGATGCTGCACAGCCACGTCCGGGTGTGCGACTGCCCTTTCTTGACCAGCTCGGGAGTCCAGAAGCTGGAGAACTTGACGACGAAGCCACGAAGAATCCAGCTCCCGCAAATTTGCTTGCTGACGACGTAGGTTCTATGAGAGATGTCGACAGCCTTCAGGATGAGAATGCTGTGCAGCGATCCCCAAGCAATCCGTCATCGTCTTCCAACCAGTTCGAAAGTCAAGAATCTCAAGAAGAGCTTATGCTTAGATCTCCAGAAACTCCCGATGACGAAGCTGCGCCTGAGTTGGTTCCCGAACAGTGCCCAGCCGAATTTCTAGAGGAAGAGTCCCCATCTTCTAGTCGAGAAAAAGATGACTTGTCAGGGGCTTTTGATGAGGAAGACACTCTAGAGACGAGCCTGGAGAAAGATCTAGCTGATTCAGCAGTGCGACATGAATCACCAAATACACGTCAACAGGAAATGGCGCTAGATGCAAGGCTACCGCAAGAGGACTCGAAGATCCTCCCTACTCAAAGTCACGACGTCAGGGACCGCGCCGAAAGTGTGGGCATGTTGACCTCAGAAATCCAACAGACCACAGTCGAGATCATTGATTTGGAGAGTGGTGACGAAAACGACATCAGTCCTCAAAACATTGGCCAGGAAGACTTACAAGCGCTCGTCGATAAGGATGATTCCGAGTTCGCACCAACAAACAAGGTGTCAGCCCACGAAACCCCTTTGCCGTTAGACTCTGATGCTGGAAATGAGCAACAGACATTGAAATATGAGGCATATCGTCTATCGACTCCCCCAGCCTCTACGCGACTAGTGCTCAAGTCTGTCGCGGTGGTCGAGGAGCTCCCGCCTGTAGATATCCGGATAGGGTCGGAAGCTCATGAAGAGGCTTTTGAACCTGAACGGGAGGGTTCTCGCAAGCAGTCTCCAGCAGCGATAATTGAAGGGTATGAAAAAGAGCTTTCATTAACAGAGGAGGCCCAATTCCAGCGACTACAGGAGGCAAGACTTCAAAGTAAGGAACACGAGCTATCAGCCAAAAAGGAGCCTCGTCTCAAGCGATCGCCAATAGCAGAAACCGAGCTCAAGTCAATACCTATAGACGAATTGCCTTCAACCGTACCCGATTCGTTTGAAGGCATAAAGTCAAAGAGCCAACTTTTGACACCGAGCTCAACACAACGAACAGACTTTATATCCCAGCCATCATCCGTATCACTCCATCTCACGTCAGAGGGTGACACCCTACCAACACCTCGACTGACACAAGGCACTTCTGCTGGAGTCGTGCCTCCGCAGCCGCTTGCTCCTATAGAAGTACCGACCCTTTTCGAGACAACCGCGCCACCCAAAAAGACATCGGCGTTGATTGAGAAGTTGAAGGAGATGCGAAGGCTATCAAACCAAAGCCCAAAACCCCGATCGAGCGACGCCAGTGTCCTAGATCCATGGTTTGCGCCTAAGCAGTCTAGCCAGGTTGTCCCAGACAGTGAGGATGAAAGTGAAGCAGAGAGCTCGCCGGAAAGAGAAGCGCAAACAGAAATTCCGAAGATTGGTGGTAGACAGCTGCCTCAGACTCCCGAAAAACCACTCGCGAAAACGTTCATACGCTCCCCACAGCCGAACTACATCTCCTCGATACAATCGTCTCCTCAATATCTCCCACCTTCTCAACCACCTCCTCCAGGCTTTCGCACAAACCTTTCGTACTTTGTGCCTCTTGCGACTTTGACATCACACTTTGCAACGACTGTCGACATCCTCGCCATCGCCCTATCTAGCACGCCAGTCACCCGTGCCACCTCGGGACCAAGAGATTACACCCAAACTCTTTATATCACCGATCCCTCGTCCTCAGCATTACAACACTCCATCACCACAGCACAGATATTCCGACCTAATAACCGATGCTTTCCTCTCGTGGACAAAGGTGACGCCCTCTTGTTACGCGAGCTCAAAGTCCAACATTTCCAAAGGCGTCTGTCGCTACTCAGCACCGAGAGTAGTTCATGGGCAGTCTTTCGCAAAGGGGCTGATGTGCAAATACGTGGGCCACCTGTCGAGCTCGGAGCCGAGGAAAGAGGGTTTGCCCGTGGGTTATGGGATTGGTGGGCTAGCCTTGGTGATGATGCGAGAAAGCGATTCGAGAATGCAGTGCCTGAATACAAGAAGCCTAACGGTACGGCTAAGACCACGAAATCCAAAGCAGGTGGAGACAAGAGCGATGCACCAATCAAAAAAGAGGAGATTGAGGGCTTAGGTGTCGATCTGCCTGGCTCACAAGCCAAAAGAAGAGAATCAATGAAAAAGCGTGCCTTAGGTCTGGATGTTGTGGAAGAGAGGGAGGTGGTGCATGAGAGCATAGAGGCTCCAAAGCGTGTCTTGCGAGCAAGAGGGGCGAAGGACGCGAATGGGAGGTCAGAAAGCGCTCGAGAGTCGCGCTCCGGCACACTCTTTATCGGTGGGCTGGGAGAGCCGGATGAGACTCAAGGGAGCGCGCATGAATTGAGGGATGGGAAGGCTTATAGAGATAGAAGGTGACATGCATGATGATGGCTTCTAACTTTGTGTGCATTAGTGTGGCCTCGCAACGTACAATGTTAACATGGTTTAGCTTGCGAAGTGAGCGTTCAAGCGACTGAAGTATAGCGCATACCATGCTACTGTAGTAAAGTGTGAATGGATCTTATTATTCCTTCGAGACCATGGGTCTCACATCCTCTCCAAGGGTAGTGTTGTAGGTTGTCTCGCTGTTCGCCGAAACCATCGTAGCATTGCCAGCATGTGACCGGTAGACAGAAACCGTACCTCATCATCTATTATATGTTCACATATCAGCGGCCGTCGAAGAAGTACGAATTATGGAACAATGAGGGTGTTACAATATAATCTCAGTCTTTGCCTTTAAACATCATGCACAACCAGCGCCAAGCGTAAAGCAAGAGTGTATTACGTGGCTGTGCTTTTCGGACTACCAGAAGCTGTGTTGCATCTTCATATGATGAGGGAAGGAGGCTTGAACAGTAGGGTGCACGGACCTTTGATGAACCTGATGCCTCATAAGACAATCCATTGAGTGGAAGAATTCGCTGTATGAGCCATGGCGCGATGTTAAGCAAGATAAAAGCCTATAAAAGGAGGCTGTAATCTTCGAAAGACCTGAAAATGTGATAGCCATCTCGTGCTGGTAGGAACAGAAGAATCTGCGTTGAGACAATCTTCGAGATTGAACGATTGAATACCTGGTGAGAAATATAGTCAAATAGTGATAACTTTCTCATCCAATGCCCGGTTAGGTAAGGAAAAACCAATCGGCAGTTTCAATTCCTTCACTGACTTGGTGCTCTAGCTCAATCGTAAGAAACATCTCGATCAATCTTCGTAATTTTCACTAATAGCAAAAAAAAGGGTAGAGCGTGTACGTACTAATAATCTAATATGCGAAGTAAGACAATATCTAACATGAGATAGGTGACTCTTAATCACAAGGTATATACCGACCCAACTATTAAAAGCAAACAAATTCTAACAAGTTCCACAATCAAAGGTTGTGGGTTCGACCCCCACATCGGGCTCATTTTTTTGTGTTTGTTTTGCCATTTCTTTTCGTTAGTTGTGAGTCATGCTCATGTTCTTTTCCCACTCGATGGGCTATGCACGCAAGCACTCGAGATTAATTGGCCTCATAGTATCCAGCCAGACCTCTTCTCTAATAGTCACATTGTCTGGTGGTACGCATGCCTATCACAGAAGATATGTCCCAACATACAGGTCGTCACCGCATCATGGGAAGCTCGCACAAAGCGGTCCTCGTGATGACGGTTTTAGAAGTGGCTTAAGCGTATTCTTGACCTACCCATCGGAATCGCCAGCCGAGTGAGGATTGAGCTCGAGCTGGGATGATTTGAGTTGGTGGTCTTGACTAAAGGAAAGAAGAAAAATTCGCCAATCGGGGATGATATTTGTCGCGGCTAAAAACGCCAAGAGTGCCAAGGTGCCAAGAGTATAGCCGCCGCTACCGCTGTACCTGACCGCCAAAATTGTAGACTTTGAAGTAGGAACCGTGTTTGCTCCAACAATTTCAATCATTGAACCCATATAATCTGAATACCTCCCAAACACACGCTCTACTTCAACCATAGGCCTCTAAAGTCCTCCATATCCTGCAATAGAAGCCCAACAGATCCAAGAATCTCCAACGACTGATTCTAAAGTACATTTGTGACTCGAGCGCATACTCGCATTTTGGCAAAGAAGCGCATGTAACATCATTCGGGTTCTTTTGGCTCCCACAATCTCCAAGTCTAGGTCCTGTAGTGTTCATGGACAATTTATGGCAGCGCCGGTCGAAGTAAGCTTACACCAGCACCAATTGCCCCCAAATACTGACTTGGTGCGTTCGACAGCTCCAGCAAGCTTGCCCTCTCCACATCCAACTCAAACAGCGCCAACAAAGAGAACACAAAGTCTGAGAATTCTCGTCCATACCAACCTGCGAAGCGCTTTGGCGGCGGGGAAGGGTCTTTTAGCAGCAAATCCAATCCATTTAATGGCATTGCTCCCTTAACAACCACGAATGCTGCTTCGCCTACAAGTGGTGCCTCATCAGCTTTTGGTCTTGGATCTGGGGCTTTTGCATCATTTGGATCTTCTGCGAAGACACCAAGGACTCCAGGGACTTCTCTTGACTTCGGCAACTCCACACCTTCGACTGCCGCTGGCGAGAAGCGGGAGAAGGAGAAAGACAGCGTTGGGTCAGATGTCAAGACGAACCCCTCAGCATTATCTTTGAACAACAAGTCATCCACTACACCTTCAGAGCACTCTCTTAAGTCCACTTGGATCGTATGGTACCGACCTCCAACGTCTAAATACTCCGACTACGAAAAATCGACTATACCTCTCGCATACTTCTCTTCTGTCGAGGCATTCTGGACAGTTTACACTCACCTCAAGCGACCATCAACTTTACCCTCAGTCTCCGACTATCACATCTTCAAGAAGGGCATTAGGCCAGTATGGGAGGACGACGAAAATAAGAGAGGAGGCAAATGGATCATCAGGCTGAAGAAAGGTGTCTCGGACAGATACTGGGAGGATTTGCTTCTGGCAATTGTGGGCGACCAATTCGCTGAGGCTGGTGAGGAGGTCTGCGGTGCTGTGTTGAGTGTAAGAAGCGGCGAGGATGTGCTGAGTGTCTGGACGAGGATCGATGGTGGGCGTAATATCAAGATTCGGTACGTCAACACCAATTTCTCTATCCCGCCATACGCCGTACGTCTGTTCACTGACATCCCATCCTCTAGTGAGACGATCAAGCGCCTCCTCGCTTTCCCCGCAGACACCAGCATCGTCTGGAAAAGCCACGACGACAGCATAGCCCAACGCTCAGCAATCGATCAAGCACGCCATGAGAAGGGTACTGGCTCTGGACCACACCACGGCCAAGCCAAGAGGAGGGAGACCATCAATGAAGATTCGGCTCCGGAGAAGCCAAGGGGAACAGCAGCATGATCCCTGTGTAGGGTTGTGTACGATAATTGATGAGTTTCAAAGCGACTGCATGTATGTCATTAGCGAAGCCACACTGTTTTGCATTTTCGATGAGTATTGATTGGACTGGGCATATCCTGTACTAGTACTGCAGGTTGGATAGCTGTAACTCATCCAGTCCACAGGCCACGGTCCACAGACCACAATGCACATGATTGATGTGTGGAACTTACTACGGGAGACGGCGCGAATGAAGTGATTAAGGGCAGTACTGAGATTATCGCGCTTCTCCGACTTAATTCACTTAAGGCCTGCTGCCTGACTGTAGCCTTTGTTCAACAGTTTACGAGCCTTGCTTTCGGTCTCCTCGATGTCCCACCCCTCTAACACGGTAACGGCCTGTCTTTTCTGCAGCCAGAACAGGCGAAGTGCAAATGACCGTGCTCCATCTCTGTCTGACGTTACACGTTCAACGTGTATCATTTGCTTGACTTTCCCAGTGTCACCATCATTGGATGAGAACTTTTACTTTCAAAACATATCTCAGCATGGATCCAGAAACTCCGGACGCTGAGTCTATAAGTGCCAAATTCGTGGATGTTCGCGGTATTAGAAGAGGCATGGAGAAAGTTGCAAATTTCCGCAGCAACAAAGCTAACGGAGCGGCTCTCGGTAAGTCCCGGCGCTTGATGTCTTCATGCATCAAGGCTCCTCAAGCAACAGTTATCATTTCACCTACACAATTCGTAACTTCCACTCACACTTCGACCACCAGACAAAAATACACACCTTGAAATTCATCTCAATGCTGGAGAAAGGTCGACACAATCGCTCCTGCCAGAAGTGGATCGGATGTCCCGCTCTCGACAAATTTCAAACGCAGAAGCGGAAAAAAGAGCTTACTTTGATCAACTTTCGGCCCCTACTGACGAGGAGATTCGACTTTTAGGAGGCTCAGGGTATGAGATCCTCGGTTGCTCCAGGGCTCGAACCTAGTACTGATTTGGTCCTTCAGCAAAGATGATCCAGAAGCTGTTTCCATCGCAAAACCAGTAACAAGACATGGTGGTATGTTCGGAAAGGTTGGTTTCGGTCTGGTCGGTGACCTTTTTCAATGCTGACTGGAGGAAGATGCTCCCGAGAGGACTCCCGAGAGGGCCTCAGCCAAGGAATACTCTCTCCAGAGATCCATTCCCTGCCGGCCCAGCAGTGAATCGGAAGGCAGCGCCCAACCTAAACCCAACAGGTGGAACTCAGCGAGTTTTAGCAGTGGAGATACACAGAGGGAGCAACGTAAAATCTATATCAAACACGAATGAGCGGGATGAAACCCTTCCTACACCCCCTTCAGCCAAACGACGGAAGTTGGATCGCCAGGCTAGCCCGGCAAGCTCAGGCCAGACAGACCCTTTGGATCAATTGTCACCCCATGCAATATCCTTCCACGCTAGCCAAGGCACCAGCCAAGTCCCCAGTCTAGCTCCGTCTGCTTCTGCAAATAGCCAGGTATCGGGCCTCCCACTGAAGAGAAATGGTTCCTCCGAATACAGAAATTTGGAGAAAATGATGGATAGTAGACCGAAAAGCAAGAGGCAGCGTCGTAGTGAGAATGGAAAGCACCAACCTGACCATGACCTGCTTCCATCATCACCAAAACGTTCACCAATGTCCAATCCGATAGACATATCAGGAGACGAGTCTCAAATCACCAACACCAATTCAAAATTTGCCCCCCGTCCTACGTATCGGGGTACGGCTAGGCAGCCACCTCCTACAATTAAAGGTACCAGTTCAAACACTTCAAGGTCACTCAAAGAGCAAGGCAACCCAACACAATCCCCTTTTTTCAACAAGCCTGGGCTTCCTGCACCTCGATCGGACGGTAACGTCAAGCAGAAGCTTGTTACCCAGAATTTAACTAGAGAAAAGTCTCCAGGCCTTGCACAGATTTTCATTGCTACCGATGGCACGCGTCGTGGCTCAGATGCCAATGCCAGCTCCGACGCGGATGAACTTCAGTCGGCACCAACCACTGTTGGGCAAAACGCAGATCCGGATGCGGTGTTTATCGCCAAAGACATGCGTTCGACAAGTCCTTCGAAGCATTCGTCATCAACCCTCAGAGCTACAACCCCCATGGACGATCTTGCAGTCTGGGCACCGAGCACAGTGAAGTCGGATTTCGCCCGCTTCAATGCCAAGAGCCGAGATCGTGGACGTCCTTCCCGTCCAGGACCTCTTGGCCAAGAGGCAAGGCCGCCCTGGTCCGTTGCTCTTGCTGCAATCAGCCTTCCGGGAGCTCTTTACAAAAATGAAGACCTTGGCCTTGTGCACGACCAGAAACAGGAAGAATACTATATCCAGCAGTGTGGCGAGCGTATCCGTACCACCCACAGTAGTCTTCGAATTCAGCCTAAGAAGTTGAACAGAGTCGTGTGGGAGAATCCGGGAGTCAGGGTACGCCTACAATCGTCGAGAAGCGGGACGGAAGATAACGTCTTGGATCTCGAACTCGCGTCTGAACGCGATGTCCCAATTCTACTTCAGCGACTACAGAATCCGAGGGCCCTCGCCGTGGTTGGCAGGTCTAGGTATGTAGTTGGGGCACTTGAGGGGTTTGTCATGCACCAAATCTAACAGCTTCAAATAGTGAATACATGCAGAAGATTTTCGAGAAGAGACGATCAGAGCTGCGCACCCTACATGGTGCGACAAAAAGCTATAGGCCGGAAGAAGTAGAGATAATTACCTATAGCAGACAGCGTAACGATTCCAGCAAGTACCTAGCCCCTTTGGACACTGACAAGGCTAGCCGCCAGCAGTCAAAGTCTTCGATAGTCGATGAGCTGGTACACAATGCCACCCATGACACTGACATTGCCGCTGAACGGCCCGAACCGCGTGTGCTAGCAATGCCTGACGGGCTTCCAGAGGAAAGTGGTATCAAAAGAATCTTTGCAAAAGTCAAGCCAGCCCATAATGAGCATCTGAATCCGCGGCGGTCGACCAGAAACTCAGGTGTCCATGACGGCGAGAGTCTCCTCTCAAATTTGGATGGGATACCCGAGAAAGAAAAGTACTCCGTGAAACACGGTCTAGGTGACCCCTGGAAAAGGCCTCTGACGTACCCCAAGGTTGGCAAGAAGAAAACTACTGTGGAGTGGTCTGATCTTGAACGTCTAGACGAAGGTGAATTCCTCAATGACAACCTCATAAGCTTCTACCTACGCTACCTAGAACAAAGACTTGAGGAAGAGAGACCAGAACTTGCCAAGAGAGTTTACTTCTTCAACACATTTTTCTTTGCAACTTTGACAAACACTCACAAAGGCAGAAAGCGTTTCAATTACGAGGGTGTGCAGAAGTGGACTAGGTCTGTGGATCTTTTCACCTACGACTACATCATAGTACCTATTAACGAACAGGCCCATTGGTACCTTGCTATAATTTGCAATCTGCCTGCTCTGGATCGCGACTTGGCAATGCCTGAGGATGAGGCTACTTTGCCAATCGAAAATGGTCGTGCCGTGTCAAAGCAAGGACCAAAAACGGAAGAGCGTGCATCAAGCCCTACAGATCAGCCGGGTGGTGACGAGTCCGAAAACTTATTTCCAAGTGCGAAGGAGCCAAACGAAAGGGATACAAGGAATTCGTTCTCACAAATGAGTTTGGACAATGATGCAGGATTGGCTGCAGGCGACGAACTAGGTCTCTACGACACCGACGGCCCAAAAAAGGCACGTCCGGCCTCCGAAGATAAGGAAATGCTTGATTCCCAGATCGAAGATACTATGCCTGGATTTGCCGCTTCTACGGAAGCTGAGAATCATCCAGCACCCTCCGAGGGACAAGGCGATGAGGTAAAAGATCTTATCGAGTACCAACACGAAGAACCCAAAGCTGCAGCGAAGTCCAGAAAGAGCAAACGGAAGGCGCTGCCAGCCCCGATTACCAAGGTTGATCCAAATAAACCAGCCATAATAACGTTCGACTCACTCGGACAAGCCCGCGGCCCAACTATTAGGATACTCAAAGACTATTTGCGTGAGGAGGCCAAAGCAAAGCGCGGCATGGAGTTTGAGGAGTCACAGATGAAGGGTGTCAATGCGAAGCGGATTCCTCAACAGGACAATTTTTCGGACTGTGGCGTGTTCCTACTCGGCTATGTGGACACATTCCTCAGTCTCGAGACAGATCCTAAGGATTTCATCACGAAGACTATCCAACAAACACATGAGGAAAAAGATTGGACAAAGCTTGTGCCCGGTGACCTACGAGCAAGCGTTCGCAATCAAGTCCGAGAGCTGCATGAGATCCAAACGAACGAGCGGAGGGAGGAAAGCGCTAAAAAGTCAGGGAAGGTCGCTGGAATGGAGGATAAGAAGCTAGTATCGAGCCCATCGCGTGCTCCAGATCAAGCGAAGATTGCCCAAAAAGGATTTGGTAAAGCCAACGGTGCGGAAATGGTCCCAACCACGACGAGCAAGGTACCTGAACCTTCCTTGTTGGGCATCTCAGGAACAGAAAGTGGAGCATTCGAGACTACCCGCCGCTGTGAGAAGGAGAATCTTGACAAGAAAGATGATGTGCTCGAGGAACTCTTACAGACCAACGAGCGAGAAATGCAGAAAAGCGCAGAATATCAGCGTCTGTACAACTCAGACCATGACGAAACGGATATACACGATGGTGGGGTTGACGAAGAGGCTCCAGCAGTTCAATGGGATGACCCGTCTGTCATCGTGGTCGACAGCCAGAGCCAGCGAAGGGTGTCAGCTCCTACAAGCATTACCTATCCTTCGTTCTCCTCGGCGAAACAGAGCTACCCTGAATCGAATTACTCCAGGATAGTCAATCCCGTTCCACTTTCGTTCGAGAAAGAAAAGTCTCCTAAGTTACCGAGCGAGATCCCAGACTCACAAAAATCCAATACATCGCATAAAAATGCGAAAATAACGAATACACCAGCTACGATCGTTCCGGCTACCAATGCGGACCCAGCACCAGTCTCAGCAAATTTCACTATCATCTCTGACAGTACACATGGGCTGTCTGACCTGCAGGGTGAGCGTAATGAGCGCTCCAAGCGTAGAAAAAATGGCAAAGAAGATCGAAGAGAAGTTGAGGAAGCACCGGAGAAGGAGGACATGGTTTTCACGATTGAGAAGCCATCAGAACGGCGCGAAGAGCGCAAGGAGCCGCCGAAGCGGAGGAAAAAGTCTGCTAAGGCGGCTTCAAGCGACTTTGAAGAAGTCCAGATTCATGTAATCGATGACTGATGACCATTTTCACTTCACAAGTTCAGGGCTAATTTACCCATTGCTGTTAGCTATGGCATGGCGATTTGCTTGGTTGCTAGCATAGCGAGGCGCCTTCACGGGTCTTCAGATCTGTTAAGGCGAGGATTTGAGCCCACATACCCACCTTTTGAGGTTTTAACGATAACGTAACAGAAAAGATGATTTGCTGATGATCTTTCCCCGTCTCCAAGTCATTGTAGAGGATTGGGTGAGCCAACAGGTGCGATGAATAGGCCAAATTCACGAAAAATATTCAACTGTATTTCAAACCAAACATCCCATATTCTACCTACATTTATCAGTACATTGCCTCGTCTCAAGAGTCCTCATCTGAGGAACATCAACCCCCAAGCTCTCATCGTTCCACACTCTCAGGCGTCGTCTCAAAACTTGACCGTCCACCCCTTCCCAATCTCCATTCCCGGATCTCTAATAACAGCCCAGTTTGCGGCTCCTCCATCACCCTGAAACCACTTCATCTCCACCGTCCTCGTCTGCTTCGCGCCCTGCTCTTCAACCTTCACCTCGCTTCTCCCCTTCCATTCCATCGGCGCACCAATAACAACCATCTTCTCGACGCGCACAGCAGTCATCGCTGTAAGGTAAGCCTTCCTCTTCTTGCTTGGTTTCGACATGTCAGTGTCGGCTGACAGGTCGCTAGATTTAAGGGTACTAGAGGAGAAGCTGAAATGGCGGTGGATGTAGGCACCGTCTTCGTAGTCATAAGATTCACCATCGTCGACGTAGAGGTCGCCTTCTGCTTCACCGTTACTGCCAAGCGCGATGATTAAAGTGTAAGGATCCCAACGCATCAAACCGCTACTGCGGCGAGGCCGATCCTTGCGGGGGAAGATATGGCCCGCTTTCATCAGGAGAGGGATTTTATCCAATGGTGCTGGTATCGCGATAGTGCTGCCGCTACCAACGTGGGTGCTGTAGGTGAAATAGTCATAGTATGTCTCGCCAGGAGGCAAATAGATGGAGACGGTCTCAGCGCCTTCTGTGACGACAGGTTTTGCTAGTAGGCCAGTGGAGCCAAGGTAGAATTGGTCTTCTATTGCGAACGCAGCTTCGTCGGAGGGGTGCACGTAGTAGTGAGGTTGGAGTATGGGAACGCCGGAGACAGAGGCGGCGTGAAAGGCTGTGTACCAAGCTGGGAGCAGCTGGTAGCGGAGACGGAGCGCTTGCGTTATGATGAATGTGTAGGGCTCACCAGCGAGATATGGCTCACGGCGACGGGTGTCGATGTGGGCGTGGCCGCGGAAGAAGGGGTAGAAGGCGCCGGCCTGGTACCAGCGGGTGAGAAGCTCTTTGCTTGGGTTGCCGAAAAATCCGCCGACGTCGGCACCAGCGAAAGGGAAGCCAGCGATGTTCTGAGTCAAGATCATAGGGATTGAGGCAGCGAGGTGGGACCATTCGGCTTGGTTGTCGCCGGTCCACATGGCGCCAAGGCGTTGGGAGCCCGAGTAGTAAGAGCGGGTGAGGACGAACGGGCGGCGGCGGGAGGCTGGCGGTTCGCGGGCTAGGAGCGCGTGGTAGGTAGCGTTGACAAAGGTCATGCCGTTGATGTTATGTACGTCGCGATGTTCCCAGTTGCCGTGATGAATATTGTCTTTTGGCATGGTGGTTTCTGGGCCATTGAAGACTGAGGGTTCGTTCATATCGTTCCAGACAAAGGTGTTTGCAGCGGTGCCTGTGAAGGATGAGTAGGTGAAGAGAGACTTCCACCACTCAAGGGCGGCGGGATTGAAGCAGTCGACCCAGTGTGACGATCCTGGCCAACACCAGCCTTCGTAGAGATTATTGTCCTTGTTCTTGACACCAAATGATTTGGACTTGAGCTCGTCTACCACCAGGTAATTGCCTTCGTTCTTGATGTGTGGGTCGATAATGACGACCAGTTTCCTGTCATGGGAGTCCAATTGCTTTTCCATTCCCAGAGGATCCGGGAACGTGTGAGCATCCCAAGTGAAATACTTCTTGCCGTCTGTATATTCGATGTCGAGCCAGATCACATCATAAGGTATCCTGGCCCTATCCATCTTCTTGTCAACATCCCTGACATCCTCATCTGTAACGTAGTTCCATCTGCATTGGTGGTACGCAATTGCAAATTGCTGGGGAAGCTGTGTGTATCCTGTGAGCTCACTGTATTGAGAGATGACGTCCTTGGGCGTAGGGCCAAGGAAAACGAAGACATCTAGGAGGCCACTCTCGGAGAACCAGTGAGTTTCGGTGTCAGTCTTGCCTCCAATACCAAGACTCAGCGGATTACTTGATACCTTCCGCTTGACGATGTCGATCCAGGTCTCGGCGGCGTTGAGCCAGAAAACGCCCACAGTGGAGTCCTTCCGGTGGGCTTGCATAAAAGGGATAGCTCCATACAATGTCATAGGGCTGTCCATCTCGTACTCGAATACGTCGCTATTGTATAATCGGTATGGTTGCTCGTAAGCGTCGGACCCACCCCTGGGGATTGTCAGTTGATCCATGATTTCAAACATCCATGCTGTCCATACCGAGTTTGCTTCAGCGACAGAGAGCTTGCATGTCCTGGAATACCATATACGTGCTCATAGCCCGGGAACGTTATGTCCAATCCAACGCTTTCAGGACCCCTGGGTTTTGAGTCGGTATTTCCACCAAATGTCTCTTCCCACCAGGTACTTTCATCCTCGCCTTGCTCGACTGACTGCTCCTCTTCTTTTGAATCTTCACCTTCCTTGATGTCCGGCTTTTCGACCTTAGGTCTCCACTGCTCCATATTCATCAGACCCTTTCCATTGAGCTTCACGTGTAGCTGGTCGTCCCGGAAGAAGTCGATTGAGAATGGAGAGTGGCTTATGACCGCCCTGTACCGATTGTTGGGACCATAGTTCACGACTGTCTCTTTCGAAGAGGTGTCTGCTTTAGCGGACTTGTCCAGCTTCTCTCCGCCAACGATGGCCCATTTCGAAGCTTCATCATATCGTTCTTTTCGAGCTTGGCTTCCATGTCGAAGCTCGATTTCACCTTGTCGTCGCTTCTTTTCATCAACAGTAATCCTTGCTGCCCCAGATTGAAGGAATGTAATCATCAGGGAGAGTTCTACAGACTGGACACCCTCCCCCAAAGACTTTAATAGTGTCGCTGTAATATATCCATTGTCTATCTTCAAGCTTTTCGAAAAGAGTGTGTAAGGAGAGGTCCATGAATTGCCCAGCGTGGCCACATTGTCTGCATAGGCTCGGTTTCGCTTACAGAAGCCGGACTGTTCGCAAGTCTTGAATCCCTCATGCTTTACGGTGACTAAAAGCACACTTCATCAGCGAAACGGGACTAAATGTTTGGATGGGAGGTAGATGCATACATGCTGACCTGAAAAGACAGAAGACAAGAAGGAGAGGGAGCAATTGCCCCCATCCTTGAGCTGGAAACATAATGACCATACGTTTCCACCACAACACGCGGCCCAACGCCAAAGGAATCACCAGAAGGGTGGGATATAGACTGAAAGTTGGAGAAGTCCTTCCATCCTGTTCATCAGCCTCCAAACAATTGGACCGCTGCGGTAAGTGCCGAATGCCTAACCGTACTTCGACCCACGGAAGCTTGTCGGGCCGACCCCCACTCAGACCACCGAGGCACCCCCATCGAGCCTGCCAAGACAACCAATAAATCCACAAATGGAGAACAAAAATATTCCAACTTCCACACAAGATCCTCCCATCTACAAGCATCTCAACGCCAAAACACAAGGCCTACTTCGTCAATCGCACAAATACAAGGAAGGCCAGGAAAAATCTGCAAATATGTCTAACGAGCAGACGTAAGTACCGAGGGCAGACAGACCAAGGAGGGGCCAGTTAGTTGGCGGTGAAGCTCACAATTATCTAGATTCATTGCTATCAAGCCAGATGGTGTCCAAGTATGCAATTGACTCATAGGCTCCTCGGTTTTGCTGTTTTGAGACCCAATGGCAAGGCTTGACCGAATGCTAAGCCTGCTTTCAACAGCGTGGACTCATCGGCGACATTATCTCACGATTTGAGAAGCGAGGGCAAGTTATACCATGATCCTGTAAGAAGCCAGTTGAGCTAACGCAAGATGTAGCTACAAGCTTGCAGCCATGAAGCTGGTCTCTCCTTCAAAAGAGCACCTCGAGAAGCACTACGAGGATCTCTCCGACAAGCCCTTCTATAAGGGCCTCGTCACCTGTACGCAGCTACCTCAACGTTCCGATCTACGTTATAGATATAGACCGGAAATTGGCTGACGTTCTCGATAGACATGCTGAGCGGGCCCATCTGCGCCATGGTCTGGGAGGGCCGTGATGCCGTCAAGACTGGCCGAAGTACGTGCAATCATCCTCCCTCAAGATTCATCACCAGCAACTGACCATCACAGCCCTGCTAGGTGCTACGAACCCTCTGGCCTCTGCCCCAGGTACTATCCGTGGGGACTACGCCATCGTGAGTTCTCAATTCTTGGAACACCGTAAGACGCAGGAATGTGGCTGATTGAAACACAGGACGTTGGCCGCAACGTCTGCCACGGCTCCGACGCTGTCGAGAGTGCGAAGAAAGAAATTGATTTGTGGTTTAGCAAGGACGAGGTGCTGCAATACAAGCTGGCTCAGCACGACTGGATCTACGAGAAGTAGAAAACCTGATGGCCGCATCCAGTGATATATGAAGGAAGCTGTGCGTGCTAGTTACCGGACAAAGCGAAGCGTCATACATAAGCGGTGAGACGGGATTAGGACGACATGGTCTAGATATGACAATGGATAGAGCTATCATTTAAAAGGAACCTGAAGCTTCGAACAGAAACTCGATTGATCATTTCATATATTTGGGTACAAGAGGTGGCAGGATTCGTGCATTCATGGCTTACTGATTTCCACACCTGGTTCGCTAATATAGCCATTATACGCTCCGTTAGATGCGCGATCAGGGGGCTGGATGAAGCACTCAAAAGAGGTGAAGAGCTTTATAGGTCGGAGTTTTGAATTCCAGAATCGGAATTATCGCGGTCAATTCTCTTGGGTCTGTTTTGAGTTCACGCATTTTCTCTTAATCAAATTGAGCACCACATTGCTATCTTTTCCTTACAAAAATGATACCCTACCACTCTCACCTTTGCTCAGTCTTCCCAGTGATCCCATCGAAGGTTTCTATCGTCCAATTACACTGTCAGACCATGCTCTATTGTTAGTGCTCCCTAAACGAGGATATACCGGTGCTAGCCATTGAGGTTTCTCCACAGATCAGCTACATGGAAGAAGCTTGGCTTGTGATTACTGTAGTCCAGAATGGCAATCATTGAAACCTGAAAATGGTAGCAGTTTTACGTGTCTTGCACTGAATGGGCCCAATCTTTTCAAGGACGACTTTCTACCCTACTGTCTGGCGAATTTGTCGCTTCAAGGCGGTCCGTCTGATAACTCATCTTCCCTCTCCACCCGCCACGATTCATTCCCGAAGTATCTGTTGAGGGATTGGCTGGAGGTGGCTAAGCATGCTGTTTCCATAATTTTGGACTCTGTATAATCTTTGTGGCGACGCTCTTGTTGCTCCAGTCCCTGTATAGATCCAAACACCCTCCCAACAGCGTCTTGTCTTTGTTCAATAACCCTTTCCACGTACCTGTGGACCTAGCATCCACAAGACCTTTCAGACCTACGACAAAGTCTGTCAAGAGCCCGAAGTCCCAGCTGCCAAGACACGAGTTCGATGGAAACGTGTAAGTTGGAAGGTTTAACAAAGCGTGATGATCAACAATCCATACGGATACTTTACGGAACTTTCGCCCTGGGGCAATTGCAGAACCAGAACGACCTCTGAACAAAGCCGGTGGTCCTACTGGTCCAGCATGCTGACCCAACCCAAAAATGTACCCTACGAAACTGATCCCAATGGATGTGTGCGTGCCGTTACTGGATCGACTTCTTTTCGCCCACCTCAAGGGTCACTACCGATTCATGAGCGGGCGACGGATTGTCTACATTCTCTTTGAGGCGGCTCAAGAAGCATCCGCTTTGTATGATTCGAGACGTACCCAAGTACGCTCGTCGAGGTCTGTAAGACAGATGACATTCCGCCCGAGACCCACAAGGACGAGTACCGCTACCGACCAATCCCCGCCGAGGTGATTCCGCCCATCGGAGAGAATCGCCTAATGCATCTGTACGGTCATCCCGAGGATGCAGAAGGTACTGAAACTCTGCCTCGACAAGGTGCCCCGGAAGCTTCGAGGGCGGTTGGGAGTGTGTCCGCAATGTGGCACGGGGCTGGGCTGGGGCATTCGTTTCGTGGAAGGCTGACGTTGGATAAAGCTATGGAGTTTGGGCTTCATTGGGCTTTTGACGAGTATGGCATTTGGCATTGCTTGGGCTTGTCTATGAATTGATGTACAGGGAGGCTTTGGTATTGCGGCCCGTATGATGGCTGGCTTGACGTTGATGACTGGGATCGTCCAGACAGCCTTGGGACCCAAATGAACTGAGAACGATTGGATATCACGACGGGCGTTTTTACAGAAGGTTGCAAACTCCAATTGGTATACCCAAGGGCCTGACCCGATACCCCTATCACGTCTGCGGAAAGCTATTTAAACCGCGCCGGTTGGAGAGACAGTCTCCGAATAACTTTGCACGGAAAAGGTGATGCGGGACGCAAGCTTGGACGCAGTGAGGTAGATTAAAGGCGAGAGAGACCGACTCGATGAATTTTCTGTCTCTGAACGAGAGACTATCATGGTGATACGCTAGGATTCAACGGTGCGATGAGAAACGCCAGGTGTTTTCACAGATACCCCGGCCTTGCTGTATTTTCAGACGAACGACGCTTTTTTGATCTTCTTCCTGCTCTGTCAACGTGCAGTCCTGCAAGGCTGCACCAGAAGCTGAGGATGTGGAGTGCCAGACCGTAGATCCCAAGGGAGGAGTGGTGGAAATTTTGGTGTTTTCTGTGACTTTCGTTTACACTCAGCGACGACGGAGCCGGAGCATGTTTTGCCGCTGTCTTGGGAATCTTTTGGTTTCATACATCTCATGCCGCCATCTTTGCTGGGTACAGACCACTCGATCTCCTTGACTATGTTGAGAGCGTTTCCACAATGTGCTTCGTCGGGTTTTCTTTCAGCCTGATGCCGTCCAAGCAAGCAAGATGCAGTCACCCCACCATGGCTCTGCATGGGCAGACAGAAGAACATTCCAATAGATGCACAGACCATGTAGGCTTCGGTCGGGTCATTTAGCCACTGAACTGTGGGTATCTTGAATATGAAAGGAAGGCAAAATTGCCAGGAGAGGGGATAGCGTTGAAATGACCCAACCCTACGCTCCGCGAAATTTTTGATTCTTCGCTATTCTTGAATGAATCACCTTGGATCTCATTATGGAGACCGAAGACAACGCTGGCTTGAATTGATGGTGACTGATCTATGATCCGATATTTAATATTTATATCGCTCGGCAGTGATCCCCTAGGCCGCAGCATCTTTAACCAAACTTCATATCGCTGTCACCTTCAATCAACTTATACCCATGTTCTTGAACACTGACCAATTCCACCGAACCGTGTTCCCTACATTTTAATTGCACCCGTATGCCACTCGCAGTTTTGTCATGAGGGGCAGCCACCCAGACTGATTCGCGTTCCTCGTGCGCCGCGACCACCTTGTTCGCGAGCTCCTTTCCACCCATCGAGCTGGCAACAATAACCCCTTTCAGATCATTGTAGTCGAAGAGGGGCAGGTTAGCCCAGCATCGAGTCCTAAACATCTCTTCAATGAGGATCAGGATCAAGAGCATGTTGAAAGTGAACAGCGAATACACATAGCCTCGAGTGCCAACCAGGACCGCGCCAACGGTGAGAGTCCCGTTTGTTACTTGGGATGAATTCTCGTAATGAAGTACTAGCTGGGCGCTCGCGAAGGCCAACAGAGAGTCGTCGATGAGAGATTTGAGGCCTTGCTCGATACTATACACGGTAATGGAGACGTTATTGGTGCTATCCGGGCTGGAGATATCGGAATCAAAATCAGTGATGTTCCAGTCCTGGTATTTCGTATTATTTTCGTAGTATAGGATCTCGTTCTGGATGAGTGAGAGAAACATTTCTCCGAGGCTGGACGTGTGTAATGAGGTGTCTAGCACAGAGAGATCATTCAACTGTCGCAAAGCTCGGGTTGCGATATTGCCTAACCCGGGTTGCCCTTGTGTAGTGTAGTTGCCACACCCCGTAGTCGAGTTTCCGAGACTCGCGAGCGTATCCAGGAGTGTGTGGCATCTCCACGCGGTAAAAGTCGCATTATTTTGGGCTGTGGGATCCATGTCGGGAGCAAAACCTGCACGATCCACTGTGATGACTGATGAGGACAGGTTGACGCTAATGTCGAATAAAGTTGGAATGAACGCAACACTGCATTGAGTTTGATTAAGGGTCAGATAGGGTCCGACCTGGGTGTTTCCTGTAGCAATTACCACAGTTCCTTTCCCAGTTGAGTTGAGATCGGGGTGGGCATTCATGGACACAACGTTAGAGTCATCAATCGCACTATACTGCAATTGCCAAAACAATGCTCCATCTATTTAGGAATCAGGGTCAGCATTCCTATTCCAGGCAACAACGCGAGCCATAAGCCAGCTTCAAAGGGGTATTAAGGGCTTGTGCTCTCAACAACGTCTTCCAACTCCAAGAGCGGTTCCGCATAGCACGACATTGCTTAGGAAATGTACATACCAGGAGTAGCACCTTTTGCCCAGTAGATATTCGGAATGTATTGTGGTTCATCTTGAACAGCGTCTGAAGGGGGCATTATGCCCCATTGAGAACTTGCGTTGACACTGCAAATGACGCTGGCATTGTAGCCAATTTCCTGGTACTGGTACATCATAGGATGCCGATACCCTTTGCTGAATGATTGCGCCAGGCCTAGAGATGACCCTACGCCATATGAGCGTGTGCTGTACGTGTATCCAGTCTTGTCGCTCCGCGGACGCTTGCCATTGGCGTCTTTGTCGTATATGACGCCAGCGGCGGTGTTGATCATCGAGTTACCCCTGTCATAGGCAGGGGTATAGGAGAAAGTTCCTAACGGAGAGCGAGTCACAGGGTGTGGGGCAATCGGTGTCCATGTTTGATTCCAGGCTTGCCCATCTGGATCAGGTGCATAGAAAGGCACCGAGATCTCCGCAGTAATATTGCGAGACTTGATGATTTCGGAGTCAGCGTTACTCTTTCAGGAGATGTTCGGAGTCGGGAGACATGTCTTAGGACCAGAGCCCCTTTAGACATGTCTGACAATTCATAAGACATCGTGATATGGGGAGAACTGCTTCAAAAGGTAAAACGTACGACTAAATTTGGCGTGAGAGCACCGGTCCACAGTGAACCTACTCCAAGCGTGAGGGCCCAAACAATGGCCAAGGGCGCTGAAAAGGTGAAGGGTAAATCCAGGTCTATGCTGATATTCGAAAGGGCTTTCCACCACTTCAGACGGTCGAGCGTCGGAGCCCATTGCGTCAAGAGAATTCTTGTTGAGAAATTGATTACCGAAGTCAATACGTAAAGGTGTGCAAAACTGAAGACGCTAGTCAACAAGCTCAGAACAGCTTGGGTAGAAGACCGATGTGTGGACACGAAGTCGTAAAAATCATTGTCGATAAATGGAGGTTGATCAATGCCATGTAGGATTGCGGCGGAAAGAACGGTTGTAATGATCAAGCCTGGGACAGGCAGTATCTTACCAAAGAAGGATTGCTTCCCAGTCGCAATTCCCTGAGGCATGTTCCATCCAGTCTGTGCCTTGTGGTACTGCCATGTTTGTATATATTTCTGAAACCATGTCTTCGGTTCGTATCCTTTCCTGGGAGCATGTACGAGTACGGCTTCTCCATGGTCATCAGCCATTTGTAAAGGCTAATTGATCGCTTCCAGCTGCGTCGAAGTCGTTAGAGTAAAGGAAGCATAAGCGCTGAGAAAGCTCCATATATAAGTCATGGGTTTGAAGACAGAGTGGGATGGACGTGTATTTGCAAGATGTAAGAAGGACATGGTGGAGGAAGGCTGAGCGGCTGATCGGATCCAGTGCCAAACTGCATATCAAGCCTCTTATCTCAATGCTTGCTCGCGCATGTGCCAGAGCCTACAATTCTATTCGTTAGATACGACCTTTGGGGGGGTTCCAAATGTGTCGCTCGATGTAGCCTTACTCCCTTGGAAGCCATTGTGGGGGGGACTTGTGGGGGCTGTGTTTTGCCAAGACGGTCCACTACGCCGCCGCCTCGCCTTTCCTTCTCGTGCTCGAACTTTTTGATGATGGAAACATCTTGACAGGCGTCCTCTACGTACGAGTATCTTTGGCTCTATCGTGGATGTCTCTCTCGTCTACCCCGTGATTATCTCTATCTGATATTCGTGAGCGCCATCATCCATGATCATTTGGAAGCCTCCGAAAAATCATCTTGGACATCTTCAATAGAGAACCTTGATCTACACAGCACTTTCCAGTACCTCCTTCTCGCTCTTACCCTTGACCTCCAGCTTCCCTCCAATTTTGCCATTCACACCTCTCCCACCCGTCGGATCTTTCTTCCTCACCGCCTCATCAACCTCTACCGTTATGACGTTAGCTGTGCTCTTCACCATCACGTGTCCGACACACCTGCAATAGAAGGTCGCAATTCACCTTCATACTCCTCATCGTTGCCAATCCATCTTCCCATCTTTTCTCTGCTGAACTCCTCAAAGTCCCACTCTCCGTCTTCTAAACCTCTGGTATCTTCTGCCCATACATATGTCTCTGCCTCCATCTCTTCTCCCTCATTTCCTTTCTTATCTCTCAAGTGTAGTCGCAGCCGGATCCGTTCGTACTGGCTGCCTTCAAAGAGATCGAGGCGCCATTGGTCATCGCGGGTGAGACCTCTGACGTAGGTCCCTCTCACGCAGGCTCCAGGCTCGCTGGATGGAACGATGGCCGGGTAATCGCAATCGCGAACACGGCGGCGTGTGTATTGTGGAAGGGTAGCAGGCTCTATGACGAGGCGGTTTATCTGGGATGGAGTTGGATTGGTCGTACTGTAGACAACACGATAGAGGACTTGGGGTGCCATCTGTCTAGGCTGTGAGCTCCACTATGAGGTGAAAGTTCCAGGTAACCATACCAAGGTTCCTATGAATGCACAGTTTTAGCATGCTTGCGGAAGACAGTCAGAGCTCCGAGTCTTACCGTAGAAGAAGGCGCTGCAATCAGCCATGGCGATTTTGGGTATCGTGATGTGGTAGGAAGGCTTCCAGCTGGTACATGTCTGCCACAGCTTTGCCTGCGATCTCCAGGATATAACTCTTCAAGTACTCTTTGGAAACTCGGAGATAAACAACATGGTTTATCGAGTAATCTAGCCGCTATCTCCAGACGCGCGTTTATCTGCTAGGTTTTTGTCCTACACAGTACACACCCTTCTACTTTTTTACTGAGTTGGAAGAATCTCTCCTTACACTACTCAATCGCTTGAACAGGACAGCAACGTAGCTAGACAGTCTGGTTTGAGCTACTTTGCGCTACGTCCTGAGGTGCAAGTCAAAGCTCTCAGCAGCAGGCCGGACTAGCACGTATAATACCATAGAACATCGTTTGATACTCGGTGACCGCCCCAGAGCTCACCATGACCCAATTTGAATCCCTGCCTCGCGAAATACGAGACCAAATCTACGGCCAGGTGCTCATCAGCCCATTTCCAATAGAGTTCAGTAATGTCCTTGGTCCCATGGTTTACGATCCTGACCTCCTAGGTGCTATGGCCATGCTTTTCGCCTGGGCATCGAATCGCCAAATCGCCGACGATGCCTGTGAGATGTTTTACCAACACAATACCTTCCTAGTGCATTGTGAGGACCTACCCGCATTTTTAGGAGCAAAGATCCACAGAATGTTGTCAGTTGATGTCAGTCAGTCCATGCATCAGCAAGCGCCTACATGTATCCGGTTGTTCGACATCAAGGAGTGGGTAACAAGTATCGATGTGGTTATAGAGCAGGACAATACGAGATATTCCAGATATCTCGCATATGAGCTTGGGTATCTGTTAGATTGTCCACGGCTACGGAAGCTGACCGTCAAAGCCGGACAGACTACCATGATGAACTGGGAGGAGGAGTGGACAGGTGTGCTCAAGGAGCTTCAGTCAAAGATAGGCCGGGGACTTAAAGTGATCTAAGCAAAACCATGGTTGGACCTCTTTTATCCCAGACCAATCAAAGATTTGGAAGCTTCATTCGCTGAAACAGTTTGGGAAGAAACTGATGAGGGTGGTGATGGAGATGTCGATGACCCTGAAGAAGGAGTCTGAAGGGGAGGCGGAGAATGATGTAACAGCAAAATCTCAGGCCTCTGCTGCATTAATGGCGAGCGGAACCCATAGCTTTCTCACTGCGATGTTGGGAGAAAGCCCTCCTGGTGTTAAAGCGCATGTCTTTTACCCTGTGCCGTCTCACCTGCTACATAGTTTGCTCCAGTACAAAAGCGAACCGTATCGCGCCAGTGAATATTTCAGGACATCAACAACATGGCTTGATTGGACACAGTCTCACAGTGGAGGTATCATGCCTTGGCATGTTTGATTTGTTTGGGTATTTCCAAAATTTGGTGACACCTCCTTGTATGGGGACAGCTTCGCGGTTAAGGTATGATACTCCTCTATGCAGCCCAACGGACTAAGTTTTCGAGTGTTTTGGTGCTCCCTCAAACATCATATCTACACAATTTAGGAACAGCAAGATATCAAGCTACGCCGACGAGGTCGGAAACCAGCGTTTTCGAAGCAACAGATATTCCCATAGCGCCTCTGACCACCGCTCCCAACCCCAAAACCAGAGTCACACTTGCTTCTTTGCCCCGTGAGCTTCGAGACGAGGTTTACGAAGAAATGGCCACCGTGCACAAGATCATTGGCAAACAGTGTAATAGAGATGTTGGCTGCCCCGAAGAGTGGAAGACAATGAGGGCCATGTTTCGGGCTAGCCCTGTGTCAGAGAGTTTTGCGATAGAGGCCTATGAGACCTTCTTCCGTATTAACACTTTCCAAATGGAGGGTAAGAGTCATGCTTAGTAAACTCGCAAAACCTACTATGTCAGAGGGCATGGATAGTCAGACATGACGGCGTCCGTGCGTAGGATTCTGATTGAACACCCCATCCGGACCACTTGTCCCCACCCGAACCCTCTCTTCTGCGCACTTCGGACTCCAATTTTTCGATATCCTCTCGATTCCTCATGATCGCAGGCTAGCTGCCACCGACAAGACACTCTGCGCAATTACGCAAGCGTGTCGGGAGCTCATAGAGAAGATTGGTGAAGGGTCGATGTTTGAACCCAAATACCCACATGACGAAGGAAAGATCAAGTACTGGGCGCAGTACCTGAAGGTCTATCAGGAGTTCAGAGAGACCATGGCCAGATATTGAGAATCTGCAACATCTTTGCAACACCCATCGCTCCCAACCTTCGCTCCATTGTTAGCCGGTCGCTCTTTTTCCGGCCACCCGAGCTTACTCCGTGTGCATAGCGATGTAGAATCTCGACAGCGTAAGCAAAAATGCTAGTAACGATAAAGGATGCATCGGGGAAAGCGTCACACTCATCTCAACTCTGCTGACGGTGCTACTCAATTCTAGCATCTTTCTTGGCCACTTCATAGACAGTTGGATTTGTCTAGTGCCTTCTCACTAGATCTATGCATACACCCTTTGCTGTACCATTGTTTTTTGGGTTTCTCAAAATCTGGTTCTGTCCTTGTCCAATATGTCGGACTCACAATGATCAACCCCCAATCTGCCACAATGTCAAGGAAATGCCATGGCGATAGAGTCACAGACGTATGAAGGGACCTTAAACGTGATTCTATTTCAAGGTTTGCCTTGCCTGTTGCGTAACATGTACCACTTACCATAGATGCGGTGTCGAGTGTACGAACAGCTTAACAGCATCTTCAATAGCTAGAGTGCTCCAAACATGGCTCCCTTTCCGAACATTAAAGTCATTTTTGCTACTCTGCCTCGCGAGGTCCGTGACAAGATTTTCGAACTTATGCTCACCAACTCCAAGACCATCAGCACCACGGAATGCGCTGCAGTGTATGGCCAGTCAGAGGATCTGGGGTCATTGAGAGCAATTGTTAGAGCCTGCCAAACATCACCGCAATTTGCAAGAGAGGCTTTCCAGGCATTCTTACGGATCAATACCTGCAGAATGGTGGTCCAGAATGGCCTTGGTTTCCTGAATCGCCCGGTTTACTATGTCAAGGGTCAAGTTTTCCAAAAGGTAGGCACACTCTGGAGTTGTTCTTCGCCATTTGGCAGCAGATCTTCATCTGCAAGACATAGTCCGGAGACTAACTCCTGCTTCTACTGCTAAGACCTCTTTCCATGATCCAGGTTTCTTGCCTTGAATAAGCAATGCTGACCCCGTTATGTGCGTAGATGATGTTTCTCGTCAATAGGATTGAGATCAAACTCGTCATTCATGAACAGACTGGGACGCGATACGGGCTCCCTGGTTGCTTTCGCGACCTTCTGGCCTGTCCTGTTCTATGCCACGTTACCTTCAAGGTTGGACTACTCAGGGTTGGACTCTATTACGATACCGATGCTGAATGGAGCTATATGTCGGAGGATAGAGTTCTTGATAAGAAAAATTCAGATGGGCTGGACGAAATACTCACACTTACCTCGGGAATGTATCGGCAGCTCAAAGAGAAGATTGGGGAGGAGCTAAAGTTCGAGACCAACTACCTGCGCGTTGGAGAAAAAATCAAGGCTTGGGAAGAGCGCATAGGCAAAGCTGCAGTCGAGCAAACATGAGTCGTGGTGTTGGAAAGGGAAGATCTACCGGAACACGAGAGTCTTGTCAAAGGCTAGCAGCTACTGTTTGTCATGACTAAGGGCAATCATGTCGCCTAGATCGGTCAAGTCTCGACACTTGGTCCAGTCAAATGCAAGAATGACAGGAGTGACTTTCCAGAAAATTCGAGGTCCTTGATGTGGGGTCGCGTCTGGTAAATGTACCAAACATGAACTGCAGCACATGCCCCAGAGTCGACAAAGAAGTAGTCGCTTATGAGCAAAACTGTTCATGGCCCGGACATTGAATCGTCCACCTCCGCAGTAGCCACTGCTGATGATGACAGTATACATATTAGACACTATGGTTGTGTAACCTACACCACATCAACATTACCACCTCATAGTACCATCGATGCAATTCGTATTCTCATTCTTTCAAATCGCTTGCATCGAAACAAGGTCCCGAGATCGAAGGCGCCGTCTCATTGAGGGTACGTACGAGTACCTCTCAGCACACTCCCGTAGTAAGTGGTCCCAACGCTTTTGATACCCAATTTCAAAACCATCGCTTCGACTCTCGATAGTATTCAGTCATGACTTCGAGCCTAGCGCCGCCCTCAAAATCGAGCATTTCCCAATCCAAGAACGAACGACCTTCGCTTCCTGGCCACTTGAACTCCGTGTCGATATGGATTTATAGTCATCGCTGAGGAGGAGTTAGTCGCTACTACCGAGCGCGCAACAAACTACGGCAATTGCAAAGGAGTTGAAGCTATCAATTCTCCATGCGAGCACCTAAATCACGCATATCGCACGCCAAAGTTGGATCACCTTTCAGATCATGCCAAGTTCTACCTGAGTTCGTCAACCGCAAACCTCACCGCCTTAGAGAACGAAAGATCCTTCGATGTCAACGCATGGGTCCGGTGCATGAAGTTTACCATTCACGAGACGTTCTTACTCTGCCCAGAAGTGCGGGACAGGCTAGTTAACGAGCTGCGGCAGTTGCTGCTATGCCCTCGTCTGCATACGGTGAGTATTCGGATCGAATGCTTCCCATTGAAAAACGAGGAGGAGTTACATGATATCCTGCGGGCAGTTGCAGAGGTGTACGCTCAGTTATGGGGGAAGATAAGTGGCAGGTTCAAGTTTGAGACCGACGGGAGGGAGAATTGGGGCAACGAGAGAGGGCAGCCGTTTTCACCTTGGGTTCCGAGTCCTGTAAATGTGCCACGGGAGCAGCGTCCTCCAACTCGATGAGGCATGTCCGAAAGCATGATACCGCAGGTAGCTCATTAGTCTATTCTGGCCATCCTCTTAATCGAGCATGATCACGAGAAGCTACCAATTTTAATTATACAAGTTCCCTTTCATGAAGAGATTGTATGAGATATTGAATATTAGTGCACTCACAAAGTGAATCCGCAGGACTGATGTAAAGTAAAGAAAGTCTCACGTAAAGTGAAGAAAGTCTCACGTCGCAAAAGCTAGGATACTTTTAAACCTTAGCCTATGCTAAGAAAAATACCAGTAGCGGGATTATCCGATAACCGCCGAGCCGAGACAACATTTTAGCTTCAAAAATCGCGTCTTTCAAGAACGCGACTTTTTTATATCCTTTCTTACTATTCCATCAAATATAGTTCCAATATAGCTAAAATTACTACCCTACCTTAGTCTAATAAGAATAAACTATATAAGACTTAGAAACGTTAAAAAAAAGAGGCTATAATCGAGGTAAGAAAGGAAAAACTTAAATAATATAATATTCTTCTTCGACGTATATCTATATTATCTAAATATTAATTATTATAAATCGAGTATTATATATCCGTTAGTTACTTTTTAAATAACTTTATAATTCTTTTATATCTAGTATTTAGTCTTATATAGACTACTACTATCTAGAATATACTTTATAAAAATATAAATTTATATACTTCTCGACAGAGTTCTCTAGATCCTTACTAAAAATCTACTCGTATTTTAAAGTTAAAAATCTTTATCGCTATTATAATCTATATGAAAATCTATCGCTTTTCTACTATTTATAATTATTAAAGAATTAATAATATTACTTCGATATCTTTAATTCTTATTAGCGAAATAATATAAAACCGCTATATACTTCTTCGAAGAATAATTTATTATTTAAATTTTAATAAAGAGAATTCTTTTATTATTAAAAAGGATAGATATTAAAAGTCTATATAATATAAGAAAATACTTTTATTTACCGATAAGATATAAAGTAATTAAAAGAAATTACGTACTCTAAGTAGTTATTATATAATTAATAAATATATAATTAAGAAGATAGAGCGTATTTATTATTCTATTATAGCTCTAAATAAACTAATTAAGTAAAAATATAAGATTTTTATAATTAATAATAAGAGCTATCTTTATAACTATATATAATATTCATCTAAATAAAATCTTAAAGATAGATTTAAAGTTAAAGGTCTCGGAGATATAAGCGCTATAGTTTTTAAATTAGCTATTAATATATTACTCTCTAACTTTATTCTCTTTATAAATAATTATTTTATCGAATTAAAGCTTACTAGTAAGTTAAAGATCTTAAAAATTACTATATATAAGACTATAAAGCTAAATTAGATAAATCTTCTAGAATTACTTATAAAGATGAAATAGCGATTTACTAAGAATATTCTATACGATATTCTTACTATAGTAATTTAGAATAATATTCTTATAATAGTCTAATAGAATAACAACCTTATTTTAACCCTTATTACTATCTACGATATCAGAGAGATTAATAATATTATTATTAAAAAGAGAAAGCGTTCTAATAGAATAAGTACTAATAATTATATTATCTTATCTAATTTTAAAGAGAATAAGAATAATATCTAGTAAAAGAATTTCGATATTTCGAAGATCTTTTTCTATTATAATAAATATATAAGGGAGATTAATTGATTTAATATATTAATAACTATATATTCTTTTTATAAAGCTTATAATCGAATATAAATATTCTAATTTTACTAAAAATTAAATAAAAGTTTTTCAAATACTTTTAAACTCTATAAATCTATAGAAATATTTCGTTAGAAGTATTAGATATTTCTTAAATAGATAATAATAGAATTACTTAAGGAAGATAGAGAAGATAAGCGATCTTAGTAACCTTTTACTCTACTTTCTACTCTATTAAAATCAATATAAAATAATTATAAATAATAAGACTTAAAGACTATTTAATAATATTTTATATATTATTTAAATCGTTAAAAGAAAGAATTTTAAAGATTTAGTAAAGAAATAAGTAGTAATAATAAGAGAGTACGAAAGATTAGAGAGAGATACGCTATCTATAAAATCTCTTTATATAAGAAAGAGACTTATATAGAACGATTTCACTATAGAAAGAATTAAATAAAGTCTATATAATAGATTACGATCATTTAATATGAATTATATAGTAGTTTTACAGTGGTAATATAGATAATAATACTAGAATTCTTAAATGTTATCTTCCGACGGTTATCGAATAAGATCGCGTTAGATTTATATAGGGGTTATATTAAAATAAAGCGCGACCTCGTAGTAACCTCGCTATCACTATTATATCGTCGCTAGATCTCGCTATTATCGATAAAGCTATTTATATAATAAAGGCTCTCCGCTTTCCCGAGATATATAAGACGAAAAGAAGACTCACCGCTATTAAAGCTGGGGATTTCTATAGAAAAGAGAATTTTATCGATAATATTACCTATAATCTAATTTAATTCTTCTCTCTACTTCGCCTCGCTAGCGCCTATAATCGAGCTAATACTATATCTATCGTCGATAAGCTTCTTTAAGATTTTTTAAACTTCTTATTAATAAATAGGACTCGATTATTTAGCGTAATATCGCTACTTATTAGACGAAAATACGCTCTCTTATATTATTCTCTTAATTTATTATATTCGCCTTTAAATTATAGAATTTAATCTTAATCTTATCGAGTACTTTATAAATATTTAATATATACTTATTAAAATTGTTAGATTTTATACTCTAAACTCGTTAATTAGAATAAGACTTCTTTTACTCGACTTTAATATTATTAATATATAGAAAAGAATAAGATAGAGTTAAGCTTAAAAATCTTAAATTTATATATAGAGTTAATTATAAATTCGAGTTCGCTATACTCTTTAATTAGATCGACTAAGTTAGTTTAATAGCTCTCTTATATCTCTCTTATTAAAAATTTATATATAGAAGTTTTATACTTTAAAGTACTTAGCTTACGATATATATAGTTACTTTATAATTTCTTAAATTATAAAGCTCGCTTTACGCTTTCTAACGCTATAAAAATTATAAAGTTTAATCTATTATTAATAAATTAAATAGATATTTAAATATAATAATTATAGTAGTTATATTAGACGTATTCGAAATCGAATAATAATTCTTTCATCTATTTATATAATTATTCTTCTTTTATTATTCTATTAATTCTATTAATTTTATTAACGTCTTCGATATCCCTCGTTTAAAGATTACTTAACGTTTTAAATATATAGATCTCTTTTATTCGTCTCTTAAAGTCTCTACTAACGCTCTTAAATTACTTTTTAGCGAATTCGTTACTACTAATAATCGAGGCCGTAAGCGAGTTTAATAGCTATTTACTACTACTTATAAACGCGTTAAAAGACTCTTAAAAAGAGCTTAAACGAATATATTCTCTTCTATATACTTCTTCTAAGCTAGCGATAATATCTTTTAATTCAGCGATACTATCTCTTAAGACGCATTTTTCTTCTCTACTTATTCTTTATTATTCTATTTTAAAGTCTCTTAACGCGTATTAGATTCTAAATATCGTTAAAAAGAAGCTTCTAAAAATATAATAATTATATTAGATACGTTCGAGATCGAATAATAATCCTTTTATCTATTTATATAATTATTCTTCTTTTATTATTCTATTAATTCTATCAATTCCATTAATATAAATATATTTACCCTCGATATCCTCGCACTTAGTTAAATAAGAGGAGAATCTATAATAGACGAATACGGAGAATACTACGGAGAATATTGCGGAGATAGTCATCAGCAGCAGTATATACAAGAAGGATATGCGTAATACAATAGGTCTACTCTTTACGATCTTATATCAATCCACTCAATTAGTATAAGGGAAGTCAATATAGCAGGCGAATGCGGAGAATACTGCGGAGAAACCAAGCGGCAACAAGGCCCCCAGCACCAAGAACACGGCTCAGCTCTCCAAGATCCCACGTTATATGCTCTTCACGGTTTCATATCAAATCATTACTCAGTAAGCGGAGAACACCACTGCAACTTAACCTATCATCTCTACTATATTTAATATGATATATTACTATAATAACGTTATAAGAAGAGAATTTACTACGACGATCATAGCTAATTAAACCTCTATAGAAGAAATATCGAACGATATATATTTAAACGAATTAAAACTATTCGATATCTTACTCTAATAGCTATTTTATTATTCGAAAGATTTTACTACGATAGAAGATAATATGAAATTTATACCACTAATTAGCATATTATCTCTATTTCTTTTCGATATTTTAATACTTCTTATTATAAGAATATAATCTTTCTCTATTTTTTATAGATAATTATTACGAATTAATTCTTTATACTCGATATATCTTTCTAATTAAATCTTAGCGCGCCTCTCTTCGTATATATATATCTATATATTATATAGATTAAATTAATCTTATAGTAATAAAAGTAGATTAAAAACGTATAGTAAGTAATTAGAGTTCGATTTAACTTAGAACTAGAGCTAAAATTCGATTTAACTTAGAAAAATTTAACTCTATAAATTTAATTTATAGGCCTTTACTTATAATAATATATTAGAGTAAGATATTTATCTTTAATAGCCTTTAAAGTAGTTAGATTATTAATTTATTTTATATCTTTTAAAATAGCGTAAACTAAGTAAACTTTAATACTCTTAGCGATTACTTTATTAGCGATATTTATTATAAAGAAATTAACTTTATATTAATTAATATAATCTTATTTATAATTATACTCTTAGTAAGCGTATTTTTTATTAAGATAAGAAGAGATTTTAATAGATAAAAGAATATTATAATTAAACGAATTATAGATCTTAATTATCTTTAATTTTATTTTATAGAGATCGATGTAATATAACTACTTATTTCGCTAATTATATATCTTATTAATAATCTCGCTTTTATATAAATAATACTATTAATAGAATAATCGAGTATCTTAGATAGTTAGCGATTTATCGAGTTTATTATATATTTAGAAATTATTAATTAGAGGTTAATACGCGTTAAATTACTCGAGTATTTATTTAATAACTATTTTTAGCGTAAAAATAGTCTTATAAGTTATCGAAGTATTTATAGATAACTTTAATATTATTAATATAATCTTCGAGAGTATTATAGATACGAGTTTATTATATTTAATTTTCTTTTATAACTCTTTCTACTTATTAAGACTAATAGAGATCTTTTATTTAATAGAGAAGTAATAAAAGATAGAAAGAGTATTAAATAATGACGACGGCGATCTAAACGCGTTAGAGTACGTACCGCGACTTCACTTAGCATTACTAAAATCACTCTTATCCTTCTCCTATAGTAAGGCTATATCATCTTTTAAGAGAACCTCTAATAGAGCCCGATCAATACCTTTAGAGTTACTACTATACCAATTCAGCTTCTTCTAAATATTCTCGAAGCCCTCGTATTACGGAGATTAGCGAATAACGCGTTTTTAAGAGATTATAGTAGGCGAGGCGGAGTAGTAAGCGAGGCGGAGTTATAGATAGCTTCAAAAAAATTAATAAATAACAGCGAGGTATAGAATAATAGGTAAGGAGGGCTGTTAAATTACTATGGGAGGGCTTTACTAATCCGGCCGGTCGGCCTAATCGTTCTCCGGTAATATTACCGTGGGGGTGGGCTGAGGTTTAAAAGCTACCAAAAGGCAGATCTCACTTCACAACAGAACATCACAACTCAAAGCCTTTCGATCGGAAAATCCAGCACCACCAAACGCACAGGAATGATGATCCATGAAACCATGTCTTCACTATGGGTATCACTCTAGGGTAAGTTTCCATCAGTGTTGAATGCCGTACCTGCAAATGACTAGATCGCACAGTCCCCCAAACCCAACCTTACGAGCATGGAGTCAGCCGTCACCGCAGAACCCAAGTGGAGCCGGCCAAGCCTCACCACCTTGCCGCGGGAAATTCGAAACCAGATCTATCGCCATCTCGTCGTCAGCTCTAAACCAATCAAAGTCTGCTACGATTACGATTCCTTATGGCTGTATCTGAAAGCCGGGAGGCAAAACAGAGACGTCAGCACTGAGTTCCTTTGCCATGCGGTAGAGGGTTCCGAAATTGCAGTTGAGGTCTACGAGGAGTTCTTTCGCAACAACACCTTCGACTGCGGCAGCTGTGAGAACTTACGACGATTTTTGACCACTACCACCACCCGCTTCAACTTTCATAACAACTTGTTTCCTGATACGTCGAACCACGGGTACCTGAAGTTTGAAAAAAACCGTGGATACGCAAGGTGCAAGTTTCAATCTTCTCCAACGTCCTCGAGCGCAAGCTTTCCGGACATCTGACACATCTTTTGGGGTGCTCCCATCTGCAACAGGTCGAAATCATAGTCTTCGGGCTTACCAGCCGAAGCCATGAGATTAATCCTGTCGATCGGACTATTGAAGCAATTGCGAGACTGTGCAAGAGCATCCGCGGTAAGATCGGGGGTGGACTCATAGTCAAGGTACAAAAAGATTGGGGCGAGGCTCCATCGACATCGTCGATAGGTCATGCCATGATCAGCAACCCCGAATTAGAGAGTGTGAGCTGGATGTGGGAGGAGCCTAGCGAGGAGGCCAGAGGAAGATTCAGGAAGGGGCTTGGGACACATAAAGAGAAGATTCAAATGCTTATGTCCGCAGGATGGGCAGAGAAGAAGGGGAAAGTAGGAGCATGGGCAAAACATTGGCGCGAAGACCACAATGAACAGCAGCAGTTGAAGGAGTCCCAACTCAGAATGCTGCAGGAGGAAACTTGAAGGCATCTCACGCGCGGCATGTCTTTTGAGCACCACAGCTAGGATTGAGCTTGCTATCAATAGCCAACGGGTCCGTGATTGATTGGCGAACTAAGGATCCGCTGCTTCTGATGGACTGTCTCCGTATGGTGGATGTCAAGGCTTCGAGACTTCGTGTCCTGACGACCCGGTTGCATATACAGGTCGGACCGAATCAATAAATGCATATTAAGTACAATCATTCAATCATGCTCTTCATGGACCAATGCGCACGTATTGGATGAATGGGCGCGAGTCCAAGTCTTCGTGCTCGTGAAGGTTGCCCGAGCTTCTCCGTACAGTATCATTTGCCACAGCCTTCCTCATTCGGGTCCACGATGCCGTGACTCCAAGTTCGACCATGCATTGTCGAAATAGTGTGGAACATTAATGCCAGTTGAAGCGTCATGGGGGAGCAGCGAGGGAGCCGCCCTGGCACGCAGCATGAAAATGCAAGCCCCAATGGCATACGCTCGCCATTTCCTCGAGAAAAGCTAATTTAATTGGCGACAGACGAATGCTTTCTATGGCTTTACCCAGAATTGCCATTGCACATCTGATATCAGACATGATGTCAGTGATGGAGGTTCAAAATGAGCAATCTCTGCGCGATCTGTCGATATTCCCATGGTATAAGCGATTCGCAAGCTTCCAGCAGCTCAATTTCTGGCTTCCAGATCCTACTAGTCATTCGATTTTTCCACAGTCATTGTCCCTTTTCAAACACTAAACATGCAGCTCAGACTCATCCTCGCACTTTCCGTGCCAATACTCAGCTAAGATCACAGCAAGATCATTCAATGCCAGCGTGAGCCATTGAACTCACATCCCATCTATTTTTGTTGTAAAGCTTTGATCGTGATAGTAAAGGTGTTTTAATCACGTTGGAGTTCTGCGGACTGCAAACCCAGCGCGCGGGGGCGCCAAGAGCGTCTAACTCGTATTTACCCCAGAATGACAGGGGTAATCACGAACTAAACAGTGACAGGGGAAGAGACCTCTAGAACAGTATTAACGGCTTTCAAAGCTACCTAGACTGCGGCCATACACCCAAATCGTGAACATGGAGACCCAGTCTTCCCCATCCACCCTCGTTGTCGATCGTACAACCGTGCTCTCTCTCTTCGCAGCCCTCTCTGTCCTCATCACAGCATACGCTGCTTCTCTCCGCGTCCTCCACGCTTCTACAACTACCAAGCTCCGCATCCTCTTCATCTGGCATCTCTTCGACTCCCTGATCCACTTCACCTTCGAGGGTTCCTTCCTTTACAATTGCTTCTTCACCTACACATCAGTCACACATTCAAGCGACTACCCGCATCCTGCGAGCTTGACGTCTCCAGGCGTGTACTTCTTGGGTTACCCGGATCGGCTGTATGGGAGTAAATACGGCACAAGCCCGACGGCAAAGCTGTGGCAAGAATATGCGAAGGCAGATGAGAGATGGGGCGGAGCAGATCTGACGGTCATCAGCCTCGAGCTGTTGACTGTGTTCGCTGCAGGGCCATTAGCTGCGTACATTTGCGAGCTCATAAGACGGAGAGACAGTGGCGGGAAGTTGTGGTTCTGGGCGAGCGTGCTGGCTACTGGAGAGCTCTATGGTGGTAAGTGTTCAACTTTGCAGCAGGTTACGGAGAGCATTAGCTGATGAGTTTAGGCTTCATGACTTTCGCACCAGAGTGGCTAAGTGGTAACCCCAATCTGGATACCAGTAACTTCATGTATCTCTGGGTATACCTGGTCTTCTTCAATATGCTCTGGGTGTGGTTTCCCTTCTGGGTCTTGTACGAGGCATACAACAACATCAGTTTGGCGTTTGCTAGAGCCAGTGGTGCGACTGGGATTGAGACTAAGAAGACTGCATAGCTGTCTGGTACAGAGCATAGCCATACATAATGACTCGGTCAAAGAGTCACGACAACAGGCCGAATGAGGGCACGCCGATAAGCCAGCCCCATTAGTTCTAAGAGATGCATCTCGTCTACAACGGAATAACGTACAAGTGCCCTTTTTCAGGATTGCATCTCGTCCGTGATCGCCAACAGTGGCGAAGGCAGACCAAAGCTTGCCTCACCCGTCTACCTTACTTTACCCTTTTCGTGCGGCAAGTCGCCTGAGAAATATCACGCATTAGCTACACCTAAGCGCTACTCAACTGCCGCATCGTGGCGACTACTTCAAAGGTCTAAAATGGCAGTTGGACGATACTCCTTGGTGGTAGCCAGGCATTGGACATTGCCATGTTCATGGGCCCCGTCGGAACCCGCGAATGTTGCATCCACGGGCAATGAAGATTCATGAAGCTCAACATCGCGAACAAAGTTCGAGCAAGTAGAGCGTGGGCTCGAGACGGCGACGGATATTGCGAGCGACCTACCTTATCCATAAAGTATCACCCATGCAGCTACAAGTCCAGCTCGCACTCCTCCAAACGACGCTTTCCATAGAAAATTCATTACTATCCTACTCTGATCATGAATCAGAACGCTCGGTTAAGCAACAATTCGACGCGGGTGCAAGAAGCCTCTCAGATTCATGATCAAGTTTTCACTGAGCGACGTGCGGGCTTGAATTCCGGTGCTGCTGCAACTGTTTACCAATGCGCCTGCGGAAGCTTTCAGGCTCTGAAGTGCCAATGTCGAAAGTTGCGAATAGCAGGTTGCATTTATCTAATTAGATGCGTTGTTGGACTGTTGCACAGCCATTGGTGTGCCGATAGACATTGATTGCCTCCAAGCCAGATAGAAGTCTGGAATGTGATCGTCTCAACAATTGTTCCAAGCAGGCCTGATAATACCAAGGCGTTCATGACGCGGGCAATCTTGCATCTTGGCAGCGAACTTGGACTCCAGATAGGTTATCCAGCGCTTATGCCCAACCTTGTAGCAATATTTCAACCCAGCGGCAGCATATGAAGACGGTTCGACAAGAAAGTATGTCAAATTCCCAGGGATGTACTGCATCCTCTTGTATGGCGAAGTCGGCATACACTAGGACAGCTTCAGGGATTTTGGAGTGTCTCACAGACTCTGCATCGAAGGGGATGATCCATGGAAGCCTACATCCGACACGTCTCGAGTTGTCGACAAAGGGGTTTCGAAATTTCTCTTGCTGCAGGCTAATCCAGATCTCGAAACTGCCACACACGGTGCGTAGATTTGGTGACAGACCCGCGAAATTCCATACGCTTATGACGAGGTCCTGAGCAGATGACCTTCATGATCCACCGTTGTTGACAGAGGACAAATTGCGTAGACCGTGTTCTAGCTGAAAACCCTGACGACAAATGTATTTTGGGCCCTAAGAATTACCAAGACCGATCTCTCCTTGGAGCATACAATCAGTGTTTTTTTCTTTTTCTTCTCGCCGGCTTCCAGTTCCCATGTAGTGTACGTTTTCACCTATTTATGGGGTCAGTAGGACCGTGAACAGATAAGCTTGCAACTACTTGCCTTCTTGAGATCAGAGTCTTCCCCATTGCTGGATTCGACGAGTTCGTATCCCTCCGCATTTGATAGATAACCCCTAAAGACCTCAGCATGATTACATCGATACCCAGCTTTTACCACACGACACCCTTGAAAAACTAGAAAGGAAGGCTACCAAACACCAAGACGTGGTGTTTAGCAATCTGAGAACGGAGTACTTCTCGGTCCGAGACAACACGGCGCAGAGTATTGTCAACGTTCCAACGGGAGCCTAGCAATTACTTGTACACATTGGATAGACTCCTGTGTGTTCGTGTGAGGGCTACTATGTCTGCGGTTGAAAGTTTGGTGGACACGAGCTTGAGGAGCTGTACGACGAACAAAGTCGGGAGAACATAGTGAAAGATCAGGGAAGAGTTTTTGTGAGCCCGAGGCCTTCAAGACTGCTTGTTGCATCGAATGTAGCAAGATTGTGATCTGGCATCATGAGACTCTGCCTTAAGCAACTGATGAAAGTGTATTAACGACGAAAGGTGATCAAGCAAGGAAGGTCTGATTATGCTATGTCCGTATGCAATTAGCCATTTCTGGAGCCTTCTATGCATGTGCTTTATGCTGTTTGTACGGTTTAAGAAGGATGGATGCATGGATCAGATTCTCCAACAAAAAATGAAGCGAAAACCTCGAACACATGTCGTAGAAGGCAGAAAGGCAAGGGAAGAGGCACCAGTAGGACACTTTATTGGGATAAACACAGAATGATCCCGGGAGTACTCGTCACTCTCTTCTTTGACGACTGCGGAAAATCGCTTTTTCCGAATTTATAGGTCCATTATCTTGGATTGGCGATGCAGCACCTGCGAGAGCCCCGAAATCGGCCTCTGATGGCAGGACACGCAGGAGGCGTGAAGGCAATGAAAGTGGCATCAGAGTAGATCCTGCGCAACCTCGATCCGTTGCCGGGCAAGGAAGAAGATCTCGATAATGTCATAAGGTCAATTATCAAGAGGCGACGTGATCCGCTTTCGAGAAGCGTCTGTCAAGCATTCATTCATCCTCCTCTCCACGCTTGCTATGCATTAGTCCAAGGAAAACCCAGAATTAATTTTTTATGACTCTACCTCGAGGCACCAGTGACACAGCGGCGCTTCCTTGGAATCGATTTCTGATACACCTATCAACGCTGACATGCAGGGTCTGTCATTGAGAAATGATTTTCTGCAAGGTACTAGTACGCGTCAAAACAAATGACGGATTTACGCGTTTTTTCGCGATTTCCCCCACCATCATTTTTACAACCTACCACAAAATGGAGCCTTACATACCAAATAAGCATCTTACAACCCCACAACGTAAATATATCATTGATTGCCATAATATGAAGGGTCAGACTATTCCATAGATCAAACGAGATACCAACATTCCCACACCCACAATTAAAAAAACCAAAAAAATAGAAAAAAACCCTTAAAAAAAAAACCCAACAAAAAAAAAAAAAAAAAAAAAAAAAAACCACAACAACAAAAAAAAATAAAAAAAAAAAAAAAAATATAAAAAAAAAAAAAAAAAAAAAAAATAAAAAAAAAAAAAAAAAAAAAAAAAAATTTTTTATAAAATAAAAAATAAAAAAACCACCAAAAAAAAACCCCACATTATTTTGTATACCTTAAACCTCTCATATTATAAATCAATAGACGGAAAAGGCTTAAGTGGATAAGGGAATATCTATACTAGACGATAGAAGACTAAATACGTATAATATTTACGAATAAGAGCTCGTTTAAGATCGAAAAGCGTAATCGCATATTTATAACTCGACGGTTCGGTGAACGTTACTATCTAGATTACTATCAGAACTTCAAGTATTTAGAACGTCAATCTCTTATAGTTTAAGGCGAATTCTGTGATAATTAGATAAGCGAATTATACGAGCTTCTAGGAAGTATTAAGTCTATAAAACGCGGTCTTAATAAGAGTAGTCTGAAGAAGTCTATTACCAGCATAGATTATATTAATTAAATCCTTAAGCCTCACATACTACCCTGATATCGCGAACTTAAGAAAATAAAATATCGGCCGATATTTATGCAAGACGGCGTAGAAATTTATAGTTCTAAAGAGACGTTATTATGATTAAGATAATATAATATTAAGACGCTAATATGACCTCTATCAAATTCTAATTTAAATTTCGATAAGTATATATAAAAGTGTTATAAATAGAAAATTCAAGCGTATAAAAGAATAATTATTATATTAAAAGATATATGACTAGCAGCGATCTTTGAGTGGAATTAATTAATAGAAAGAGAGGCCTTTATTAAGTAGATATATAGTATACTAGAAAGATATCGAGATATCATTAAGAATAGAAGTTTTTCGACGAAGTGATAATTCTACGGGCGTAATTTTTTAGGGTAAGACAGCTATATATATAGCTTTAATTTTGATTACTTTAGAAGGCGATAGCTATATAATTTATGGAGTGATATTAAAGAAGGAGAGTGAAATAAATAGCCGCAAAATAGCGCCTCGCTTAAATCCGTCACTTGTTTTGATCACTTCGAGTACACGGCCGGCAAAGCTGGATCTAAGACTCATCAGCCTCGACACCACGGAAAGCGTTCATTGGCTCGTTTGTCACACTTCCACGGATGTACTTCATTGACAGAACCTTGACACGAGGACACTGCTCGATCCTTTGGCGCACCCAAGACAACCCCTTTTTCAAAACACTCTCACGCTACCGGATTGACTCTTTTTCACAGATGAAGCGCTCACTGTTGATCTGCTCACAATCGCCTCCACTGCGGAAGTGATGATCCTTGTAGCCAACGTCGACGTGGCTACCTTTCAGTAGCCCACCTACCAGACGAGGAATCTCGGCTATTCTGGCAAGAATTTACCCTGTCTCTATCCCTGAGCCTCCTGGATCTGACTGACGGCGTACAGTTTGTTGGTATAGACGGTCTGACTCGTCATAGCCACTCCCCCACATGATTTTGAATTCAAGTCCCATGCCTCTGTCGTTTTCTCACTGTGACTTTGAAAAGCTAAAAGCAAACGTGCCTGGAGTTGGTAGACTTTATACTAGTGACCACTGGTTTGGCGGCGGGGTGGCTTGGTGGGGTGTTCGTTCCCCCCGTACCTTAATTCAGCGGGGTCATTTATGAGTTGCAAAACCAACGAGATTGCTTGGCAAAATTGATTGCGCGCCATCTCTATTTTTTTGGTAGCCAGCCTCATCAAAATTTGATGAGAACCTACTCAAATCACTGTAATCATCAACCACCACCCCTCAATCTATATTTGAAGCTCTAGTATAGCCCAAAATCGATTTTCTTGGTGTTGCTATGCCTCGATCCACCTTCAACTCTCGCCAGACGGCTTCCACTAGCCAGCCACCTCCATGCAACGCGGAGTTCCTCACTTTGTGGGCCTATTCGTTGACTCTTCTTACGAGTTGTTCTAGCTTTACTTAGGGCCCTCGAAATGGTCGACTTATGGACCGCGATATCCTACTCCTCTTTCAGAAAACGTGCTAATTCCTTCTGATAGAGCCACGGTTTCTGACGCTGGTACTTAAGTAGGGCCTCCAGAGTAGCCGGTGAGAGGCTACGAGGTCGCCTAGGTATATATAGATTACGAGGAATCACTGTGTCGCCGTAGATCTCAATATTGCGCTCTTATTGGTACCCCGTTGCGTGACTTGAACGGGCGTCTTTAGCTACTGCATCAGGTCGTCAATAAGACTTAAGGGCCCCTTCTGCAACCACATATTTTGGAAATAACCCCTACATATTTCCACTAAATAACGCCACCACTTGGCTAATGAAAACAAGGCTTGAAAATAACGCTTAGGATATTTCCAAAACAAGTAGAATATGTGTACGGTTCCGTTCTGTAACCCTGTTTCTGAGGCTGAGTTAGAAATCAGAATCGTCGTAAAAATTATCTTCTCCGTAAAAAACCATTGAATTCCTACCATTCCATATCGCTATAGCCGAGATACCTGCTGCTACTGCTGCATAGGCTTTAATTATCATTGATACTCCTATTACTCCCATTATTGCCCTAAATAAGCCTACTTTATATCTATCGATACCGGTGTCTTATTGTCTATGATTTGGAGCTAGACTATGAAGGTAACATTTCGAAATGGTATAACAATATCGTCTTAGCAAGAGAGTAGACACCGGCTTTAAATCTGAAGTATGGATAAAAAAAAGAGAATAATATATGTATATCGGTTATAGATGTCCACTATTCTTGGCGTTCTTAGCCTTATTTTGGCTGAAAACAATTCTCGAGGGTTGTTTTCAGATATTTCCAAGCCTGTTTTCGCTTAATAAGCGGAAATATGTGGAAATATGGTTACAGAACGATACCCTGTATATATTTGACGCTAAGCTGAAAATTAGTGGAAATATCTAGGGGTTATTTCCAAAATATGTGGTTGCAGAAGGGGCCCTAAGGAGTAGTCTGGCTCGCTGGTGAATGTGTATTTCTTTGGGTGGCATCGCGTATCAGCGGAGGGAGGGAGGGAGGGAGGGTAGTCAAAAACACCAAAAAAAGAGTGTATACTCACTAGTATATGCCTCAAAATTATCCGATTGGGAAGTAAGACGAACTGAGAGGTAGAGACTGGTGTAATTGTTGAGAAGTACGATCTCTACAAATTTTGGTGGGGCTGGCTATCAAAAAAATAGAGATGGCGCGCAATCAATTTTGCCAAGCAATCTCGTTGGTTTTTAAACCCTAAATTTGGGGGGAAGAAGCCCCCCCCCCATCTAACCTTATTTCCATCAGCGCCCTCGGCCCGAAGACTGCAGTCTACACCACAGCAGCATTACTGAGTACAGACTATACGAGCAGTAGCCTTTCGTTCTTCCTGCTACCTTAGTGCTTGTCTTCACCAAACATCTTACGTACAGCTCGACTGCCCTTGCACACCTTCCTTACCGGGATGGTCAAGACTACTCCAGCCCCTTTGTCACTGTGGTCATTAATTCCGCGTTATTTTGAAGGCTAAAGTCGATTATTATTGACTGTCGAAAGGCAAACTCAAACAGCCTTCTTGATGATTGCGTGGCAGGCTTTGCTGTCACAGCCTGCATGTGCCAGGTCAGTTGATGAACGTGTCGCTTCCAATGTCCAGTCCCCTGAACATCTTGATAGCCCTGCCAGTTCCTGACACGCGCATCATCGGGGTTGCACATATTCCATGTACCCCACATTAAAGCCTCAAAGCTCGGACAGGGATTCAACTGCGGGGACCAACGCCTCAACCGCAGAGGCTTCGGTTATACCCCCGGACTAACATACCTATCCATCCTCAGCTCTCATTCCAACCCCATCTTCATCGGCTATTTACAAGAACTGGCAAGCGCTGGGGCCCAAGCATTAGACTTGGTCCGAATGCAGGGCCATGCACCTAGTTGAAGCGACCACGGATTGTGTCATCTTGCGTCTCAGCCTGGCCGAAAATACCGATGAACAAGCGGTGTTGGGTTCTGTGGCGTCCCAAATCCCGGCACCGCGTCTTCTTACAGACATCGAACATCGGCGGTTAAGCCTGTTGCGAGAGCTAGCTCAGCTGAGTCTTAAGTTGAATGTTCATTCTCAAAGTGCCCTTTGGCGATCGTGCGGGAGGGTGAGCAGAAAGTCTGGAAACACCGATGTTTAGAGGAGGAATCGGACGACTAGCTTTCCAACGGCGTTGCTGAAGGACGGAAGTGAAAGAAGAGCAAGATTGCTGCAAGATGACCGGCCCCAAGAGCCCGCATGATCTTCAAACTGGAGGAGGACCCATGTAGTATGCACGAGGTGCGCTACTATATTTAGCGTGGGACCTGCAGGGTCGATCGACGGTTGGATTGGGTTCTCTGGACGACCTGGGTCTCGCCTACGGTATGCAGGACGCTACTGCGGTGCTTCGCGATTGAGGTCAGCGATCTCTACCAAGCAAAGTCGAGAAACCACCACGTTTACCGTATTGTTGCAACTGTCGCAAGCGCGATGAGATCATGCAAGCACAAGATGAAGGCGAGCGGATAGCTGTTACATCATTCCAACCTTGGCCATCATAAGTGAGCTTTATAACGAAGCTCAACAATTCGAGCGCAAGCTGCACTCTCCGCAATCCCCTCAGCGGAGAGAAAGTTCACTTGACAGACAATGCTCTCATCGTCATGGTTCTGAGCCTTGGAGCCTGATGACTGATGTCACCGACGCTTAACATGCTAGACGATCTAATGCCGAACGCCTGTGAGCAAACCTCTATAAGAATCTGCAAGTTGCCACCTACTTTTTCAATTCAAACAGTATCCTCACATCCATTCCGACTCCGCTTCCAATACACATATCAAAAGTCACTGTAAAGCCGCAAAAAGCCAACACATCACCCCTCAACCATCACAATGCACTGCTCCACCATCATCGCCACGGCCCTCTTCGGCGCCTCAATCACCATGGCTTTCCCAGCCTTCAAGCGCGCAGTCCTCTGCCCTGGCATCGAAGACACCCCCCAATGCTGTGCAGTCAACGCCCTCGGCGTCGCTGACCTCAACTGTGCTCCCCGTATGTCCCGTTCACCTTCCTACTCACCCCTATCTGTCCCCAATCCTATTCATATCTTTCACTTGTCCCCGAGAAGACGGTAGCTAATTCGCGTTCCGATCGACAGCCCCGATGGTCCCTGGAAACGTCACGTCTTTCATAGCCATGTGCGCGTCTATCGGACAGGAGGCTCAGTGCTGTGCTCTCCCCGTTGTAAGTCTTCCTTGTTGGAGTATGCTGGTAATTTTGTGATTTGGGCTAATCGGTTCGACGCAGTTGGGCCAAGCTTTGCTTTGCGAGAGCCCTCCTTGAGTGGGATGGTTATAGACCTGTTAGGTAGGGCGAATTTGGCTTTCTTGGAATGGTCGAGCTGGTTGTAAAAAAATAGAAAAGAGGGAACTGTGCGTGGAACTGCGTGATGTAATTAGTCGAATTAGCATCATAGTATCAAACATTCCACCAAACACAAATCCCCTCACTCATTCTTTCCATGAAAGCCCCTCCCTCTCAAGTCCCCATCATCACATCAACACGAATCCTTCAAAAGCTCGCGTGCTAGTCTCCACGGAAAGAAAACCCAAAACTCACGCATACAAAAACTCGCACGGCACGGTTACTATACCTAGCTGCGTAAGGGCCTGAATTCCATCATTACCTTATGATCCATCCTCCCTCAGCCGAGCGCAGAAGCGAACGCCGTCTTTGCCGTTGCCCGGAAGGAAACACCTACAGTGAGTGAGTGAGTGAGTGAGTGAGTGAGTGAGTGAGTGAGTGAGTGAGTGAGTGAGTGGGAGTGAGTGAGTGAGTGAGAGTGAGACCACCACTACAACTAAAAATCGTAAAATCCTTTTCGATGCAGACTTTAAACACGCGTGTCCCATTGAACAACGACATCCTCTTCCCAACCCACTCGATTACTTTTCCCCGAGGGAGCACCAACCCTCGAGGTGATCCGACTGAGATCGCCCGTCCCCATTATGCGTGCCCCGGGGTCCCTTTTGAACCTTTTTGTGTTTTACCATGAATGAGAGGGTTTGGCAAGTCAGGGGTCTAGTGTTATATTGCACGGCCGCTTCTTCGGAGGATTTCCTCCGTTGAGGGGAGTGGTTGGTTGCTAGCGTGCAGACGACTACATGAAGGATGACATAAGGGGGTATTCTAAGTCCGTGCACGGCGGTACAAAAAATGCGATATGCTGCCCTCCTTTCAGCTAGTGAACCGAGAGACTTGTACCATAGCCCAACTCCAGCGTTTCTTCTTGTGTCTCAGCGCCCACCCGAAATTCTGCTTTCCACCACAGGACGGCGCCGTGAGCCTTCGTGCTGTAACGCAGGGTCCCGGGGTGGTGTCCAGCTCGTGGACGCTAGGCAGCAACCTTCCTTACCATGATGGTCTTTGTACGGTCCGGCGTGATGGAACTGCCCCTGACAGCGTTCGGATAGCGGGCCTTGATGCCATCCGGCATCTTGATGTCGTAATCCAGAATGATGCGGGCGCAGATCATCTTTATCTGATCTCTTTCGCCGCAAAGAAGCGACCCGGGCACGCATGTCTTCCGTAACCGAATCCCATGTTCTCCTTCGTCACCGAGATGAACTGGTACAACTCCTTGCTGCATAGTTGATAAGATCTTGTGACTGGCCTGCCCGAAGGCGAGCGAAGCGGTAGGGATCGTAGCTGGATGGGTCCGAGTATAGCTTGGGGTCCTGCAGGGTGGGAAGCGCAGGAACGGCGACCGAGGTACCGGCTGGGATTTCGGTGCCGTCTGAGAAGCGTACCGGCTTCAGGACGCACCGCTGCATGCGTACGATGTTGCTGGGGTTCTGCCGTTGAGACTCGCGCATCACCGAGTCGAGGAGCTTCATCTGGTAGAGTGCTTGCGTTGTCATGACGCCACCGTTGGTTGCCTGGACCGACCTGACCTCCGCGCGCAGCTCGGGGATGACTTCGGGGCAATATCCAATAAGGTCGTATATACTATGACGGGTTTCGGCGTCAGTACACCAAATCTGTCGCCTTCAGGGCAGGGGCTTACATTTGAGTTGCTGTCATGGTCGTAGTGTGAATAGCCGCCATGCCCAAGATAAGCTGGGTCTCAGCCAATTCCTCATCAGTCCGTACGTTGAACTGGTCAGACTTGTCCAGGAGCCATTGTAGCATGTCTTTCGGTGGCTCTTCGCCTTTGGCTCGAAGTGCTCTCCTTTCCCGGAGTATTGGTACTAGGAACTCGTGCACACGTCGCCGATGCTCGTTGACTGTTTTGAGTTGAGGGATCCAGTACTTGGCGGCAAAGCGCAAAGATTTTGGCCAGCGCTTAAGAGCAGCGATAGCAGTGAACAGATCGACGGTAAAGTCGATACTGGCGTGGAGGTACTCTTCCCGCCGGCACAAATCAGGGCCGAGGAAGACATGTCCCGAAACGATGGCCACAATCTTGAGCAGCTTTTGGGAGATGTTGATTTCCGTCCAGTCTTCGCAGAGCCCAACTTCATCAGATACTGTCCGCGACACCTCGAGGGCTAGCGATGCATTTATTTGCGAGAGGTTGTGGGTAAGATCCGACTTGACGACGTGGACCATTAATGGATTATCCGGAGTGATGCCGAGCAATTTTGTTTCGAAGGTCTGCGAGCCACAAAGGCCAATTCAGAGAACTCGGAAAGCAAACGAATGAGGATGATAGGCTGACCATTTCGTTGGCTGCATTGCTACTAACAACATCCTCTGGTAGTTCGCGAAGTTCCTCGGCGTAACGAAGAGGAAGCACTAGCACCTCGCCTGTGAGATGTAAGTACGGGACCAACATGTAGGAAAGGTCATCATATTACCTACCATCTGTTGAAGTGACACGCCACACAGAGTCTTTGAACTGAGAATGATCAGCAAGATGGATATATGATGCTCGACATTGAACGGCACCTTCAGGTATCCTTCGAGAAATAGTTCCAAGGCATGGTTGACAAAGTACCTGCGTCTCTTCGAGAAACCCCCCACATTCTGTCCGATCAATGGAAACCTCGAAACATCCTTAACGGCGGAACGCGAGTGGAGATAGAGTACCGTGGCAAGGACGAGGAGCACACTGATCGCCTTGTAGACTGCTGGGCCATCTTGATAAAGGTTTTCGAGTAGAGCTTGATGAGCCATGGCGGTGGTTAGGTCTTCTTGCTTCCATCTTCTTCAGATCTTTGACTCAGTCACGTGGTTAGGTTGGGGTGGGCTCATCAAAGTTGCTCCCCAGAAGGATCGCCGGAGGCATGGCTAAGGTAGGTTAGGGTTAGTGATTAAGGTAGGTAGGTGTTAGGGTTAGACGGGACTTGTGTGGTAGAAAGGGTGTGGGAGCCAAGTGTGAGTAAAGTAGGGTATAGGAGCTGAGTTAGGTATGGGCATGGGGCGGTAAGTTAGTGGTTACCTTGGAAAAGTACTTAGGACTCGAGCACAATGCAGAGGACTGCCCCGAGAGTCAACTCAGTCCAGAACCCCCACCACCCCGCATCGGACCCCGGGTAAAACTGCCCACATAGGAACCTACTTTACCCCGAGTAAACGTGCGGCAGACCACCACTATCTTTGCTCGACTGGGGTCAAACAACGCAGCGTCGACGATTGTCATGCATCGAAGATTGGCCCTTGGCATTATGGGCAAAGGTGAAAATTCTTGTTCGTGAGATCTTCCATCTTGAGATACCAACGAAGGATAGAAGATCTCACGAAGCAAGGTCACATCTGATACGACCGACAGCCTCTGACCATCTTCCCTCGCGTCCTCCGGTCAATCAGAGAAGATGCCATTCCACCTCCCTCTCAGCCCGCTCGACAGACGAAACCAGCCCCCGGTGTACTACCTTCAAGTGCAAGATGCCCTGATCCTGATCAGTTCCTTCCTCTGGACCGTCGCATACGCCCTCTATGTCCGCCAAGCGTTCCGCGACAAGTCCTACGGCATGCCACTTCTTTGCTTGTACCGACCCCCCTCCTCGAACCCCGCGGCGTATCGTCAGCGAAGCTGACCCATGGTGGTTTTACAGGTGGGCGAACATAGCGTGGGAGTTTCTGTTCGGCGTCGTGGCTCCGACCTCGGCCGCTCAGACGATCGCTTTCGTTCCGTGGCTGCTCATCGATGTCGCAATCGTCTACACGACGTGGCGGTTCGGCCCCGATCAGTGGAAGCGGTCGCCGCTGGTGGCGAACAATATGGGCTGGATTGTGACGTCTGGTACCATCTTGATGACGGGGTTGTTTTGGTCCTTCATCAAGACCGTTGGCGTCGAAGCTGCGTCCTTTTATATCGGTTATGGGGACCAGCTCCTGATAAGCATCACTTCGGTGGCGCAGTTGATGTCAAGGAATAATACCTCCGGTCATTCCTTGGGTATCTGGTACGTGATTTCCTTCATTCTTCCCCGATTGATGAGTACTGAAGTGGGACAACATAGGTTTTATCGGGCGAGTGGGACTTGCTTGACCATTCTGCTGTTTGCCTGGCGGTATTGGCATTACGCCGATAGCTATCCGAGAGTGGCACAACCTACAACATTGTTCCTCTTCGTGGGCTCAGAGGTGGTGGATTCGATCTATCCGATGGTCTACGTCTTTCTGGAAAAGAAGGCGAAAAAGAAAGGGACGTAGCACAGCTCGAAGATCACATCACATGGGACACAAGATGGCCCGGTACGGACGTCAAGCTTGCCTTTTGATCTGACAAGCATCAACGTCATAGGATAACGATGAAAGGAGAGCGGGTGAAGTGAATCGCTGATCCTTTCAGGCCACATAGAGCAAATCAAGGTCTGCTGCGTAGGCTTAATCTCCGACACGCTAATTCCATAGTCTATATGTAATTCCCTGAATGACCAGATCACACAATTCCATCTCGTCCTGATAGAATCTAGAATGTCAGGACTTCTACCAGTGTTCATGGCAGGTTTCTCAACTCGCTGCGACCATTGAGCTGCTTGCAATTCCATGCGGGAACACATATCATGCTCAATTCTATGCTTCTATAATGCTTTACCCACTTTGCTCAAACCAGCATTTATGATGCTCTCCTACTTGTATTTTAACGCGACTGGAAGAGATTAAGCCCAATCAAATCTCGAATTGTGTCCACATGCTAAATGGACAAAGAGAAGTCTCCCAAGCCTCTTACACAATCTTCCACATACAAAATCAGGTGTAACTCCCTCCAGTATAACTAACAGCTATTCCGTGGCACTTGAAGAGCCCGTGAAAGAAAGACTCCTCTAATACTGAGTATTCTTGATGTCATCCGCGAGCTTCTCGGCAAGTACGTCTGGTTTTTCGTCAGTCTTAAACAGTCACTGGGCATGATATGTGCGGAACGTCTACTTACACACTTGGATCTGTGGGGCTGGCCCTACAACGGAATAATGGGTCAGTCAGTGATTTCAAGTAAGCCACAAATCGGCCGGGCTGAAATGACCGAAACTCACCTGGCGGTAAAAACGGGAATGCGGAGCAGTCTATTACTCTCACTGACCAGCTGTCAGTCATTTGTTGATTTAAGCACAAGCTAAAGAAGCTCACGATTCTTGACGCCATGGACCTTGCCATGGCTATCCACGACGGCATTAGGATCGGACGCATTTCCCATTTTGTTGGTCGCGAACGCGTGGTACAATGGGTTAAGCGCCTCCTTCAAATACGCTAAGATCTGCTCGTCAGTATCCACGCTCGGACCGGGAATGATTTCTTGGCCAATCAAGACCGGGGCCATGGCTTTGGATGCCAGCGCCTGGCGTGCGCGCTTGAACGCTGCGATCATAACATCGACATCAGACTGCTCCGTGAACAGGTTGGGATTTATCAGTGGCGCGTCGCTCATATTTGGTGATGCTATTGACACGTTGCCCCTGGACTGAGGTGCGGTCAGTGTCGCCAGCAAGGTGGCGTAATCAGCACCCGGCACAGACTCAGCTGCCTCAGAGACGCCGTTTGGATATATCCCATACACCACCTCTGGCCAGTCTGCGGGCAACGTCGACAGAACTGCAGTGAGTACGTCAGCAAGAATTTTGGGCAGTTGTTTGTGTGTGTTTTTTTTGTGCGTGTAGGTAAATGGGGCCTCATCACCTACATTCCACGGTCTCTGCGGAAAAGTTGGCCCGCAACGCTTGGGGTATTTTTTCCATTCCCAAGTAATCACCTCCCGCACTAGCCAGCGGTCCCGTGGCGTGGGTGTTGAACTGATTGACGGCTTGTGCCAAGTAAGTCGCATTCTCATCCGCAGATGAAGTCAACACGTTGACCCGGTAAGAAATGGGCACAGTGATATGGTCGTTCATGCCTTGGCCTACGCCGGGTCGGTTTGCCACAACGCTGATGTTGTACTTCTGTAACAGAGCTGCTGGTCCTACTCCGGACACCTGCAACAGCTGCGGTGACTGGAAGACGCCGGCCGAGACAATAACCTCCTTGTTGGCGGTGATGGAGCATGTTGAACCTGCTGCTGTTACCTGAACACCGGTGGCTACTGCACCCCGATTGAAAAGGATGCGCTGAGCAAAAGTGCCATTGAAGATTGCTAGATTTGGCCGGCTGAGGAAAGGGCGCAGGTATGCGGTCTCCGAATCGGAGCGGAAGCCGTCGGATTGTGTTATGGTATTCAGCTGCCAGGATTGTCCTATGAGGTTGCCATTGATGAATGCGTTCACCTTCGGGATGCCGATGGCTGTCAGCCCCTTTGCGACCCAGGTGCTCCAGGGTTGGGCGTAGGACGCATAAGTGACGCCAAGCCGTCCTCCAGTTACCGTGTCAGCCGGGTTGTACTGAGCAGTCGCATTGGCCCCTCTCGCCTTTTCATTTGGAGGAGTGAAGTTCATCGTCTTTCTGTAATACTGCAACATCTCGTCGTATGTGTACGACTGGTCGCCAACCACGTCCGCCCACCGCTGATGGGCGCCCTTGGATGTCTGAGAGTATGCCATGTAGTTTATAGTGCTGCAACCGCCCAGCTAGATGAAAATTAATTGAAAGTCTCCACAGGAGGAGGGGCGTGAGCACGCCAGCATAAACGCACAGCTTTTGCTCGATAATAAGGGAAAACATTATTATCCAGCCCCTGCACATTGTCCAGTTAGTCCAAATTCCCTTGTCACGGTGACGGAGAAAGGGCACAAGGAAGGACCGACAATTTGCGGAGTAGTTGTGAAGCCCCATTCAATTGCAGCTCCATCTGGACCATCGAAGGAGCCTGCGTACTCTGGAACTTGAGTCCGGTTTCCCACGACGTCTTCGGGAAAGGTGCCAGCCTCAATAACAGCAACTGTGACGCCAGACTGCTCGGTGAGTCGATTTGCCAACACTAGACCAGCAGTACCCCCCCCAACAATCACATAATCGAACTTCTGACCGAGGTTTTGGTGCGGGCAAGAAGTAAGAGAAGTAGCAGAAGCTGACATAGAATTGCAGTAAAAAAGAAGCCCGATTGCGAAGAGCGACGAACTCAGGCGAAAAGTGTACATGATCGCTGCGGTGCTTGAAATCTAGATTAAACGAAAGACAAGAAGTGAGGTTTTCAGTTCTAGGGCTCCAGATTTGCCCTGTTTCTGTTTTAGTGCCGGCCACCGAGAGTTCTACCGCCTATATATAAGGTAAGAAAGCTTCACGGCTTACTGCGAAATGCTCGGTGTCGGCCGCGAGGTAACATTCCGGCGAAGGAGGGATGGGGGCAACGTCCTCACGGCACATTGTCTGACGCCTGTCTTGACAAAAACGGCAACGTGGCTGATTATCATACTAGCTGCCACCGGAGACGGGAGGGCGCCACCAACAGCCATCAGGAGCTGGCACAGCCAGGAGCACTATCGTGTTGGCAGAAGGGTGCACGAGAGAGATCAGGATTTGAAAGCGTTGATGCTGAGCCGCAAGGAACAGATGGATCCGGCCATTTAGCGTAGATCGCTCAGCTCAAGTGAGTCTTATGGTAAGCTTACCCATTGTAATCGGAGGGCAGTACGCTGTCTGCCTGCCAGCCACATTGGGCATTCCGAGGGCAGTCGGGCTGATGGAACCATTGAATGAACCCATCATCCCATTCAAGGCAGCCTTGAGAGGACCGCCTTACTTCCCAGTGAAGCCCAAGGAAAAGTGACTAATCCCAGGGCAGACTGGACGTGGTAGATAAGCCAAAGAAGAGAAACCAAACAGACCAACCCGAGACAAATCTAGATGGAATTCTTCTCGTTCGAATCCAGTGGATCGGAACTATTCTCTGCCAATGAGATGAAGTGCGTGCACTAGTGAAGCATCTAAGAGCCCTATGATCGGAGAATTAATGGGGGCTATGCACTGGGCCACGAGGCCACCTACATACTTATGTAGCATGGATATTGCCTAATCTGCCACCCTCATCAACTTGCGTCTCTGTGACCCACCCACTCACCCACTCCATTGTCCCTGCCGCTTAGGTAAGGGGAGTCTGACGGCATGGTTACAATCCCATGGGACTCTTCGAGGCGCTTGCAGGCTTCCTTGAAACAGACTGTTGCTATGCTGGCTACGCCCAAAGACCAATATGTATTCAAGCCGTCGAAACAGCAGTAAGCTATGGGATGTATGGTGGTAATTGTGGTTAGACTCCCACTGATCACGTTCCTTGGTGCAAATGCATAGACGTACTATTAGATAGCTCGCTTCTGCTGGGTAGGTGCGTGGCAAGCGTGGGTGTGATGTGCGGCTGATGATCCTGGACGTGCAGATTCGCATGCCATTGCCAGGGCTGGGATGGCTTGCCTCAGTCCCTCAGACATGCCAAGATGCTAAGCCCCTTCGGGTTACCTTTAATATGCTGACTTGCCTTCGGGTGGCACAGGATGGCCCACACGTGGTATCTTAGTGGTTAGTAGTTAGTCGTATTTTTAGTAGCTTCGGCTCATTGGCTTTTTTTTTACTTCATTTTGACAGACAGAAATAAAAAGCACCGCAACACCATTGTACAGCATTAGAAATAAACCAAAAAAAACCAGCGTAAATACCTCCAACCACACGACCACAACCAACAGGTGTCCGCCCCGGACTATGACTAACGGGGAACATTTCGCTTCACAAATCAATGCGTCGCACGGGTTTCGAACCTAAGCCCTCGTTTTGTACACGAGAATGTTTCTTTGAAGATGATAACGGCACCGAGTTTTCCCATCCACCGCCAATGGTTTTTCTCCGAGGTTTATCCAAATTGCTTACACCTCCGGAATGAATTTACCTCTTCTAAAGCTTCTATTTTTAGGTAAACAGTGAAACCTCATTTCGATAGACGCACATTGTCGTTTCCCGAGCCAGAAAATAAGAAACACCGCGATACCATTGTACCAGCGCCAACAGGAATCGTACCTATTACGTATTAGAATACCTCTAACCTGCGCCCGGAGAGCATCAGATGTAGGGCCCGGATGTGCGCCTAAAAAAATCCGTATCGGAGCACCCGTCACTGTTGATCCGTTCAACCAGCGAGACCGCCAACAAGACCGCTTAAAACTGCGCATGAGACAGCTCAAGGGGTACGTTCACTGGGTAAGCTCATGGGGAAAGCCTACGAAAGCCTGCAATAGTACCAACGACAGTCCTCAGGATAGCCCCCAGGACAGGCCCTAAGATAACCCCTAGAAATGGCCTTCAAGGTAGCCCTGGAAATTGCGAAACCGAGCAGGAGCTCGGATGGAACTCCGGGATCCGTTCTGGGTGCTACTCGCGGGCCTCGCGGGCTCTCTTCAAGCGTGGGGTGTGCGCACGACAGAATGCGGTGTGCATCTATCGAAGTGGGATGTGCGCCTACCTATTGTTTACCTATGTTGATGGGTCTATTAGCTACTGTGTAGCCAAGTCTTCATATCTCCTCGCTTTTGAGTCAACTCTATCCCAAACTACAATTGCGGCCGCCATTCGATGTTGATGCGATGACCCTTGATGTCACCATTGAACCATTCAATCACCTCGATCTTCTCTTGGCACGTCCGAGCCCCCTCCAAGACTTCACTCTCCACGACGGCCATGACGGTCTCATGCAGTTGATTCATGGCCAGATTCTTGCCGATGCACGCTCTCAAGCCCGCCCCGAAAGGAATCATAGATCTTTCCATGCCGGACCGTCGAAGTCCATGGTCTGTTCCATCGTCCAGCCACCTCTCGGGCTGGAAGGTGAAGGGGTCTGGAAAGACGTCGGGATCATGGTGAAGATTGTAAGCAGCACAGCCCACAATCGAGCCAGGCGGGATGAGTATGTCGCCAACGCGCAGCCCGGGGCTCGAGGCAGGCACCACGCGCGTCAGTCGCGTTGGATTCGCCATGCCGAGGCGCAGACCCTCCTTGACAACGGCGCGTAGGAACGGTAGCCCACTGTCCTGGTGTCTAGCCGAACGGATCTCACACAGCAACCGCACCCGCGCAGATTCACTCTGTACCAAATGGAACAGTATCGTGGCCAGCATGACGGCCGTCGAGTCGGCACCCGCGAAGATAATGGCCTTGCTCTGCGCGGCAGCCTCGGCGTGCGAGATGCCCGCTTGGACGAGGCGCTCGTGGTAGTAATGCGGCTTGGTGGCCGAGACTGTGCTGCCCATGACCTCCTCGGCGAAGTGGTCAAGCTTGACGAATGACTCGATGACCTGCTCATTGGCGCTGAGGCGTTGAGACATGGCGTACACGAAACGGAAGATGCTGTTGGGCAGTAGCGAGAAGCGAGCGAACGCCACAATGGCGAAGATAAAAGGGTTGGCACTGAGCTTGGCGTCGTCCAGCTGCCTCTCCTTGAGGGTGCGATGCTTGTTCTCGTCGAGTCCGCCGTACCGCTGCCCAAGCAAATAGGCCGTCACGACATCGATGGAGAGTCGCGCGCAGAGATCCAATATGTCCGTCTTGATGCGGGCCGTTTTGAACTCGCACAGTTGGTTCACGAACTCGGCCACGCAGCTTCCAATGACCCCTCCGGACCCGCTCTCCGCCCGCATTTGCGCAGGTGAAAAGAGAGGTGCTACTGCCTTGGCGCGCACGTCTCGGTATGCCGTGTCTATGGCCGAGAAGATGGACACAATGGGCCCGAGATTGAAGTTCCTGTACCGGTCATCTTTTGAAAACCCACCCTCTGCTATGTAGATGTCGCGTATGGCTTCGCTGTCAGAGATAGAGACGGAGTTGGGCGCAACTCGGAGCACTTTCGTCTTGTACTTTTGATGATAGTAACGCAATACGCGTCCCTCTATTCCAAGGTAGCATATGAAGTGCAGGAACAAGGAGCTGACCTTGGCGATAATTGGGCCGGGCACGTGGCTGAGAGGATGGAAGCGCACCCGGTAGACAATAGGAACCAGGGTCAATGCAATCAACACAGGCACTGACGCGAACATCTTGTGGAGTCAAGTATCAGGGGCAAATACCGACCAGCATCTGAAATTGTTGGAATCTTCTCCATTTAACAGTCGCAAAAAGCTGACAAACAAATCCAGACTTGACACCCAACCCTCTCTCTTCAAATCTTCAAAGCCTCTGTCAGATACAATGGCCAGGTCGTAGTGCCAAAAAGCCACTGCTTCCGGTACCTCATTGGCTGGGTTCGCTTACACGGTCCGGCAGCGGTTGTGGTGTAATAAGCAAACCTTGCGTACTCGGGGTCGGAAAAATTACTTGGGCTTTCCCTGACCAATGATCCAGCGATTCTCATCGAAGTTCGTTTTCATCGTGCCACGAGTGCCTTTATCACAATGTTTAAGAGTAACACACGCCAGCTTCCAACAGTCAATGTAAGCACCCGAGAATAGCGGTATAGGATGGCGTCCTCAATGAATGGAACGAACGGAACGGACGACCACAAATTTGAAGAGCTTATGCAGACACTGAACGGAATCAACGCCGACACCTTCAGCAACGATGGTAAAAGGATCCAGACCCTCCTGGCAGCGTATGCCCTCGTATCTCGGCTCGAGACGCCATGGGATTTCGTATTGAGACTCTGCATGGGTCAGGTACTCACTTTGACCCTTGTGTGAAGTCCGAGACTGGGGCTGAAATGTGCATCAGCCAGCGCTTGGGGCAGCTCTGAAAGTTTCGAAGGATCTGCAGCTGTTCGACAAATGGCATGAGCGCGGTGACGGCGCCATGACAAGGGAGCAGCTGGCAGCGATGGTGTCTTGCGACCCCAACCTTCTCTGTCAGTGCCCTTAAATATGAGACACGGAGAATGTGTGTGTGTGTGTGTGTGAGAGAGAGAGAGAGGGGGGGAGGGAGGGCGGGATGGAGGGAGAGACAGACCTGGCAGCTAAACAGATATGATGATCTAGTTCGCCTACTCCGCCATTTAGCAGCAAACCATGTGCTGCAAGAGACTTCGATAGGGGTTTTCAAGCCGACCAAATTGAGTATCTCTTTCACCCAATCAGTGTTCGGGGAGTGGATCAACCATCTGTTTGTCTCTCCATAAATCAACACTTTTAGCAAAGGGTAACAGACTTAGTTACGATGCGACAATTCCGTGCTTCTTCAAGATGCCAATGTACCTGGCTCAGAACGGCTACAAAAATCCTTTGGATCCCAGCAATGGCGTTTTCCAGTACGCGAAAGGTTGGAAGGGAGATATGTTCCACTATTACGAGTCCCACCCGGTCGAGGGTGAATCCTTCAACCACGTCATGGGCGGCGTCATGGCAAACCAGGCCGGATGGGTGGACATTTTCCCCCACAACGCCATTCTCGAGTCAGACTCGGATAGCGAGTCCCCTCTCGTGGTAGACGTGGGAGGCAACATTGGTCACGACATGGAAAAGTTTCGCCAGTTACACCCAGAGACAGCTTCTCGTCTGTACCTGGAGGACAGACCAGAGGTTGTAAAGCACTCCCTGTGTCCAGAGCCTGTGAACAAGATAGGCTACGACTTCTTCATGCCGCAGCCGATCAAAGGTAAGGCTCATCGTGCGCGGTAAGAAGGCAGATGAACGACCGCTAACCCATGCAAATCACAGGAGCGCGCGCCTACTACATGCACGGCGTCCTCCACGACTGGTCCGACGAGCCGGCCCGCAAGATTCTCGAAATGCAGAGAGGGGCGATGAAACCGGGACACAGCAAACTCCTGATCCACGACCACATTGCGCCCGAGGCCTTGGCCCACCCGCACACCACGGCCTACGATCTGACCATGATGGTCATGGTGGCGGGGGTAGAGCGGAGCGAGGCGCATTGGAGCACGTTGCTCAAGTCTGCGGGTTATAAGTTCCTCAGGGTCTGGACTTCGCCGCTGGCCGTGCAAGGCATCATCGAGGCCGAGCTCGAGGAGTAGGAGTGTTGCTGCCGTGCCCCTTGATACAATTCCGATTTGATTTTTCCACCGTATTCCGTATCGCCCGGTTCATCCGGGCTAGAAAATTCACAATCGCACCACATCGCGCCCGATCGTTGATGATTGATGCTCTTTGCTGTTTCCCCGTGCTCTTGCTTCGTGGCTATCCGTGTTCCCGCCCATGGTCCAAAGTGAGAGATTGAAGAACTCAGTCGAGCGTGCAGATTCTCGTTTGTCTGCTGCGCTGTGAGATATAACTGACGAAGGGCGTTGAATTTGAGCTTATGGGGGTTCTTTGTGCTACGAGTGTCAAGGTCTCGTGGTGGAATTACGGGGTATGGCACAACGCTGTCACGTCACAGAATATCTTGTGTTTCATTCATTAGACCTTGAGAGCGCACATTATTAGTAAGCTGTTATGTAGCTTTCTTCTTCCTCTTCTTCCTCTCCCCTTCTTCTTCCTCCTCCGTTTGCCTCTCTTGCCTTTCCCGTTTCGCTCAGAGAGGTCATGTAGTTGCTACGCGCATTCTTTCTCTAGCATCATTTGTGGCTGTCTGTGGGTTGCTTAATTGCTGAGTGTTAAATCGTAACCTAGTACCTAGGACCATCTGACAAGAATAGCACAAGAAAAGGAACCCCCCTTATTGAAGGTAAGAAGTGTCCTACAGGCGTGTTCCATGTGCAAGTACCTAAGCTTTCCATCAAATCTAGTAATACTAACAGACAAAAGAGATTGCAATACCCAAGTTCTAATCGCGCCAACAATGTTCTAAAGTACATGTAGACTGAAAGGAGATTAAGGGTCCCCAAGTCCAGTCCACTAAAAGCGCGGTGTCTCGTATAGTTCAGGGGTGACGTAGACCTGCAGACTTAGACCATCCTGCTTGGAATCTTCCTTCCTCCCGATGCCAATGAAGGTGAAGATGCCCGGCTTTTCATCCAGCTTCCGGTACGTGCTGTGTTTTCAGTTGTTAGCAACGTCAGGAAGGTTGTGCAATGAGACGGATGGCCACGTACAAGACATTCTCCAGTCGCTCCTCGAGCGACCTTCCTCCGTCATGCCACCCATACTTCGTCAACCAGGCGTCCAGTCCCTGGGCGATCGCTCGGTCGTTGGGTGCTCTGAAAGCGGGATAGAAGTAGAGCTTTGGGACCGGGTATGGCCTATCCGGTGAGAGCGAGAAATACATGGACGTTGGTTTTTGTCCGAAGAGCGCGCGTCGCCGCTGCTCAGCTGGAGTCTCTTCCTTGATCTTGTCGGCTGGGTAGTCACAGCCACTTGCGAGGTCAATCAAGTCTCGAAGCTTCTCCTTGTCGTCTTGCAGATCAGGAATCCGTCCACCCAGCGTGTAATAATCCCACATCTCGTCGAACGAGTTCCCCCAATAGCGCATGTACACCTTCAGGCGCGCCTTCCCTGCCTTGACGAAATCAGTTGCCATGCCCCGCCCGCAGTTCTCGTACTGAGGATGGTCCTCGACGTAGTCCTCAATCGTCTTGAGGGCCAGCAAGATATTCGGATAGTAGCCAATGTCCGGCATTTGCCGAATACCCAAGCTGAGCGCTTGGAAGCGGCCGAAGCCCTTGTCTGCGGCCACGAAGCAAGGGGGAAAATAGCTCTTGGCCATGACAGGGAGCATTCCAGGCGCCAACTCCAAGATACGAGCATTGATGTCGAATCCCAATATTGTGGGCGTCTGATACCCTACCTGAGCGACAAGGGCTTGCTGTTTACTTGGGGAGACGTTGGAATAGACGAACCACCGGGCGAGAGCACGATGCTACCGGGTGTGATCTGGAGTCATTATTTCCTCGTCATCAAGAAGGAGCGTATCATAGTAAACGCAGTGAGAAAGGGAAGAAACAAACAGATCAATATTTTGGAAAGAAAAAGAAGCTTGAAAATCGAAATGCATAACGTACCCATTTGTCGTCAAACATTGGACTTTGCTTGGCAAGCGTTTCTAACACCTTTTCTGAATTTGCTATACTCAGAGGGTGGTCCTTGTTTGGTGGACGGAGCTCGCTAAGATCGAGAACGAAGCGAACACCTGGGTTTTTGGTTGACCCCTTAAACTCAAAGCTGTACTCAAAAGGATTGCCGTCCCAGCCCACCGCGGCGGGAAGGGAGTTGCTTTCAGGTTTATTTCCTAGCAGTGGACAGAGAGTATCTCGGTAGTAGTCGAGGAATTGGCGCTGTGCTTCCTCTGGGTAATTGGCCTCATGAAGCATTCTGGAGAGATCAGACCCGCTGGTGCGCCACCAGTAGGACGGACCTTCGCCATTCATCGAACATGCTGTATCAGTAGTCGTCTCCATAGAGGAGTCGTCTCCATAGCAGGAGCCGTTTCCATAGCAGGCGTCTCCATAGCAGGAGCCGTCTCCATAGTGGCTGTTTCCATAGCAGGCGTCTCCATAGCAGGAGCCGTTTCCATAGCAGGCGTCTCCATAGCAGGAGCCGTCTCCATAGTGGCTGTTTTCATAGCAGGCGTCTCCATAGCAGGAGTCTCCTTAGCAGGCGTCTCCATAGCAGGCGTCTCCTTAGCAGGCGTCTCCATAGCAGGCGTCTCCATCGCAGGCGTCTCCATAGCAGGAGCCGTTTCCATAGCAGGCGTCTCCATAGCAGGAACCGTCTCCATATGGTTTCCATAGCAGGCGTCTCCATAGCAGGCGTCTCCATAACAGGCGTCTCCATCGCAGGCGTCTCCATAGTTGCCGTGGCAGTCTGCATATTCAAAGATTGAATTTAATAAAGTGTCCCAAATTGTGGCAAACGAAGCCTCGGATTCTATGGCCTAGTGTACAAGGACCACGGAATTTCCTGTGCTGGATCTGGGGAGTTTTGGCATTGCCCGAGTCGCCAGTGTCTTCTTTACTTGGCACTACAAATCGGGCCTCGGCCCAATGTCATATGGGAATTTTTGAAAGCCCCATAATCCCCCTGCCTCTGTATTCGGACTGGGGATGATTATTTCAGGGTCTTTGGGGCTCGAACTGGTACTCGTTTGATTTCCTTGTTGTTGCATGCAGGAACATGCACGCAGTTTGAGCTAAGGACCACTTGCATGTTACTTAGCGCCGACCCATCTGTTGGTCGCCAAGTAGTAGTGCTGGGTAACACCAGCCGCCCCAAGTAAGCGCAGGAAGCCGCCAGTGGTCAAGGAGAGGAAATGTTTATCATGGGCCACTTATAGTGTCGGCAAATCTAGCATGGGCCACGCTGTCTATTATGGGCCATTCCCAATTTTCCCGTCTCCAAAGTAATCACCTGCCCAATGCGGTTGGCCTTCGCATGTGTTGTCGTCGTCATCGTTATTGTGCGTTGTCTTCGTCGTCATTATCGCGCAATATATATACCAAATCTAACTCGAATGTTAACCACTAAACCCTGTCCATTGCATCCGGCGGCTCTTCCAGGGGACAACTGCATTGAGCCTACTCTAGCCTAACCTCCTAACCGCCGTGTGACGGCGACCGTAGTGAGGAGGTAATTATTTCGAGAAGAGAAGTTGTGTGTCTAGCGGTGTTGCGCCCTTGCCAAAAGGTTGGCCCATCGTGAACGTTCCGCTGCTAGAGGTGGCCCATGATAAACGTTTCTTCGGTCAACTACCAATTTCAGCTCGGCGCGGACAGCATTGAGTGCGACTCAGCTGCGCCTTGGTTACCTTTGGGATAAATACAATGACATGGATACATGGCCCATAGCCCCCAAGCCGCCACCGGCGCTCCACATCCCGGAATCCACATCCGCGGTTGATGTGAGGGTCATCGATACGTATGTGCGCTCCCGTCGCTAGGGCCAGGTACCGTCTAGTAGGATGAGCAGTTGAGCTGGGGCGACTGACGTGATGATAGTAACACCTTAGTCCATTTGAACCCAGAGCTCTTCTGGCAGCCCAAGGTGGATGGCTTCGCCGGTCTCGACGCGCCCATATACTGCTTTCTGATATCGAATGGCAGCCAGCACGTAGTCTTCGACCTCGGCGTCCGTTCAGACTGGCAGAATTACGCACCCAAAGTCGTCTCGCTCATCAAGGCAACTACAGTGATCACGCGGGGATCGGATGTGACGTCGGTGCTAGACACGGATGACAGCGGCCTTAACATCCATAGCGCCGATATCCAAGCCGTCATCTGGTCGCACAACCACTTCGACCACATCGGAGACGTATCCAAGTTCCCACCAAGCACCGACCTCGTCGTAGGACCTGGCGTCTGCGCAGCTTCTTGGCCTGGCTGGCCGCGGCGTCCCGACGCCATTGTGCTCGACAGCGATGCGGAGGGTAGAGTAGTCCGGGAGATTTCTTTCGAGGCGAGCAGCCTGAAGATCGGCAGCTTCGACGCCTATGACTTCTTCGGCGACGGATCTTTCTACCTCCTGGACGCACCTGGCCATGCCGTCGGACATCTGTGTGGTCTTGCCCGGACTACGGCCCATGATGATGAACCGTCCTTTGTCTTCATGGGCGCTGATGCTTGTCATCACCCGGGGGTCCTCCGACCCAGCGACTACCTGTCATTACCGTCGGCAGACACCCTGCAGAGCACACTTGCAACTACCAGAAGCTCTCCAGAACAATGTCCCGGTGCCCTGTTCCAATCGCATCTGACCAGTCCCAATGCACCATTCTTCACAGTCGCACCCGGGCCCCTGTTTCCAGACCACGATGCAGCAATGCTCACGGTGCGCAAGATCCAGGAGCTCGACGCGGCGGATAATGTCTTGGTCTTAATGGCCCATGACTTGTCTCTACGGGACAAGATCCCTCTATTTCCAGAGACAATCAATGGGTGGAGAGTCAGTGGGCTAAAGACGAAAACCCGGTGGCTTTTTTGTAATGATTTCTTGTCTGCTTGATAGACTCTTGCCAGTCCGCCATTAAAAAGGCCGTGATTGTCCCGAGCTCAACAATGTGATCCAATCCACCGAAGTATCTTATTGTATCAGGTGCTGCTCCCGACGGTGACGAATTACAAGTTAATATGTTCTTATTGAATAGAGGATCTCTGCTAAATGAACTAAAGCTAAAATCAAACTATCTATAACGAAGCTAGTAACTCTATTTAAAGAAGAAGAATAATTAAAATTAGTAGACAGCGGTAATTCGGGAGGTCGTCCCGCCAAAAAGCAGTTGCTGGGTACGCTCGAAGGCCGAGGCTAGCCCCGGGCTGGTTCCGTAAATACAAAGTATCGGGTGCTGCCCGGATGCTGTCTCTGTACTCGTGCGTTCGAGAAGTGAGCTACTTGATAGAGCGAGGACACCAATAGATCTTTTTACTTAGTGGGATGTCGCTTGATCTACTGGTGTCCTCGCTCTATCAAGTAGCTCACTTCTCGAACGCACGAGTACAGAGGTCTGCACCGAAAGTCCTGCACATGCGCTAAAACTCTTGGCATCCTTGGCATTCTCCGGCAATTTGACAAATTTCTTGAATAGCTTTATTTTTCTTGATAATTCTTTATATAACTACGTATATACTTATTAACTCGCTTATTTAAATTATATAGTCGTATATTCCCTTTAAAACGATCTTTTTTATACTTATTATCGCTTTTTAAATAAATAACTTTAATAATATATTTAGATATATATTCTATTTACTTCTAAATTCTCTTTTATAAAAACTTATATTTTTAATAATAAGTCTATCGCTTTTTAGTTTCTTTTTAAATTATTAATAAATTATTTTAAGTAGTATATCGCTTTATTTAAAATTAATATAACTTAATATAGTTTAAATTTAACGAGTTTCTATATTATAATAATTTAAGTATATTTATAAATATAAAAATTAGTTTTTAAAATTTTAAAGTATAGATTAAGATTTTATCTTTTATAATTACTATATTAAATTTATTCTTTTTATATTTCTAAATAAATTTTAGAAGTAATAAAAAAAGAATTTATATCTAATTAGCGAAAGAAGTTAAAGAATTTAAAGAAATATATATAAATAAATATTCTTCTAATAGCGATATTAGTTAATTTCTTCTTTTTTCTCTATAATAATAACTTTCTTAATTTCTATTATAAATCTCTGTTAAGACTACTAATCGAAAAGGTATAATATATTCTATAAGATATTTTATATTAAGTAATATTATATCGTATTCGAGTATAATATAAATAGAGTCGAATATTATATTATTTTTCTAATATGAGTTTAAGATCTTAACGAGATATCTCACGATATGATATATCTATGGAATTATACTATGGAATAATATATATATAGAATATTCTTACTGAGATTTCTATATTTATAGAATAATTTGATTGAGATATATAGAATATATTTATTCTTCTTTATTAAGAGAGAGGAAATATAAAGAGTAATTTAATATAGCTATTTATTTTTTTATTAATATTAATAATTAGAATAATAATTAAAACTATAAGTATCTCTATTCTTCTTCTTAAAATTATAATATAAAAGAATATTCTAAATTTTAAATCTTTAAATATTATAAGAATAAAATTCTATAATTATCTTTATTTATATATTTATCTTAACGCGTTAAATAAGCTTAATAGACTTTATATTTATTCTTCTCTTAAATTCTAACTCACTCTTCTATTCTACTCTATCTCGATTCTTTTAAATATCTTAAATCTATCTTTATCTAATTAAATTTATTAACTATTTATAAATATATTCGCTTTTTAAATTATTTTAAATCTCTTTTTTAAAACTAAATCTATTATTACTAATTCTCTCTAATTATAAATTTATTAATTATTTCTCTATATATTATAGAGTATTAGTAATATATCTTAATAAATTTATAAATATTAGATTTATCGAAGTATTTTTTATAAGCTTATTATCTTTATTAATATAATTATTATAAATATTAATTAAGTTTTTATATAAAATACTATTAGCTCTTTTAATCTAATTTAATATATTAAAATCTTCTTTAAAATTAAATCTAGTTTATTTAAACTTATTTTTTTAATATTTTATATAAAAAATTATTATTAGAGTATAGAATATCGCTAATAAATAATATTTTTAAATACTATAATATCTTTTAATTATTAAAAAATATCGCTTATATATAATAGTCTTCGCGAGAGAATAAAGAATATTATAAGCTATTCGAGTAACTATAATATATTTAAACTCTAATTTCTTTTATTATTTTAAAATTAAAAAATTCGCTAAATTATTAAAAAAAGCTTTATAAAGATTAGAAATAAAATTATAATTAGAATAATAATTAGAAGACTTATTATTTCTTCTATATTATTAAAATTAATTATATTTATTCTTATTATCTAAATTTTTAATCTTAAATTTTATTATTTAATTAAGCGTATTTTTATTTAATTAACTTATTTATTTAACTCTTTATAATTAACTACTTATATTAATATTTTAATAATTTTAAAATATCTTTTTAAGCGCTTTTTAGTAAATTTCTATCTATAACTTTTTTCTAATATTAATCTTTTAATTTAATTTCTTTAACTTTATATTATTATAATTTAAATATAAAAATTTAACTTATTTATATAGATAATTTAAATTTAATTAAATTTAATTATAATAGATAATTAATTTCTCGCGAGCCGTCTTAAAAGCTTTAAAAAATTCTTTTTTCTAAAAAACTCTCTTTCTTCTTAATTTTTTAAGCTCTTTATTTATATAATTAAATAAATAATTATAAATATTAAAAACGTAGTAAATTATAATCTTCTTTTCTCTACTTATTAATTTTATAAATTTATAAAAAAAATTAATAAATTAAATTAAATATTAAATCTATTAGAAATTAATTAAAAATAATTTAAATATCTAAATTATAATTCTTATCTATAATTATTTCTTATTATTTAATCTTAAATAGATAATTAATTTATTTTTTAAAAAAGTATATAATATCGATATAAAGAAGTAAAGCGTAAATTAATATCTAATAAATTAAATTTTAGCGAGTCTTAATATTCTAAAAAAGCTTAAAAGAGCGTCTCTAATAGTATTTTTTTTTTTTAGAAAATTAATATTTATCTAATATTAAAATATTTTTATTTTAAAGCTATTTAATTTATAATATAAAAAAATCTTTTTATATTAATCGCTAATATTAATATATATAATAATTTTTTAAATCTTAATATAATTAATAATATAATAATTAAAATAATAATAAGAAATATTATATTTTTATTAGAGTTATCGATAGATTAATTATACTTATTTAAACTTAATTCTTATCTTCTTTATTATCTTAGCTTCTTTAAAATTTCTTATTTATTAAAATAATCTTAATATTATTTAAAAGTTCTTTTAAAATTAATTAAATAATATATATTATATAGAAAATATATTATAAATAATTTAAAAACTTAAATTCTTTAATATTAAGCGAGTTATTTACTATAAAAATAAAAAAATAATTAATTAAATTATCGAAGAGTATATTATTATTATTAATATTATTAATTATAAATTTAAGTATATAAATTTAAATCTTATATTTTATAAGAATTAAATTAATAATACTTATAAGTTTCTAGCTAGTATATTTATTTTTAATATATTTAAAGTCTATAAAAATCTTATACTATTACTAATTAATATTAATAAAAAAAATTAGAATTATTATAAATAATTAATAATTATAAAATAATTAATAATTTAGAGCTAAAAAAACTTTAATATTATTAATTAATAATTTTTTTAATAATCTTATCTTTAGCTTTATAGCTTTTTTTATTAATTAATTCTTTATAATAAATATTAATTTTAATTATATATTAGAGTTAAAATAGTATAAGAGTTATAATATCTTAGAATTATTAGTAATTATAAATAGAATATTAATATTTATAATTTAATAATAAAATTATTTTAAGAAATCTTTATATATAAGCTTTTAATCTTCTAATATTATAAGAGAATTTTAATATTATTTTTTTTAGAGTAAATAGTAAATTAGATATTGTATTTATCGTTTTATTTATTAATAATTTATATTATCTAATTTAGAAATATATCTAATTTTTATAATTATTAATTAGATTTATTTATTATAAATTACTTAAATTAGATTTTTTAATATATTTCTTAAACTTAATATATACTATTATATCGTTTATTTTATAATCTATAAATAAATAAATTAGAATCTTATTATAATAACGATAAATAATATATAACTCTTCGAAATTAATAAGCGTATATTTATTAAATTATATTTACTTCTAAAATTTTCTAATTTCTAAATCTTAATAAATAAATTAATAATCGCTATTAAATTTAAACTAATTTTATATAACTTATATTATCTTTATTTATTATTATATTTATTATTTTTTATTATTAATATTAAAAAGAAAGTAAGATTTATTACTATCTTTATATTAAAATATATTTATTAATATCTTATATTAAATATTATTAATTAAGAAAATTAAATCTATACTAAATAGAGATCTAATTAATATTTTAAAATTAAAATATTTAAAGAGAAATTAAAAGAGATATATAAATAAATAAAATATTAGAAATAAAATAAGATTAATATTTAATATATAAATTCTATCTTCTCGCTATAATAGAAACTTATATCGCTTTAATAATATATTACTATATTATTTTTAATATTTTAAATTAAAAATTAATTCTTTCTAATTAGCGTTATAATTAATAATTATATATTTAAAAATATATAATAATATTAATATAGAATTAATATTTAATTTTATTAATTTAAAACTCTAATTAATCTAGCTATTAACGCTTCTCTACTTAATATAATATATATTCTATTTACTTTAATACTAATACTTATTTATTACTATACTATTTTAATTATTAAAATTAAAAATTATATTTATTTAATTAATA